GTTCGGAATAACAATGAAAGCTCCACGACTAAACCATCCAGCTCAAAGAACAAAATATCAAAAAAATAAATATGTCGTGTTATTCATGTGTGCTCATTAGATCACAAGGAATTAATAAACCTTATGATCTTTTAAACACTTCAATCCCATTGTTTTGAATTATGCATATTTATCCCATTCGTTCAGAATTAAAATGCATTCATATGGCTTTCCATATTACAGTCATACTGTTTGATAATCTGATTATAATATAAAGATGCCATATCGAGGGGACAACTAGACAGGTATTTACAAAATTTTTAACGGCCTACAGAACTACTCCAAACTCAACTGTCCCAGATGGAAAATCTCCTGCAGAAGCCATGTTTGCAAGACGTATCCGCACTATTTTCAACGCCATATTGCCACTCGAAATAGTAGATAAGCATAGAGCAAATCTTAACATCCAAAGTTTTAACATTGGCGATAAAGTGTTTATTAAGTCTTATCTAATCTTTTTCCAGAATATTTAGATAATTTCTCTCTTTTTTAAGAAAAACACCGTAACTACATATATTTGCATAGTATTTTTAATTAACCAATTGTTTAGTTTATCTGTCACAAACACAGAATGATATAAAATTGAGATGATTTATTTATTATAAACACTTGGTTATTTAGCCGTTGTTTTAACTAATTGTAAATTAATTTTAGTCCTTCAAATAAACTTTATATCAATATTACATAGGATTCTAATTATTAGTTAAAATTGATATGGATTGATTATTGGTTACTTAGTTATGATATATATTTGGTAATTTCTAAATCAGTGAAATATTAGCTGGTCACATTAGAATGTTTGATACAGTTAAAACAAAATTTTTCACTGTTTTCAGAAAAACACACGGGTACCTAAATACTGGAAATACGATGTTGTAAATATTGTCCAGACTTGTATGAAAAATTTAGTTACTTAAAAAATTATGATTTATTCAAAGATTTAAGTTTGAGAAGTTGTCACTGTTGTCCAGACATACAATGACTTGGGAGTTATTGTTAGGCAAGACTTAAAAATTACTGCAGACTTCAATGAGATAGCCGTCAAAGGTTTTAGAACTCTATGGTTGATACGTAGGGCCCTTGACCATGTCAATGCTAAAACTTTTTGACTTTGTATACAGTATTCGTGAGTCCTAAACTCGAGTACTGGATACAAGCGGCTAATCTCTTCCTAAAAAGAGACAGTGAGCGTTTGAAAATGGTTCAAAGAACCACAAGTAAGCTGATTTCCGTAATAGAAAAGCTCCCGTCTGATGCTCGACTGACTAAACTAAACCTATTTTCATTGTTATATTGAAGAGCCAGAAGCGACTTGAGCACAGTTTTTAAATTACTTAGTGATAAATTTGCATCTAATACGCCTTCATTTTTCTAGTCTTCCAGAACAGAAAATTTACGAGGACACTCCAAAATGTTCACAAGCGCAGGAAAAATTACTTGTAAGCTGACAATTGACTTTCCCATCGAATGTAATTCATTATCTCAACATGTGATTGAATTTCTATCTTTCGAAGTTTTTAATAGAAAGTTGGATCAACTCAGAAACCATTATTGTCAGGACTTTCACAGGCCACCTAATCTCCTATCCTTTTCAAAATGAAACTGAAACTGTCATAGTGTCTACTGTACAGTTTTGAAGGACGTATTAATTCTCAAGTATTTTGCATTGTCGAACTTAATTGAATAACTGTTGTGCTATAATAGCTCATAAAATAAATCCATACATAAATCTATATTTGAGCGATTGAGTAACATTATAGCTGATAATTATATTGAACAATATTTCTATTTCTGTGGTTACTGTATACCGATTTACAAATCTGTTCATATCGTTTTTCGACACGCTTCATCAGAATTAGATGCGAAATAATATAATACTTAAATTCAAGCACAAATTAAAATGGTTTTATTATATTGTAATAAAAAAGTCAGAAACGGGTGGAAATGTAACCTAATGGAAATACAAGTTCTTACTGACCATTGGTTAGTGTAAATTTTGACTGATTAAATAGTGTTTCTAATGGTGTGCATCAAACTAAGTTGCTAGAATAAAAGAATATAAAATTATAAAGAAAATGATTATCAGTGATAGGATTTCATTACATACTACAATGACAGTTTTTGTGTAAAATATGTGCTAGAGAAATTCAATCAACAGTCAGTCCAGTCAACCGATCACTGAATAATGATCGATAGTGATTAATCATTTATAAAAATCTCAGTCCCATAGGTCAGTCAAGGCTTGAGTAGCTCAGTGGTAATGTCTCAAACAATGAAGCTGAATGGTTTGACATTAAACCCATCAAGGATCACGAGCTACACCAAGATTACAGGTAAATATTGCTGATGACCAGCAAATTGCACGAAACCTAGGTATGAGGACTCCTAAAAACCACGTTTCAACCACCTAATCACCATTGAGAAGTCCAGAATAACCTTTTACTGTTCAGTTTTTTGAAATAAATAGAAATAAACATTGGAGTGTCCTGAACTTATATCAGTAAGCTTTCTATGTGATATTTTCAAAGGCTGAAAGGAATGTAGAAGAACTGATTTCCTTTGAATGATTCCTAGTAAAAATACACAAATTTAACAATTAAGATTCGAATGAAGAAATAGTTTTTCCAATCTCATGGAGAAGTAATACAATTTACACTTAAAATATTTTGGTAGATAAATTTACGCAAACATTATATGCAATTTTAGTAACTGAGATCATGAGTTAGACCACCATGATAAACCTGGAAGCACTGAATGGCCGTTTCGTCCTATTGTGGGACTCCTCAACAGTGCTACTACTAAAATTACTATAATTTCTAAAACTACGTGAAACTATAAATATACAGATTAATGTTGATTTAAAAGTTTAACATTCCATATTTTAACACAAACTGTATTGAACATCATTAAAACTCCTTAATACCCATCACTAAAAAAAAGATTATATTCATATGAAAATAAAATTAACTCCTTAAACCAGAATGTTAACCAATATCATCACATAGATTATCTTAATCTTGAAAACTTTACTCTCTTGTTGTTTTGAAACTAAGTGAATATAATATCAGAAATAAATATCTACTTAGTTCTATTTTTATACAAAAGTAGAAAAAAGAAAAACATGATTGTTTTAGAATAGTTTTATTTTCTTATATTAGATTTCTATAATATAATTGCTTTCTGTTGGTTACAATCATCTAACTAAACATTGATTTTTATTTGAATTTATCCATCATATAAATGACTTATTTAATTGATAAGTGTACTAGTGAATTCAGAATTGCTTTGTTTGTTTTTTTTGTTGGTTACTTAAATAAATTTTTTTTATGATCATAACAAATAAAGTAAGACATTAAGTATACATTATTATCCAAAAGATGGTTTTCTTCTTAATATAATTCATATTTCCTTTTAAAATAAACAATATACATAAAGATAACTGAATTGTATCATTTCATTCAATAGTTCGTTTAGTGTTGTTGAAATATACCTACAAAGTACAACCAATTGAAAGCTTTTTTAGAATAAAAAGTAACTAGTCGATAGATATGTAGAAATCAACTTGATCATTTTATTAAGTATCACTATCTATTAATCTGAGATGAAGATGTCAACATTTGAGAGGTAGCATGGGATACAGTGGACAGCTAGGATGCAGCTGGACGATCTAGATTTCGCAGATGATTTGACTCTTCTATCGCACATGAAATAACAAATACAGGGGAAGATGGCTAATGTAGCAGTAGCCTAAGCAGTAGCAGTAGGTCTCAACATATACAAAGGGAAAAACAAGATTCTCCGACACAACACAGCATGCAACAATCCAATCACGATTGACGGAGAAGATTTCGAAGATGTACAAACCTTTACATATCTGAGCAGCATCATTGATGAACACGGTAGATCTGATGCACATGTGAAGGCGCGAATCGGCAAAGCAAGAACTGCATATTTACAACTGAAGAACATCTAGAACCTAAAACAATTGTCAACCAACACCAAGGTCAAGATTTTCAATACAAATGTCAAGACAGTTCTACTGTATGGGGAGGAAACTCAGAGAACTAAGAAAGCCATCATCCAGAAGATATAGGTCTTTATTAACAGCTTTCTACACAAAATACTTCGAATCCGTTGGCAGGACACTATTAGCAACAACCTACTGTAGGAGAGAACAAACCAGATCCCAGCGGAGGAAGAAATGAGGAAGAAACGCTGGAAGTGGATAGGATACACACACATTGAGGAAAGCATCTAACTGCGTCCCAAGGCAAGCCCTTACATGGAATCCTCAAGGCCAAAGGAGGAGAAGAAGACCAAAGAACACATTACGCCGAGAAATAAAGACAGACATGAAAAAAATGAACAAAAATTGGATAGAAATGGAAAGGAAGTTTCAGGACAGAGTGGGCTGGAGAATACTGGTCGGCGGCCTATGCTCGATTGGGAGTAAGTAACTATCTATTAAGAATAATACTTGTTACCAATAAGGCTTATTCTTAACAGTGAGATAACATAAAGTAATTGGTCTCATTTTTAAAGTCACTTAAGTAAAGGTAAGTTTGGGCTTTTCCACATGTAAAACTAACCCTATTTTGTACTTGACCTTTTTTATAAGGTAAAAATTTCTGTGTAAAATCAAATAATATTTGTAGTGTATACATTATTACTTTTATTGTGCCCATATATGAATAAGGTAAACTAATCATCAGAGAGGAAAATCATTCACTACACTAGTGCACATAATTATAGACTAACAAAGGTTATACATTGGCTGTAGACATACATGTCTATATGTTTAGAATGATACAAGTGTAGATACACATGCTTTGTGCAACACATAAATACACATAACTATATAACCACAAAAGGCATTGGTAGACAGTACTGACCATTATTAGAATAATTGTCTATTGAAAGTTTATCTACGTTATCGGATTATTTTGAGTTTATTTTCAGAAATGCAAAACCTAGTAGGAAAGATTTATACAAATTGTATATACATTATTCTAGTAATATTATTATATGATGTTCAAAATGGGTTAACTCAACTAAATCCATATTTTCAATTCATACCAAAAAATGACAATTTACATACTAAAATATATGATTATTCAAAAGGATTTGACGAAGATCATTTCACCTATGAACTACAATATCCGATTCCAATATATGAAACACTAATTAAAAAAATTACTGTAAGTCATTGTCATTTTAGAAAAGAAGTTAATGTCTATAATATATCGATATCAGTTTAATAATTATTATTTTTCTATTTTGAACCTCCTAAAAAAAATTCATCATGTTTATTAATCTTATAATAAGTACTAAAGGCATGATATAAGGTTACTTTTGAGTGTTTAGTAGACTAACTTAAGGTAGGTAACGCTAAGATATGGCAATATGCTGTATTAATTTGATAGTAATTCTTCTTATTACTCACTGACCAGCAATAATGATAATGATCTCAATCAAAGTTTTGAATAGTGACGCTTAAAATAATTAATGAATACAATAAAATAATTGTCCAGCATTATGTTGCTACCAGAAGGGTTTGGGAATACACGATTGTTGATACTCTCGATTCAAATTTGGTCAGTCTTTGTTGGCATATGTGAATCCTGAATGGACCCTTCTGATCATCTGGTCAAGTTTCATAGTTAGTAATTATGGAACAATCCTGACTTCTAACAATCCAACAAATATCATACCAGTTTATCAAGTTACAGACCATTTGAACTATCTAGTTTGTAGGACAATGCGTTGAGCATTTCAAATGCCAAGTACTAGACTTCAATTTATGCGTGAAAATCAACGTCGGGTTGCGGGTATATCCAGATGAGGAGCTCTAGATAGGAAGAGACACTGTTGTCCGTAATCCATTTATTCAGTTCAAGATTTTGTTTTAATTTTTACTTACATTTCATTTACTAAACTGGCACATCATAATTTCGAAGCTAAGGGTTTGAATATTATATATATATATATATATATATATATATATATATACATATTTCTCCAGATTATATTACATTATAACAATATATCAAAAGACACTAAGAGGTTAAGGTGGAGTTTTGTTCTCCGAGCTGGAATGTTTAATCATGGAGTATTCATTGTTCTTCTGAACAACATCATCAGCACAAACTTCAAGTAGGAGTGATGTGTCCGAATTTTTCCATATTTGACTCGTAGCTTGTCCTGTCGACCTCGAACCTAATTAGTTATTGTTGATCTTTAACCTGTCATCATCTACCTTTAATTTAATAGATACAATCAAGACAAAGAGGTAGACAATGACTGGTTAAAGCCCAACAATAGCCAATAGAGATCGAGGTTGACAGACTAATCTGTGAGTTAAATATGGAAAAATTCGAACACTTCACTTCTAATTGAATTTTGTGCTGATGATGTTGTTCAGAAGAACAATGCAAAGTCCATGACCAAACAGTCCACCTCGGAGAACAAAACTCCATCTTACTCATCCATCTGACCTGCACATTTTCTTCACCATCTCAACACTAAGAGGAAAGTAATAAAGAGAAGTCAATTCAAATATAAAAAGTAAAGAAAGTTTACTAGTTAGATCATTGTGGTTGTTTTTCATAGTTTAGAACAATTAAACACACCGATTCATTTCATCGGAATATATGATGAGCTACCTTTTTAAAATGCTTGACATACAAGATTATTCCTTTCTGCATATATTCCCTTTTTGACTATTCTGATAAGCATGATATATTAGACATGCAAGTAAGAGATTACTCCCCAGTATTCTAACAGTAATTTGTTTAACATGTCATAACATATCAGAACCGTAAATGTTTCTAGTTTATTCAGAATTTATTAGTAAATTATTCTTTACGTCGAATACTGAACATACAATCTATTAAGTCCTAGATACATTTGTAAATGATTAGGTAGTTTTTCAGTATGTCGTCAAGATACTGAGTACATTCATTTCCATTCAGTACTGAAGTATTTTTTTCTCAAACTTACCATACGTAAAAAGAAACTGATATATCCTATTTACTTAATTTATCTGACTATTTCCTTTAATCATTCGTCATAGTCGAATTAAATATTATTTGCAACCATTAGACCTTGTAGATTGATTAATTTAAGCATTGTACACAATGAGTAATTGATGCTTGTCTCCATCACAATACTTATTAAGATTTTTACATAACAGGTGTTAACATCTGTCTTAGTAGTTACAGTACTAAAAAATAATCAAAATAAGTATATATCCAGTTTTCACGTTTATAATTACACAATAATACAAATTAGTTTTACAGATTGTTAAGTTAAAAAAAATTATTCACTTATTATGAATTTGAAGTATCAGATACAAAAATTGTACCAAATAGTTAAGGATACATAAGTTGGTGTCATTCACTAATATCTATTTACTTCATTAAATGAAATCAATCACCCGAAAGAATGATTGTTTAGTAATTGGATCTTATTATTAAGAGTCAAAAATGGTTAAGAAAAATTCAATTCCAGTTTTACAGTCATTACAAATAATAGCCCTGTATTCAATTTTCTCTAGAGTATATCTAATGTTAAACAATTTGATATTTTGAAAAGATAGACTTATAAACGGCAATTTAAAAAAAGGAAGCTTTATTGAATTTCGCTATTCGGTTGAGCATTTATTGTAATGAAACAATCAGTTTTGTACACTTTACTAATTTATCTATTAACTACTATCACTCATATAGAAAGTTAATTAATCTTGGGGTGTAATTTCCTGTAATACTAAAGTTCTTCTGTAATCTGTCTTGTTAGTAAATGATATTATGTGTTTTACTAAGAACAGAAAGTTTTTAATCGACAACTGAATTGGTAATATTTTTAATTACTGAAGAAAATGCAACTCTAACTTAAATGATTGAATATTTAGGAAAAAAGGACTGAAATAACATTTAGATTTCAACAAACTAACTTTATTGAGAACTCTCACTTAGTTAAAACAAATTACTGACAAAGAAAAATCAAAAAAACCTTCTTAGATTCATTTAATAAATTTACATTGAATCAGTCTTTGTAATTAATGGTAAAACGAGCATGGATATATATTGACCTTATTATAAATTAAGCTCAAAGTTTATGTCTTATAGTATTAAATCGCCATCTGAACAAAAATCACTTGTTTGTCAAAGATGACATGATTTAATTAGACAGTGTGTATTAAATTGTCAAAATACTAGGGTTCTATCAAATAATACACCAATTGATCCCATTTGTAAACAGATAATGAAATTATATAGGTTATCAGAAGGGGTTTTGTGGAGATTTTAGTAATTTCAATAGTTGAAATCATGAGTGAATTGAAACTAGTGCTTCCAGGTTTTCCATGGTGGTCTAGCTTCAATTGACTTATGATTTCAATTATATAGGTTATCTTAGACGAGCGTGTCTATAATAAAAACTGGAATCTATATTTTTACTAAACTAATGTGTTAATAATTATTGGTTCTAATTGGAATCATAGACAAGTATGTAAGTAAGACCATGTCACTGGACAAATATTTAACTGGATAACAAAATCCAATCACAATTTGTTGTTATACTAAATGTGAGCCAAAATGTATGTGACAGTCTCAATAAGAATAACAAGGCGAATTAAACAATATTTAAAGTTCACTTTATTATTATTGTGTACTATTCTAGAAAACACAAACAGCTTCTATATATATTTATACGAGTACACAACAGTAATTATAATGTATTATTATTTTTAATGGAAGTGCCCAAAAGGCTCCGGATTACATAAGTTCTTTATGAGGTTTACAACTCTTTGAAAAACTATACACTTAACATTCACCATCATTAATTTATAAGATCAATTTCACTTTAAAGTAAATAGAAAACTTTTAAATAATTTAATTCTGAATGTAAACGAATAGAACAGAATGGTAGCTTATTTATTTAATTTAAAAATGATATATCCCTTCATTTTAAATATTGACTTAAAGATTCACTGTACATTTTGCCCATTTTAATGTTTCTATAGTATTCTTTTTTTTTCAATATATCGTCACCAAAATTCTTTAAATAACATTTTCACAACAAAATGTAACTTAAAATCCTAAAATATTCTATAGTATCTATTTGATAATTCTCCGTTAGCTCAAACAACTGTTACCGAAATATAAGATTTATAGGTACGTCAATCAAAAAAATACAATGTGGTGAAAATACAGTAGATTTGTGACTTTTTAAACATATATGTGTAAGAAAAGGTCAACACTGGGTTGAAATAGTAACTAAGACGTTGTAATTGCTATTTTTTTTTCAATAAGGAAACTAGATTTTAAACCGGAATAACAAGAAGAAAGGGTTTATTATTACCTATAATGATGTTACAAAACAATGTTTAAGACTTATCGTATGATAAATCGTAGTTGAAAATATATGCTATTTCAAACGTTTTTTACCTTTCACGAGTATATGCGTAGTTGTGTACAGCAGTCTAACGCTGATAATTACTGGATTAATTTATATTCGTAACACTATTTGTGTATTTCATTCGGAACTAATGAAATTTAACGTCGGTTCACAACAGTTGTTGATTAACAAACGCATAGTCCTTTCTGTTGCTAAACACGAATGAAGTGCTTCTCATCATAAGTTCAGGTGGCTTGAATAATTTAGACTATTGAACTTGATTTGTTTACAATTACATCTGGTTAGCTAAAGGCTATACCAAAGGCAAATGTTTATTTTGCTCGGGGAAAAATGATGTTAAGTTTAATGGTTGGATTTCTTATATCACTTATTAACAAAACATTTTAAACAACGACAATGTTTGGAATCGTAGAGGAGCTAAAAGACGCAAATGTATTGACGGTAATCAATTGAGAATATCTTTGAAGGGAAGGTAGAAATGATTCCATTGTTTAAGTGTATTATGGATATAACCTTTTCACTGCATAGCTTGTACAAGCGAACTTGAAAAAATGACATGGTAGTATATTCAGTAAACGATACTGACCGTTCTGATTACTTTGACAAGATTATATGTTTTAATTAAAAGCTATGGTGGGAAGTACAATTAAATTACCATTTTCTTATACAATTTCAAGACTAAATTATTGCTTCTCACCTTGCAACTTTTAAAATTTCTGATTTTATTAAAAAAATTCCCGACAAATATTTTCAAGTTAACTGGTTTTATGTTGGATAATTTAGTGAAGAATTTGAATTGTTCGATAGTCATAAACTTTCGAGCAAACATTTCGGGAAAGTTAACTGTTTTAGATGTTTCGATTATAAAATCCTTGAAGCAGAATGAGAGAAGAATTAAAAACAATGATCAACATACTTCTTTTAAATCAGTATAATTGAGCTACGGAATACCAGTTAATATGTTGTGGTTTGATTAATATTGACTATGTGAGGGCTAGAGATATTACCTTAACGTTCAAACCTAAGTAAGTGAAGCACAGTTCGAACTAGGTACCTGTTATTTGAAAGCCAAATATTTCAGCTGTTGAGCCACCACAATATACATATATTTTAATTGTTCTTACAGTCACGCATAAAAATCACCATCTCATTACTTAAAACTCTCCCTAAAATATTCAAAAATGTGCTTAAAAGTTATTCACACATCAATGATATAAACTTCATTCTAAAATGTTAACTGTGTTTTAAGGAATCTATAATTTTAAATATTTATACGTATGTAAAAATATTTTTCACTGTTGGATACGTTATACACAAACTTTGGTTTTAACTCATCATAAACTTAGAAACTATTTCCATGAATGTCAACTATATGATCTAAAAACACCATAACAGAAGACTCGTCTCATTTTGCTCACCATCACAAAGTGGTCACATAAAGTACATTGCTTATTCTGTGATTATTTATTCTTTCAACATAGACAGTTATTGAAAACTAACGTTAAACAAATGATCAGTCTCTTATTCTTACATCTGTAAAGACGATAGCAAAACATTAAAAGATGCAATATTATACATAAAAACAGTGCAAAATTTAAATTATTAGAATTTGTATACTTAATTATTATTTTACCAGATCCGTAAAAATGGTCTCCTAGCACTAGATAGCATTTCTGATGATAATCTGCCATCACATTATCCTGTCAATACGAGTATCACAAATCAACGTTTACAAGATTTTGATGGACGATATTTAAGCATTTTCAGTTCAGTGAATGATGGAAAATATGGAAGAATTCGTGTCACGTAAGTATTTTAAATTAAATTTCCAAATATTAAATGTAGGGAGTATATATCTATGTTATGGTTTTAGCAGTTGGTTTTACTAACACCTAATTCACCTTTGCAATTGAGTTAAACTGTAGTAAGCGTTCTGTTGAAGATGATCGTAGGGCAGTTATTATTTGTGGAATGGCGATAAATGATATTGAATATGCACTGTGATTAGAAAATAACGTATTCAACCGTTTAAATATACAAGCTGTCATTAAAATATATTCTGATTCGAAATTATAAGGACATCTAACACTATCTTACTTACTTACTTACTTACTTACTTACTTACTTACTTACTTACGCCTGTTACTCCTCGTGAAGGAGCATAGGCCGCTCACCAGCATTCTCCATCCAACCCTGTCCTGCGCAATCCTTTCAAGCTCTTTCCAGTTCTTATTCATCTTTTTCATATCTGCTTCTATTTCCCGACGTAATGTGTTCTTTGGCCTTCCTCTTTTCCGCTTCCCTTCAGGATTCCAAGTTAGCGCTTGTCTCGTAATGCAGTTTGATGATTTCCTCAATGTATGTCCTATCCATTTCCATCGTCTTTTCCTAATTTCCTCTTCAGCTGGAAGCTGGTTGGTTATCTCCCACAAAAGGCTGTTGCTGATGGTATCCGGCCAATGGATGTTGAGTATCATGCGTAGACAGCTATTAATAAATACCTGTACCTTCTTGATGGTGGTTGTTGTAGTTCTCCAAGTTTCAGCTCCGTACAGTAGAACTGCCTTGACGTTCGTATTGAAGATTCTGACTTTGATATTGGTTGAAAGTTGTTTTGAGTTCCATATGTTCTTCAGTTGAAGGAATGCCGCTCTAGCTTTGCCAATCCTCGCCTTGACGTCTGCATCTGAACCTCCTTGTTTATCGACGATGCTTCCCAGGTATGTGAAGGATTCCACGTCTTCCAGAGTTTCGCCATCAAGAGTGATTGGATTGCTGTTCTCCGTGTTGTATTTGAGGACCTTGGTTTTCCCTTTGTGTATGTTGAGGCCTACTGATGCAGAGACTGCTGCTATGCTGGCTGTCTTTATCTGCATTTGTTCGTGTGTATGTGATAGGAGGGCTAGGTCGTCTGCGAAGTCCAAGTCGTCTAATTGGTTCTGAGCTATCCATCGTATGCCGTAATTTCTCTCAGATGTCGAGGTCTTCATAATCCAGTCGACCACCAGAAGAAACAGGAAGGGAGAGAGTAGACAGCCTTGTCTTACTCCGGTCCTTACTTGGAATGCGTCTGTCAGCTGTCCTCCATGCACTACTTTGCACTGTAGTCCATCGTATGAGTTCCGGATAATGTTGACAATCTTCTCAGGAACTCCGTAGTGTCGAAGAATTTTCCATAACGTCCTCCTGTCTACACTGTCAAATGCCTTCTCATAATCAATGAAGTTGATGTAGAGTGACGAGTTCCACTCAATTGATTGTTCGACGATGATCCATAGTGTCGCAATCTGGTCTGTGCACGACCGGTTCTTACGGAATCCAGCTTGTTGATCTCGAAGTTGAGCGTCAACTGCGTCTTTCATCCTGTTCAGTAACACTCTGTTGAAGACTTTACCCGGTATTGACAGTAGTGTAATGCCTCTGTAGTTTTCACACTTGCTCAGATCTCCTTTCTTTGGAATATTGATGAGGTGTCCTTCTTTCCAATCCATCGGCACTTGTTCCTCCTCCCAAATCTTCTTGAATAGAAGATGAAGCATGCTTGTAGTTACTTCGATGTCTGACTTCAACGCTTCAGCTGGTATATTGTCAGGTCCTGCTGCTTTCCCGCTCTTGATTTGTCTGATGGCCATTCTGATTTCTTCTGTCGTTGGTGGATTGACATTTATAGGAAGATCTGTGTGTGCTGCTTCGATGTCCGGTGGATTCGTTGGAGCCGGCCTGTTCAGGAGTTCCTCGAAGTATTCTGCCCATCTGTTGCGCTGTTGCTGAATCTCAGTGATCGGTCTTCCTTCTTTGTCTTTGACTGGTCTCTCTGGTTTACTGTATTTCCCTGCAAGCTTGTTCGTCGTATCGTAAAGCTGTCTCATATTTCCTTCTCTTGCAGCTTTTTCCGCCGTCGTTGCTAGTTCTTCCACGTATTTTTGCTTATCAGCTCTAATGCTCTTCTTCACTTTCTTGTTTGCTTCTATGTACTCTGCTTGTGCTTGGACTTTCTCTGCTCTTGTTCGACTGTTGTTAATTGCTGTCTTCTTGTTCTTTCTTTCTTTGATCCTGTCCAGTGTTTCTGTAGAGATCCATTCCTTGTGATGATGTTTCTTGGGGCCCAGAACCTCTTGACACGTTGAAGTTAATGTTTCTTTGATACCTTTCCAGCTATCCTCCATAGTAGTTTCTTCTTCCTTCAGTAGATCCTGTAAGGCTTGGAACCTGTTGTTGAGAGCTACCTTGAATTCATTGAGTTTGTCAGTATCTCGAAGGAAGGCTGTATTGAACCTTTGTGGTGCTGTTTGTCCAGTTGTCCAGTTCTTCTTTAGCTTCAGTTTCAATTTGGCCACAACTAGGTGGTGATCTGAAGCTATGTCCGCTCCTCTCCTGGTTTTCACATCTTCCATTGTCCTTCGGAACTTTTTATTGATGCAAATGTGATCTATCTGGTTCTCTGTGGTGTGGTCCGGTGAGATCCACGTGGCTTTGTGTATACGTTTGTGTGGAAATGTTGTACCGCCTATGACCAATTTATTGAATGCACACAGATTTGCAAATCTTTCCCCGTTTTCGTTTCTCTCTCCCAGTCCATGCAGTCCCATGATGTCTTCATATCCGGTGTTGTCCATTCCGACTTTGGCGTTTAGATCTCCCATCAGAATGGTGAGGTCCTTTCTTGGGCACTTCTCTATGATTGATTGCAGCCTCTCATAGAATTGATCCTTAACGTCGTCGTTGCTATCATTGGTAGGTGCATAACATTGGATAATGTTCATTGTGATCCCCTCCTTCTTTGTTTTGAATGATGCTTTGATGATTCTGGATCCGTGAGATTCCCATCCTACAAGTGCATTTCGTGCTACTTTGGATAGCATTAGAGCAACTCCCTGAGTGTGTGGAGCATTTTCCTCTTCGTGACCGGAGTATAGCAGCATCTCTCCCGTATTTAGCCTTTGTTGTCCAGCTTGGGTCCAATGGGTTTCACTGATTCCCAGTACTGCCAAGTTGTATCTCCTCATTTCCGTTGCTATTTGACTGGTCTTCCCGGTCTCCCACATTGTCCGGACGTTCCATGTACCTATAAAAATTGTTGCTCTGGTTGTTAGAAGGGGCATCGGCCTCGTGGCTTCCGAAGGAACTCGGCTTTCACCATGAAGCGTCATATTACCTCTAACTCCCAGGGCAGGGTTTAAATGGTTTGAGTTATTTTTTCTGGTTAGCGTTTTTTTAGCGAGTTAGGTTTCTACGGGATGGGGACGCTAACCCCATGCCCAACCCTCCTCCTTTACCCGGGCTTGGGACCGGCAGTAACTCTGGAAGAGCTACAGGCGGAGTTTCTAACACTATCAGTTTATAAGAAATACATATGGATCGCTCACACCTTAAATGTTCACAGTTTGTGTCCATGTTAGTGTAAGCATCATTTGGTAAGGTGCTTCTCAAACAAAATCTAGTTAATCTCCACTAAGGATATGCTTGAAAGAGATAAGCAAATGATGGCCAAAAAACTGAGATTGAACTGATGTCCATAAAAGTTTATAAATTAGATAAAAGTTCGGCTAACATCTAAAACCCAGCTTACTTCCGCTTATATGAATAAATTTTACATCACTTTACAAGACTGAGGAAAATCAAATAGTATAAGTTGGTAACAATAACCTAAAACAGCTATCTGGAAGACACATTATGCTTCTAAACTGGTTATCATTACAAAAACTAAGCTCGTGATTGCACTTGGTCCTCGAAGTTTCATAAATAACATTAACCAATTTACGTATGGACGTAAATAAACAGGAAGTGATTGGACAATCCGATCAACTGTGGTAGAACATGAACCCAAATACTTTTAGAATTAATAGGCGATAAAATTCTCTGTTAAAAGCAGGAAGCAAAAAACCATGCTCTTTGTTAGCAAAATATATGATTGAAATATCACTTAAGATTACCCTTAGAGTGGCTTTTGAGGCTAATATAGGAGTTTTGGAAGCCTTAAACATTAGAAAATTCAAACGTTAGTTTGTTTTAATTCAGTATCTGGAAAAATGTTCTACATTTATACACATATTATAAATTTTAAATCAACTTTTATTTCGTATACAAATATATTTCTTCTTGTATTTAGGGAAATTGATTTACTATCACCTTCAAAACTACCATGTGTAGAGAGAATGCAAATAGATCGTCTAATAAAGTTTATACATTTATCATATATAGAAGAATCTGAATTACAGGCTCAGTATATTGTACATATACTGTGGGAGAACATGACAAACGCTTACCTAATCAACCAGAAAGTAATTTTTTCTGTGATTTTATTTTAATGAATTATTTATGAAATAATATCTTTCAGTATAACTCTAGTCATTAGTAATCAATTTTTTAATGACTTCGAAACAATTTATGCTGACTTTGAAGGTCCTTTATTGGGAGTTCAGTGCTTTTACTGAAGGATCTGTAGGGCTCGACAAAGTGTATGCATTAGAGGCTTGGAAAGTTAGATACTTTAGGCTAGAGAAAACATGGATAAAGATTATTGTAAGTAAAATCCCAAAACCTTATTAAGCAAAAACGTCATCAATTTATCAGACAACGATTCTGCTATTATTTTAAAGGTAACTATTTCGAAACCCTGTGCACTTTCTGCCACTAAGTTAAAAAGTGAACAAATGTGTCGCACATTCCTCAATATCTGATAATTCTTTCAACATTAATCAATATCTAAATATTTCAAGTGTTTGTTTCAGACAAAGTTATATTGAATTGCCTTTAAAGACACTTCGATTAGTAAGTTTTAACTGCACACAACATTTACAAGGTGGAATAATATAAGAGTGCGAAAAAAATCTCTGATTGACCGTAAATATAACATCAAACAAACATCACTGTGAAGGTCAGATAACGATAGCACTGTAATAATAATCAGATCTGTAATCCTAGAATTATCTTAAGTTTCATTATAACAGAATGTTATATAAGTTTGGTGGCTTAAGGACCACTGAAAAACTTTGGCACAAAAGTCATGCATTTCAAGTGTAATAATGTTTATCCTTGCTCTAGGTACGATTTTTAAGTGATGCAAATGCAATGTTATTAATATAAATATAATTTTAGCACGGTAAATCTTCAACTGTTGAGCTCCTACTTTCGAAAGTTCACTAAGAATCATAGCTGGTTCAAGTAAGCTGACAAATTCGAACTACCAACCAAGAGAAAAGAGACCAATCAAAGCATAAACAGAATAGTTAAACAAAGACATTTGCTTAATCATAAAAAGTCGCTCAAAATCACTGGAATCTAGAAATGTCTTTAGATCACGTAAATAGGTTTAAAGCAATTAATATTATAAAACTAATGATTTATAGAAAGTGGAACAGAAGTAAATTACCACGCCAGTTACGAAGATATAATTGAAGTTATATTGGTCAAATAGAAGCTTAAAAAACAAGGCACACCTAATAAATTCATTTGACATTGAAAACATATTTTAATAGTTGATTAACTAAATAGATTATAGGCACATAATACATTCAGAATTAGTTATATAACACTTTTCCATGCTACATATCAAACACTTATGGTATGAATATCAAGATTAAATTTATGGGGCCATATAGTTTCATTTAGATGTACATAAACATTTGTTTGTGTGGTACGTATCTACGTTTTCTCTTTGTACTTTTTCACTAGTAACTTTTTCTGTTGATGTGATATGACATAATGTCGTTTAGAAAATAAAATAATCTCTAAAAGCTGTGCATGAAATATACTATCTGTTGTACTTGTACATGTGACATAAAAATAAGTCTCTACCATTTCATATCTTTAAACAAGTAGAGATGTTATTAAATAACTAATCTTAAAGCCATTTATTATTTCTTATAAACAATTTTCACTAGTTATGTAAACGCTGTATTTAAAAGTTTTGATGGTATTGAGTTGACTTTAAGTTATGGCTTTTTTTTAACTTAACAGGCTAACACGTATGGAATGATAATAATTTCTAATGGAATACGTTCTTACGCTTTCATGCAATACATACAAATAGAGTGGAATGAAAATGATGTCGCAGAGAATCTAGCTTTACCACCTGAATCTGGTATATTTATGAGACCTTTTGGAGGTTATCAGTTGCCAAGAAGTTCTCAAGCTGTAGAACCAAATATATGGTTAACGTAAGTAATAAACTAAAATATTTAACAGTAAATGTATAATTTTTAAGGTCCTTCAGTAACTGGATAGTTCAAAGAATTTTTGTAACAAATAGGGAATTTTGTTAATGCTTAAGAAATGTTCTGGTTAATACACTTTTTCGATAGAACAATGAGAAGAAGGAGTTGATCTGAAAAATGTGATGTATTTGCGCCTTACATTTCGAACAATCTGGTCACACATATACTTGTCAGGGCATTTTTATATGAAAATTAATAAAGGTCAATTAAATGAAAGTTCAAGTAAAAAAGTAACAGAGGGGAGAGAACTTTCATTCAATTAACCTTTATTAATTTTCATATAAAAATGCCCTGACAAGTATATGTGTGACCAGATTGTTCGAAATGTAAGGCGCAAATACATCACATTTTTCAGATCAACTCCTTCTTCTCATTGTTCTATCGAAATTCATAAAAGGTACTAATTGCTTTAAATACACTTTTGTGTGGAAATTTACAAAATTACGTAAATCGTTATTTTTCTGTAAAATTTATTTTGTATGTTGAAAATAACACTTGGCTAGACAAAATACTCACTATGAAGAAATTTTTTATTGTTGTTATGTGGAATGGTTTGATATTATGAGCTGATGGAGGAACATTGAAGGCAATAAGATCTTAACGGCTATTTGGTCCCAGTTGTATACCTCCTTGTTTAATAAATGAAAACGAACTCTTCTATTTAATCCTCAATAGTTTAATTCCAAAGTTTAAAAAGGGTTTTGACAAAAAAAATGTATCTTAAATTATTCATGTGTCACTAAACAGAGTTACTAACCTTTTATCTTATTTTTTTCATCATAGTGAAACAAACATAGCCCTACATGGAGAATGGCTTGTTCCTTTATACAAGTCCGAAAATATAGCTAAAATAAATGTTAAGAATTTAAGTGCAGTTGCCAGTGAATTTGTTGCATCTTTGACAAGTGTTTGCGAGGGTTCACTTCATTCACGTAAATCAAATAACGAAACACCATCTGATACGGTCGTCATTAAAAATGTAAACATTGACAATACATCAGAAGAGCCGATTGCTAGAACACAGAGTTTTAAAAGAGCTTTGGAAAACCATGAAGATTATGATCATAACGTTTCATCAAATGACTATAGTTATGGAATGACGGAAAATGTACCGAAAGCTGCATGGAATATCCTGAGAGATGAAACTGAATTCTCAGGTGTTGATCCCCTCAATCAAAATGAAGTGAATATTCTACCAGAGAATGAAACTGGAAATAACTTTTATCATGAAAGTAATCAGTTTGTTGTTGATAATAAAGAGTACACACCCACAGACACAATTACAACAGAGACTTACTATCCTTTGGGTCGGTATGATGGAGATGAGGAAAGGCAGGAGATAAATGAACGTGAGTAAATATTAATTCACTTGATATTGTTTTATTTGAATCTTCCCATTGATGTTTAGGACTGCAATTGATCAGTCTCTCATATTGGCATATGTGCATACTGTGCGTATTGCCTCGATATTGCCTTAATTTACAAGCATTATAAGCAAAGATGGATAGTGAGGAAATATTGTAACTTCATTATAACAACATGTGCACCAATTTTGCTATTTTTTTAAACTCCTAGGTCTATTATAATTATGAACTTTTACCTCTTTTGCAAATAACTATGAGATATTTTTCTAGAATATATACTAAACGATTAAATCACTTCTTATTCTACATATGAAAAAGGACTATAAATTAATCAAAATAACATAAGAGCGTAATATAATTACGTCATATCTATGTCCAACTATTTTTTGTTAACGGTATTCTTTCAACAGAAATAACAAATTACCTGTTTTACAAAATTTTTGTACTAATAAAATCTTAGCACTATCAAAATTAACTCACATTATGCTTCATTAGAAAGACTGTTGTTCTAAAAAGAATAATATTTCAGTGGTTATTGTAAATCATTTTACAAACAGGGATTTTTTTATGATAACCATTAATAAAAAGATAAACTACTTGCTTACTTACGCCTGTAACCCCCGATGGAGCATAGGTCGCCGAAAAAGGATGATAACTAGCAAATAAGAAATGCAGAAATGATTGTGATGAAAATAATTATACCAGTTGAATATCCATAGAACCATTGATTACATAAAATTTGTAATAAAAAGTTTTAAAAAATCGTATTTCGACTTGTCATACTCAACTAACTTATACAGATTGCTGAAATTAGAATTTTTAGTGGCTTTGCTTCGTTAATCGATCACCTCGATAACCATTGTAATATAAATCTCAACGGTGATGAAAATCAGAAGGCAATAAGAAGCGGTAACTACAATTTATTAGGAGATAGAGTATATCATAAAGCTATAAGCACATCGAACGAATTTGAAGCGGAAAGGCGGATAAGTATGTACGAGTACATTGGCAAATTCATGGTCAAATTGAATAAGAGCTCAGCAAGGCAAAGCAAAGGCTAATAATAGGATTTGAGTACATACATACACATAGTGAGGAGGATGAATCACCGAGTAATATTTAAGCAATCATTATTTTAGCTAGTGTGTCATGTGCTCTAGGTGATGATCATAACGATACAAGGAAATATGCGAATCGTTACTGTTTAAATAACATTGTTTGTTAAGTTAATTAATAAAAGGGCTTAACCAAAATTAACCATCATAGAAATTAATTGTAGGATAGTTGCTATAACTTTATCTTTCTGTTATGGCGAATGTATGTTTTAATTAATTAATTCATCATAACAACTGTAAATATAAGCAGGGAAATTCATTTGAAATAGACTTCCATTTGAATGATTTCGGTTTATTTATAACTGTGCACAAAAATCCTATGAGGTTGAAATTATGACAAATTTTTTGTAATTTACTAAGTACTGTGTTTATTATTTTTAATACTAGGAAGCTTCTCTTCTTTCGTCGTCTATAAAAAGATTTTCTACATGGTTTGCTTTATTAATCAACTAATATCGAATACTTTTGTTTATTCATAAATGATGAATTTATGATTATATCATGATATACTGGTTTATTTTAAATTAGCTCTTATTGTACCGGTCACTATACACCCATTGAGTGATGACGATGATGATGATCTAATCGGTAATAAGGGAGAATACAAATCCGTGAATGAAACGTTTTCAAACAGTTTGGTGAAATGTGATGCTGTTAGTGAATGTAATAGTCATAACACAGAATGCTATCGAGTTGATAACGCTGCCTGCTGTATATGCAGTGATGGATTTTTCGGTGCAGGAAATGCCAAATGTTGGTCCGAAGGTTAGAAAAACGTGTTTCTGAAAAAAACATATATGTGCATTTTGTTATGTAATGCAAAGTTGATCTGTAATTATAACTAAATGTCTAAGTTTACATACTATTTAATCTGATTGTCTGATATTAGTAATTTCTCGAAATAACAAAGTAGTGATCGTTATTCGGTAGCCAAATCTAAATGAACTAGTCTTCCAACTAAAATTGTTTTCAAATCTTTGTATTAAAATACCTGTAAGGTAGTTTCCTAATATGAAAATCTGAAAATATTATCAAAACGTGATGAAATAGCTTGATTTACCTCATTAAGAATTATATTGAAGGCAAAGTAATTTACTCCCTACCCGAGATTGACGAGGTTTATGACTGATTGACTGGTAGGTTTTCGATATAATTTTTATTCCTAGAACTATCTATGTTTAAAAAGTTGTATAACTTCTCTGATGTCTATTTTCATGACACTATAATAATTTTGAGCCAAGAGGTTTCGAATTAGCAACTGTCGGGTAAAAGTTGACTATTAAAGTAATCACCCTTTAGACTTTCAACTCATAACATAGCTGAAGTAGACTTTCGTTAAATAAATATAATCTTAAATTCAACGGTTAAATCTTTAAACTACTACTACTTGTAAAAATTAAGATATACAGGCAGAACGTAATTAACTACCCTAGATTTCTATAATGCTTTGATGTGTCTGTGACAAAAACTAGCAAATATTTTCGTAAATTATATTGATCTAAACATCAATAGCTCTGATAATTTATGAAAAATAAAAGGAAATCCGTTACTACAATTCAACCCTACTGGATCAAGTTTTTCAGCTAACTAGCTTCAATTATTTCATATAGTGTGTTATTATTTGGCTCATTGATCATAGTCTACATTTTTTAATCTTCTGAAGTGTGAATATTAGCGAATATGCTCAAATTGCTCTGTCTGAATATGCAATTCTCGAACAACTAGTGCATATCTGGAGTTAAGACTAATGTTAATTGAAGAATAATATCTCATTGATTTCGGTAACAATAAAATGCATTTGTTTCCACCATTATTGTAAATGTGGATCTATCGAAGCAACACAATTCATATTCCTTAATATGTTGAGTGAATTAACACTGCTGGTCATTTCAATTATTCCCTCTTTGCTTAGCGTTTTAGAAATAGCTCCAGACTTCTATTTATTGGTCAAGCAACTTAATTTGTTCACCAATTTTATTCACTGACACAAACCTATCAGTATCGCTTATCTATTAGCGTACAAATGAATATTTCTTCTGAGTGCTAGTTACTAGTTATTCTCGTTGACTTTCATTTAAATTTAGAAATTTACATAGGCTTGTCAAAGAAGTTTACTATCGACATAGTATTGGACTTGATTAAAATCCAACGATGTTATATAAGCTTAGCATTCCGGACATGCGTCAGTCAGATTAGATTCATCAGATTTCTGAGCATATCAATAACTCTTAACACTACGTTATCAACCATAAAACCTACATCATATCTTTATTGTACAATGTAGTTTGTACTATTGTATCCTTATTACTGTTCTCATTACCTCAGTCAGTCAGTCAGTAACAACGTGGAACTTCGTACGTACGTACATCAGTTCGAGTTGCCATACCACATTAGCACAGGGATTCAGTTATCGATTCAAATCCCGTAGTGGTAGAGGTAGTGAAAGTATAAGTAGTAATAGGGAACATTAAGGTTTGATGATGTTATTTAAGGCGTATAGTCCAGTGGAATAGATTTGGAAAGAAAATAAAGGACATGGAGAATTCAGAAAATTAGAGTTTGAGAGAACACAGAGTGAATGCACCTGCGCCATTGCAAACGATTTTGAGCCATGTCATTCAAGGTCTCTAGCCATCGGTTGCTATCGTCTCGCGGTCCCCAACCAGGTAGTCTACACCTACCAACATGGCTCAGTCCACTTGTCAGTGACTTCATGAATTTGTACTATGTTTCGGTCTGACCGCCCCTAGCTCTCTTCCAACCTACTCCTACACTATAAAACATATCACATCCGGGCAGTCGGTGGTTGAGCATACGTAACACATGTCCCAACCATCTCAACTGATTAAGTTTCACTACTTCACCAATTGATTCGCCATCCCTACCTAGTACCCGTTTCCTAACAAGTACATGACTTACTCGATGGTCCCATCATATGCGAACAATGCTACGAGGACACCTATGATCAAATACTAGTAACCTACGAATATCCTCTACTCTTACCGGCCATGTTTCACTGCCATAAAGTAGAATGGAACGAACTGCTGCGCAGTAAACACGTCCTTTGGTTGATTGACGGATATCTCGCCTACGCCATAAATGACTCAAGTTAGCAAAAGCTAGTTGGGCCTTTGTATCCGTGTTGAGATTTCATCACACTAAACCACAAGGGCTGATGAGACTTTAGATAAGTGAAGCAGTCGACACGCTCAACTACTTCACTCCCTATCACTAGTTCGGGTGTCGATGCAACCCAATCCTGAAGCAACATTTTGCATTTCGAGGGAGAAAATCGCATCCCGAACATGCCTGAATTGTTGCTTAGAGTGGTGAGCAGACTCTGCATTCTGTCAGCGTCTTCACCAAATAGAACTATGTCATCGGCATATTCTAAGTCAACAAGTGAATCTCCCGGTAGAAGTTCAACCCCTAGAAATTCAGATGAGGAAAGTGTCATCTCTAAATGCACGTCAACGACTAAGTTAAACAAGAATGGAGAGAGTGGACAGCCCTGACGAACACCACTTGAAGTAATCAGTTCTGATGACAGTTTGCCATAAGCTCTCACTCGACCAGTTGTGTTCGAGTAGAGTTTTTATAAGGTTAATGTACTTCTTTGGTACTCCTTTCAGTGACAAACACTGCCATAGAACCTCACGATCAACTGAGTCAAATGCCGCCTTAAGGTCGAGAAATACTACCATTGTGGGGCGTCTGAATGTGTGTCTATGTTCTAGGACCTGACGTAATGTGAATATTTGATCAATACAACCATGTCCAGGTCGAAAACCAGCCTGGTTTTCTCTAGTCTGCTCTTCACGAACTTTGGTTAGACGTCGAAGTATTATTGAAGCTAATATTTTAGACACTATATTGGTCAAACTAATACCTCTGTGACTGTCACAAGAAGACTTTTGTCCTTTCTTATAGACTGGTACAATCAGTGATTGAGACCAGTCAGATGGGATTACGTCCAGTTCCCAGATTCTACCCAAGACCTCAGTCAATCTCGCTGCTAATACTGGACCGCCATCCTTAAAAATATCACGGGTAAACCTGTCAGGACCTGCTGCTCTCCCACGCTTCAGATTTCCTATAGCTTTTTCAACTTCGTGAAGAGTTGAAGGATTTACATTAACTTGCCATTCAGGTCGATTGGAGATCGTGGAAAGCTGAAGTGTGCCTGGAGACTAGTTGAACTGATCCTTAAAGTGTTCTGCCCATCGATCCAATCTCCTGGATTGAGAATGAATAATATGTCCATCTTTCTCTGAGATTGTTGCGCTAACAGTTGGGTTCCTGATACCGGTTTCCTTAACAAGTCTGAACAATTGCCTGCTGTTACCTATTGCCGCTGCCTTTTCCATCTCTCTTGCTTTCACTACCCACCATTGTTCACGATCATTGCGTAGGCTTCTAGTCAGCGTACGCTTAAGCTGACTTCGCTCTTCGTTATGTTCAGAGCCAGATGGAATGGTTTTCGAGCATCTATCAGGGCAGTCGACGCTGCTGAGATCCAGTGTTTCTCTCTAACCTTGTAGTTTACTTGCAGACATCACTGCTGTTTCTACAGCTTTTCGGATGTCATTCCGTGTTGTATCGGGGTGGGCATCACTTGCATGGCTGCCTAACTGTTTTTCTAGTTGTTCCTGAAATATACTCTTAGCTCGACTATCATTAAGTAGGACTCTAAGGGGTTTCCTTGTACCATCTTTCCTACGTCCAGTAAGACGTAGACAAATACGCGCTCGCACTAGAGCATGATCTGAGTCTAAGCATGTGCTCCAGAATGAGCGACAGTCTTCTATCGAGCCCCTCCATCCGTGGCTGATAGCGATGTGATCTATTTGGGTCCAGCATTGGGACGAATTAGGGGGTCGCCATTTTAAAAGATGTTTTTTCTTATGCTTAAAGTTATTATTTGCAAGAAACAGGCGGTTATCTGAGCATAGCTGCAACAGACGGCCGCCGTTATTTGTTCTTTGGGCCACGACACTATAAGATCCACCCAGGTGTCTTTCCTTTTCGCTTAGTTTACTTACTTGAGCATTAAAGTCACCAGCCATTATTACTAAATCTGAACGCCTATCTTTTCGGAGAAGGTCGGAAATCTTTCTTTAAAACTCATCTTTTACATCATCTGAGCTGCAGTCAGTGGGAGAGTAGGCAGAGACGACGAAGAGGCAACGACGAGTGTCCCTATCTTTCCGAACCCTTACTGTTCCGTTTAGTCGGATAGCGCACAAACGACTGTCTACTGGGATCCAGTCTTAGAGAGCTAGTTCTGCCCTAGGACTCAGTGCTATATACGCCGGCGAGGCCACGGGAAGCAGCATTAGGGCTTCCAGTTACACGAAGCGTGAATCGAAGTGGTTCTTTATTTTGACATGGTGAGGTCAAGTGAATGACACTACTTGGATCCCGTATACTCGTTTCAGAGACGCAACACACATCGATGGAGCGAGATTCTTAAGTCCTAGCTAAGGAAGCCTGTTGTCCTATTTGGCACAGTGTTCGGACGATAATTGTTCCTACATGTAGTTTACAGCGTGGTTTCAGGAGACCAGGAATAACGTTCCGCGTACTCGAATCGTTCGCACTAGTGGGGCGAGGTGATAAAGAGACGTGAGAAAGGTTGGTCGTGGAGATAAGAGAGTTATTAGGAAGTGTAGGAAGGATTTGAATGTGACCAACTTGGTCTCGTTTGCATTTACGGGTATGAGGGCTGATGTCACTTCCCGGCTGTCCACACTGTGGAAGGGTATTTCTTGAGGAACCTGGAAAGGAAATCGGATTAGTGTTGGTCTTAACGACCTGGGACCGTGACCGCAGAGACCAAGGGACAACTGCTTGAGGCTGGTCGTGCACGGTCTTTTGTGGGAGGTTTTTAATGTGTTAGCTCCGTTCTTCAAAGGACCTTACCGCCGGAGACGGAAATCCGTGGGGTAAGGTGGGTAGTATGATATTGTTAGGGTCAACCTTTTCTAACCCCTTCCTTCCTTGTGAGAAGATAGCATCGCTGCAAATGCTGATTGTCCGAGGCAAACACCTCACTGCTGTCACACCTCTGTACAGTACGCAGTACGACTTCGTCCTCAGACCTTGAGTTGCTGCTTTTAGTCTTACCGTTCTCCAATCGATCTGCCTGGTATGGTAGAACCTACAGGAACATATGTTCCAACCAATATAGCTCGGTTGGGTAATTACGATAGGCAAGCCCGACCACCACGTCAATGTAGTAGCTACCTAGAAACATGTTGTAGTAAACTAATCGTAAAGGAAATACACACTAGCAAGAAAAAAATGTAAATATATATTATAAAGTAATGTGTATGTCGTACATAAGTAGGCTTTTATTGAAAATGAAAGCTAAAATCTCTCAAGATTTTATTTTGCTTTGTACATTATAAATTCATGATAAATATTTATACACTGCATAATATATGTTTTCTTCGCTCTTTATATTTCAGTCAATGATCATAAATTTTCTTTTTCTGGTTCCCTAACCGCACACTTTGGTATTGAGAATACCAGTTCACCTCTGCTTATCTATCTGGATATTCAACATGGTTCACTAAGACGCAGTTCTAGTGGAATTCGTGGTGGTCAGACAAACGACAGAATATATTCAACTATGCGTTTAATTACACCTGTATTCCACATTTTAAATTCAATGGTTTCTAGTCCTTGTGAAAATATTCCAAAAAGTGAACGTGTTTATAATCTTTTCACGTTAGGAAATGGATTACAACGTCCTTTCAAGGTGTTATTCCAGTTTGATATTGAAAGAGTTGGGAAATTTGCAGTTCAAGCTGTACTTGAGCTACACGATTTCACAACAGGAGCATACGCAAATGGTGTAATACAATTAGAGGCGTTCAGTACAGAAAGTTTAAACCTACTCGATCGGTCTTATATGGAGGCTTACAGTGCTTCTGATAAGCCAGATAAAACGTATTACGCCAATTATAAAATTGATGATAATGGCCGTATTGTATTTCCAGAGCAAACTGTTAAATTTATTGCTGAGCATCGTGACTCAAATGAAATAAGTAATTTTCCTGAAGAAATTAATGTACACTGGTCTGCTGTTGCTGAGTCAGAAAGTTGCTTGCTTAAACAAGTCAGCTCTATACCTAGGAATAAATCGTATTATATTCGTCTCAAAGATCGTGGCTACTGTAGTGAGGATTGTTCATCACCAGATGGCACATGTAATTTATTCTGTGTAGATGAACCGTTATTATTAGCTACAGAACCAAGTAAGTTTAAATAAAATTCTTTGTCAAAGCAATTATGTTTTAATTAAAATAGTTTTAGTCCTGTTTTAAAAAAGTTTTGCACAATTGCATAATTTTCGTGATTTAACTTCTGTCCACTTTCACCAACTTCATTACAAGTAATTAAAGTATAATATCTGATGTGACCGTTTACAAATCTAATCACGGACATTGTCATGAAATTATCAGGAAAAAAATCTATCCAATGATAAGTTGATGTAACTTCACATTTATGCTATCATAAATGGATATTATACGTCAATGTTACCAGTGTCCTTGTCTGATGTAATAAAAGCATAAATCTGAAATGTAGTGAGAACATGTCGACATTGTTGAATATGAAAAAGTTTATTTGAACCCTATTAATAAATTTCATCTAGATCAAAATTTAAAATAAAAACTAGAAAATAAAGGATATTGAATAGAATCTTCAGTACGAACGTCAAGGCAGTTCTACTGTACGGAGCTGAAACTTGAAGAACTACAACAACCATCATCAAGAAGGTGCAAGTATTTATAAATAGCTGTCTACGCAAGATACTCAACATCCATTGGCCGGATACCATCAGCAACAGCCTTTTGTGGGAGAGAACCAACCAGCTTCCAGCTGAAGAGGAAATTAGGAAAAGACGATGGAGTTGATGGATAGGACATACATTGAGGAAATCATCAAACTGCATTACGAGACAAGCGCTAACTTGGAATCCTGAAGGGAAGCGGAAAAGAGGAAGGCCAAAGAACACATTACGTCGGGAAATAGAAGCAGATATGAAAAAGATGAATAAGAACTGGAAAGAGCTTGAAAGGATTGCCCAGGACAGGGTTAGATGGAGAATGCTGGTGAGCGGCCTGTGCTCCTTCACGAGGAGCAACAGACGTAAGTAAGAAGGAATAAATGCTTACTCGACAAACGGTGGTATTATACCACAACAAAAATAGTCATTAAAGGTTTCCTGAAATTAACAACAATTAGTCGCTTGAATAAAACCATTTTGTACAGTGAGAAGACGAAGTTTAACAGACCTATGGAATATATTAACTCAACACTTTTCTTATAGTTTAATCATACAATAACCTATTAAGATTCTTGTATGAGAACTAAAGATAAAGCTAAGGAAGTGACAGCATAAAAATAAACAAAGATAGTAAGAAAAACCACGTTAATCATATCATTCTGGATATTATGATTAAACTAGTATAATCATATTAGGTATGGTGTAAGTACAAGTAGTTTCTGAACATCCAAGTGGGATTGAATTTTTATATACTATGGTTTCAAAGACGTTTACCATACTGTTCGTGTGCAATAGCACAGTGTCTGAACTAATGGCAACCCTATGATTGTGTCAGTGACATATTTGATTGTTAAATAATTGGAGGTAGTTGACAGGTCAAGCATGACACTTAACACTACTCAAAGATTAATCAATTGTGAACATGTTCGACTTTGGAGGTAGATGAATGTCTATCACCTCCTCTCATATCATACATGAAACTTATTTATTTTCGCAGTAATTTTGGTACACTATCAGTCCCTTGCTTGCAATTTCCTGTGTATTTGTATAACGTGTAAATGTATGTCATTCCCGACTTACAATCTAATTGATTTGAAATTCGGTGAAGCCTTGAACATGTGAAATTTTATATAGATTCTTGATGGTAGTCCATGGCTAGAATATTAGTAAAAGTGATTTGCGAATGTTGCAGTGTTTTCACTCTTAAAATCGCGATTTCTAAAGGTGGTCTAACTGAGATCAATTTGTAATTTCAAGAGTCAAAATACTACAATCTTCACAAGTCCCCCCATACTAATCACAATGAGGTGCTTACTAGTGACTAACTTCATCATGTAACTCCTGGAGTTCTAATGAGATGCCGGGAACGGTAGAGTTCAATCCACGTCGAGTGTGAGGTAGTTACTCACCGCAAGGCACGGGTGAAGGTTTGAGCAAGATTATGGATTGTTACAGGTCAGACATTAACACCATTAAATGCTCAGAAATCTAGTCATAGCGTTTGTGCGAGACCATGGGTCCGCGGTTCGACTCTGCGATTAGGATCGTAGATTTGCGCTGTTGAGGAGTACCACTCCAGGGACAAAGCGTCCATCTAGTGCCTCAAGGTCTCAATGGTAGCCTAACTCAGATCAGTGTGTGGTTTCAACATCGGAACTTTGATTAGAATGGTAAATTATGATGTTGGAATATTGAAGGAACTGTAACTCATTTGTTTCTGAGAATGTGCAGCGGTTTACCCTGTAGAAAAACTTGGTTCATATTAAGATGTTATTTTCTATCAGTTATTTAGATGAATAAATCGGTTTTTGAAAAGGCCCAGTTGAATCAAAACTCATGTTCGTATTATAACAGTGTATTTTAATTTTATCTGAAGAACTGATATTCTTGCAGCTTTGACTCATTAAGCTGAATAAATCGATCTTGTCGTCAGTTTAAATTTGAGGCAGTTTTCCATGACATTTAATTTGTTTCCAGATAAATTTTATTTAGACTTTTTATAAAATTCTATTCATGATATTTTAGGTCCTTGTGACTGTGTAACGTGTGATCGTCATGGTGAAGTGTGTCGACCAGAGGGTGCTAGTTATAGATGTGAATGTGGTCAGGGATTGAAGCTAATGCCTGATAACACATGTCAAGGTAAGTTATGCTTTCTTTTAAATCTTAACCCCCAGACCTTAACTAAAACCATGTAAACGGGAAATGAAGACTCGGATTTATTAATATCTTGGTATATATATATATCAGTTGGAAGTTGGAATTTAATCTCTATTTTCAATGTAAAACGAACTCTGGCAGAAAATATCTAAAGCACATACATTTTGGAACATCTTGCACTGTCAGTTATAAGAGTGACATTTTAATTCAGGCACATATTGACGACTAGCATACCTCTATGGATTAAAGCCAACATTAGTAATCAACAAAATACCTTAGTTTGTGTTTGGAAGTTTGAATTTCGAGAATTTTGAAGTGTTAAATCAAAGTAAGCGTAGTTTGTCAGAATCAGAGAATGACTTAGTTAAGATACTCTAATTGGTTAGTAACATTAGTGACGCTTGTCATGACTTACTGTATTAGTCTTCGATTTCGTGAAATTCTTCAGTGTTGTCATTATGTTTAAAAAAGCCTATTATACTCCAATTTCTAGTTCAATAAACTTCACTTTTAATGTAGTTCTGGGAAAAACCAAGTATATTTCCTACAGTAGGTTCATTGAAATATTACTAAATCCTATCCAAATCATCCATCAAGCTGAACCTTAGACAACTTATCTCGGAATGTCGAATTACTTATTGAACTTCGTGATCAAGAATAAGTAACATGAATTGGTTAATATACGATATAGAGCTGAACGGTGATAAACAATAATGGAAACCTGTTGCTGCCCTATTGATGTCAAAACAGTAGAAATGCAGCATATCGTAACAAGTGATGCATATTTTAGTATTTTCACATAATCATGTACGGAAATAATTTAAAATCGATAGCATAAATAACTTTTTATCTTTTGCTTAATCCATGTACAAATAAACGATTTCTGGACATTTAAAAATCCGCTTTCACTGAAAGACCTGTGTTCACAAGGTGTTCGATTATTGAACTTCTTATTGAACCTTTTCCACCTCTTTTCGGCCAAGCCGGTTAATATTCTCGAATTCTTTTGGATAAATGACTCATTGAAAACCTATATACCTAGCTCCATATGAACAAGTAAATTGGTAAACACACACAGAAACGGGGAAGGGAAACCATTTATCCTTAAGATTATTGATGAGCATTGTTCGTCTGGAGGACACTATTCGCAAAGTTGCTATGATACCTTAATAGCTGGCTATTCCGCAAGAGTTTCTTGTAGATAGATCTATAGAGTTTTGTCATGTTTTCGTGTCATCTCTACATCAAGAAAATGAATATTTTATTTGTTTTCAACTTCAAGTGTGAAATTTATTGCCAGGTAGCAATTACTAAATGTCTTCAGAAGATGATTCACATCATATTTATTGTCACAGATAATAAAGGCATTATCCACTCACCTTTTATAAAAGTGGAGATTATCAATGGTAGTTCTAAATTGATTGTTTTCTAGGCTAGACATGAAACCATCTTATTCATGCCTTATTCTTTCACAACCATTTGTTTCCCCTCTTTCTTCTCTGTAGACCTTTAACCTTCAACAGATTTGTCTCTGTCACTACGATCCCTTTGATCGCAGTCCAAAAAATGACAATGTGCACACATCTGATATTATCAATATTTGTTCATTCAAAAGCTACCCTAGACGACACCAATAAGAAATTATTTTTGCTGTAACGCAACCGATAACTTTTTCCTTTCTTGTGCAAAATGTCCGAAATGATTTATTCGGTTTCCTATATGTCTTTTTTACGACTGAAATTAAAGTTTTATATCGAAAAAAATTGCACTTCGATACATCAAATAAAGCTTGTGGTTTACAAAATAAAGCGAACATAAGTAAAATGAACTTGAGCAAGTGAAAAAACATTGTCAAGCTATTCGTAAATTTGTTTAAAGTGATGAATGGATACAAAATATGAAGCTATCAAATACGAGTGATACTACTGCTAAATCAGTGATGAACAGTATCAGTAGTATGTTAGCGAGAAAAATATTTTTTTAACTAAAGAAACCTTTATAGGATTTTCTGAAAGGTGACGAAATATTTTACTTCGTTCAGAAGTTAATAACAATGTATCCTAATATAATATTTCTAATCTTTTTTAAAAGAATTTTCTTATATTTCTGTTTTAAATTTGCATTTTGTTGATTCATTCTATATCACGGATTCCCCTTGGTGTTATAAGCTACTTCATTGGTGGATGGTAAGTTAACTATTAACAAATAAATAAATGAACTGTTTGCTAGGATATTTTTATTTTAATGTAATCATTTATGTTAAATAATAATTCCACCGACTCTATAATTTATCATTCACATTCCGGTAATAAGTATTCATCATTTCTGCTTAAAGCCATATGTTTCTGTTTTTGATCTACACAATAAAGTGGTTGACGAATATAGGTTCACGAGTAGAACTAAATGATAATTCATCGGACTAATGTTGAAAAAATATTGGAGGTTCACACCTAAATGATCAATTTTTAACTTGTTTCTTAAATAGTTTCAAATAGCTACCAGTTGTTTTGAAATCCTGTCACATGATAGTTTACTCAACCATATCAAAATAAACCATTTGATAAAGTTTTCAAATTAAGATAGTAACTCACTGAAGACAATGGTGGACGAGTGGCTTGATTTCATGGATTGGTTTGAGTTTGACATTAACACTGTTAGATGCCGGCTCAGTGGTCTAATGGTCAAGCACTCTCGTGCGAGACCGATAGGTCCTGGGTTCAGATCCCGCTAGGCGGGATCGTGGGTGCGCACTGCTGAGGAGTTTCACAATAGGACGGAACGGAAGTTCAGTGCTTCTAGGTTTTTCATGGTGGTCTAACTCCAATTGACTCATGATTTCAACTATTAAATAAAGAAATGTCTGTTAGATTGTATTTTTGCAAGTTTTTATTCTCAGTGTTTTAAATGACTAATGCTCAGTATGACCAATTATTTATATTTAAAATTTATTGTTTTCTTAATGGATTTAAATTCTTTTAAGTGTGGTTACTTTACAAGTCTTTCAATTTTATGCTAACATAAATTTCAATATAATTGTTGAACATAATCGTCGGTCATATTGTGCTAGACATAACTGTTCTTTTTATTTCGATATATTCTACAAGAAAATCTCTTTTGGAAACAAAAATATTTAGTTCATGATACTAGAATCATACTACTATACTTATTTTTATTAAAACACTGAAACTTGATATATTCATTAATTCATTATGTAATAAGTTGAAATAATCTATAAAACCGTTAACCTTAGTATACGTATTTTTTAGTAACTAACTATCTCGGTGTACAGTGTGGTTCTGTCAATTGTCATACCCATGCTCGCTGTATTGATCCAAATCAAGCGTTTTGTCAATGCTTACCTGGCTATAGAGGAGATGGTGTTAGCCATTGTGAAAGTGGTAAGATACACTTTAATAATAGTATAATATACTCTTAACAAAACATTGTGCATTTCTATCCTCTGACGAAACCTTAATGCATATACCAATACTTATTCTACCAAACTAAAGAACTATTACATAAATTGTTAAAATACACTTTTTAGAAAAATAGTATTTATTCAATAAGGTATTTTTATGTCAAATAGGATATTTTATGCCCTATATCGTAGCCCACTTGTTGCATGTAAAGGCCTCAGCATGTCCAATTTTCACAGTTCACTGGGAATTATTGTCATACTTTGATTAATATTTATTAAGTAATATTAATCCGATTAGAATCAAATTATTCCTAAGCACTAATATTGAAAGTGTTTATAATTCACTTATTTGGTCGATTTTATAATTGATGAGTGGTTAAAACAGTGAAATTCAACCTTAAATAGTATGAAAAAAAGGTAGTATAAATAAATGTAAATTTTACAAATCTGTTTAGATCTGTTATCCTTTTTGTTAGTCTTCACAGTCTTTACACTAATTGATTACCAATTAGTAACTAATGCAAAATTATACTCATCTGCCTGCTGATCCAATACTATTAATCACATTCCACTGTTTCAACAAAGTCTAATCAACAAGATTTGTTAAATAAAACGAAGTTTGCATAGCTCTCTTACCAGTTAATAAATAGTTTAAATTTATCATCGTATATTTCAATCAAATTTTTGAATAATATCTTTGAGCACTGTAACAACCTTATCTATCTTCATCTTTCAATTACATTTTGAATCATTCGTAAATATTTTTCTAAATACTTTCAGATATTCTGTATTGTCATCTGATGCATTACTTATTCATTAGTAATAAATTTATTATTGTAAAACATGTATAAATAAGCGTAGAAATATGATGAAAAGCTAAAAAACTTCATCATATTCGTGTTTAATCATAAGTAGTTGAAAAAACTATGACTTATATTACTAACCATCACGTTTCATCAGACCATGCAAAATCGGACAGTTTTCTGAAAAAAAAATGGTCAAAATCAAATGAATAACTTGGATTTGGTTGAATACATCAAGAGTACTACTTTCAGAATATAAAATATTCCAGTTATGTTTTAGTGTAGCACAGAATTAAAGTAAATTGATAAATGCATTTGTAATAGCTTCAACACGTGATAAATATTGACCTTTAAATAGATTATTCAATTTTCTAAATCAGTGGTAAAGTGCATAGCGTTTGGATGACCGTGATTACGGCGTAATGACTTATGTCATTATCCGAAACTGTTCTATAAGTCAGTGGTAAAGCACAATAATAAACCTGTTAATCTTTGAATTCCATTCCACTGATTCTCTGTTTGATGATACTAATAGAATAGAGCAGATTTTATTCAAGTGCATTATTGATACTCATCTCGTATATGTCAAGCACTCTGCTGTGTTTAGATAATTTCGAATTATATCTCCTGAAAGACTGAATGACCGTTAGTTTCTTTGTTAAAAAATCTATACGAATAAAATAATATCTTTTAATAACGAATTATTGAAAGTTAAAACAATGAAATGCAACTCTAAGCAAATTAACAGTTAGGCTATAATTCATTTAGAGTAACAATGTTTGACTATGAGAAATCATTTAAAGAGTTATAAAGTAGCCACTTGCTTCTTTCTTTTTTTCTACAATCTCATAGTTTTTCTTTCAAGAGTTGCAAATCGTAAAATAATAAGATTTTCATTGGTTCTAAATTATCCACGTTTATTACCATGTATAATGGAGTAATTCTTTATCATTAAATTACCCACCCCTCAAACACACACACACACACATTTTTTAGTAATTAACTGCTAATAAAATGAATACTATATTACACTTACATTATAAAATTTCCAAATATCAGTTAAAACAATAAATATTTGTAGTAGTTTATACATGCTGTTACATTTACATTTATTGAAACAAATGAGAGAATAGATATTATTCTACAAAGTATTCTAAATGATACAATAAAATAATATTGCCCAATACTACCCTAAAAATGATCATGATGCAAGTGATTAACTTTACAATTGGTTCTAATCACTTCAATACTTCTTTATTAATATAAATCTAATCGAGTTTTCATTTACAATAATATCATATATCCGAGTGTAAAATTAACTAACTGTAACAAATAACAGTTCAATGTGTTTATCTCTTAATGGAAATGAATATTAAAGATCTATAATTCAGTATAACGTTGTTTCTGCATGACTTTTATCGTAAATTATATGTATGAAATATTTTTCTATTAAGCAGTCATGTGGCGCCAAAGTTTATTAATGGCGCTATAGTTAAGGTTATGAATCAGTGTCTGAATTAAGGAAAATCGTAATTATGAGTACATTTTGGATAACTTTTAAATCGTAACTTATATTAGCATTATTTCATTTATAACAATTTCACTAACAATCAATAGAAATCTTATATACATATGTAGAGTGGTGAATTCCATTCAATTGATTGTTCCACAATAAACCGTAGTGCTGCGATTTGGTTGATACACGATCGATCCTTACGGAATCCAGCCAGCTGATCTCGTATATATATATATATATATATATATATATATATATATATATATATATATATATATATATATAATGGTTCTTTTTTAGGAACATTCCTTATAGATGATCATAGTAAATATATCCAAATAATAGAGCTATGAAAAATCAACAGGATTTACTTTCTTCTCCTAATAAGTACACAAACTAAAATTAAAAATGAGAGTAGATTGGGATTATACTAGATAAAATTTTGGAAGTTGGCTTGAAGTTGTCGAGTCGCTAAGACTAATATACATACGATTACTTGACCGGTGAAATTTGATAGGTACTAAGAAATATATAAACACAAAACTGTATACTAATTAGTGTAAACATCTCATCTTTATCTAGGGCCGATCGCGGATTGAATAGCTAACTAATAAAGTCTGTGACTGAGATACATTATTTATTTATTTATTTCAACACATAAATATTGGTACAAGGGGGCACCAAATATATATGCGCCACACTATATTTGCGCCACACAAGTTGAGAGAATTTCGATTCACTTGACAGCACTATTTCCCACTAAGTTGGAAATGAACTTTCCTGATGAGTCCTAAATAGTGCAAGATCTTGGTACATGGCTAGTTGTCAATTGTCTCCAGTGACTAACATCAGTTCATAAACTCATTTTTCAATTATAGATTGGTCAATCGTTCACTTTATACTAACCACATTTTTATTGAACTTTTTTCGAAAACACCCAGTCACACATATTTTAGCAGAATGCACCAAAGATTACAGCGAAGAAAAACGAATAAGATAAATATAATTTGAAACTTTGGGCTGCCAGTTCTATTCAAAACACTTGTCATATGAACGCATGTTAAGTGATGCATTATGTAGATAAATCGGGCTAGAGATTTACAATATATTTCAAAAATGTCATCTTTTTTTCTTTGATTTTATTACTTACAAAGGTTACCTCATCAAGATTTTAAATAATTCAAAAGTAATTTTAATTTACAAATGGTATCGTTCAGTGAAATAATCAAAAACTCAGTGTCCAGGTAACAATAATTCTCAGCGGCTTTTCAATTGGTGTCAGTTCGTGATCAAAGTTATGAATCGTGCATATTTTACGAACACGTTGATGCTAATATCTATCGTCAAGTAATATCTGAAATTTAGAAATTCACACTACTGGCTTCGAGAGTCTGAATATATTATAGTCACTGAAATACTTAGTTGTCTTAAGTTTGTTTATGTGCAATATTTTGTAAAGAGCACTAGCTTACAGTATAACATCTGTTTAGTGCTCTATATTTTTTGTGTGATATCAATCCATGATTTAAATTATCCACCTATATTTCCATCAATAAAATCTAAGTAAAAATCTATTACATTGTGAATTATTTTATCTAACGCCCTTTGAATACAAAACAGAAAACCCCTATATATATGTAACAGAGCTTTAGATTGTTAATGCTAGTAGCATATATGAAATTATGTAAGATACGTTTTTAGCAAAAATGTACTTAAAAGTATGGTTCAAGTTATTCATCAGACTGACATCTGTTGAACGTTATTTTTTCTATGAAGCAGATGAACCCTGTACATGGGAATTTCTGTTAATCTTTAGTTACTTATTGAAAGTTGTCTCTCCAACATCTGCTTCATACATATGTATGTCTATTATATACCAAAATTTATTATCTTTCCATCGTATTGTTTTCATATATGCTTTTTTCATTAGTTTATAAAATAAGTGATTATGATACTAATAAATGTTTATGTGTTTATTGTATATCTGAATGTTTTCCTACGGACTCTTTATTACAAAACAAGTTCATATTAGCAAATCCAAAGAGTATAAATAGGAGGGAAATAATTATGATAAAGTATTTGTCTGAAGTTTCAGTCAATAAAAGTTCCAGTGTGATGTACATAGTTATTATTATTACATTACCACCTAAGATTTTGAAACCTCCCATCGTTCTTCCATAATATTTACAGCTATCCAATTAAACAGATTTACATGGAATAACCAACTATGAATAAGTATGATCTAATTTTGCAATTGTTATCCTGAAAAATATGTCAGACAATTTTTTTCACTCTCAAATAACGACATCTTATCACAGATTGAAACAGCTGAAAATATTCACCGTAAAAAGTTTTATTCAATTAAAACAACTGTGACCAATTGGATCTCATTGCCATGAAACAAACTGTAATGTTTACAGTGTGATAGTAGTTAGTTATATAATGAATCAATATACCTTTATTTATAAGCTCCACATCAAATTTAGTAATGTTATCTATGTTGTTTCATCCTGATAACTTCAATTATCGTGAGATACAATTCGAAATAACAGTGTGAAATCGCTGTCCCAATCATTTTCATTCTGGTTAATGATCATCCAAAAATAATTAGATTAAACATTTTCAATATTATCCATAGTTTTTGAACTATGAACTAAATCATTTATCTTTTAAAAATTGATACTTTTGAACCCTGCTTGACTGTATTTTTGCAAATGAATTTCACGATTCTTTAACATTTTTTAGCACATAAATTTCCCTTAGATTTTTTCCATTAGGTATTACCATAAAATACGTACGGACACAGATTCGTAAATGAATTTGGCTTATTTCTTTTTTAAAATACTACCTAAGAAATGTGAACCATTCAATAAATAACATATTATCCAGTTAAATATCTTCAGTTGGTTAATTAATTAACCTTAAGCACATGTAAATTATATCTGTTCTTTAAAATATTAAAACCTGATAATATTCTTCGCTTGAATTACTTGAACCTTAAAAGAAATAAAATCAGCAGATTTCTTTCAACCTACTTCAACTGTACTAAATGGCTTCCAAGAAAACCAAAAACATTAAACTTTAGTATCATTAGTAAAGTTTGGCTTAATCATTTCAAATAGACCAAGCGTTGGGTGTAGTGTGTATTGATTAAAACTGAAATGACACACACACTTTTTTCCCAAGAACTAACATGATTAACATGAATTCATTTTATTTCATTAAGTTCATATCAACTGCTTACCATCTATAATATTTTAGAATCAAAATTATCGTCAAATTCGCTTACTGATAACAGTTAAATCGAATATGTATCATCGTGGTAGAATAGTGATTCGAATAAATGTAATGTGGTTGCAGACATAAAGAACGTTGAAAATAGATATATGTGAGAGAATTGTTCACACGAAAGAAATACCTTCTATCATTAACGTTACCTTGGCTTTATTATTACTGTTATTATTATTTTTCCATTTTGTAATTCCCCTCTCCCTATACTTACGTCTCATATTCTCATGACTTTATTCATAATTCTTTCTGATATCACTTCATTTAAATGTGACCCTATATGACCTTTAATTACCTTCAATTATTGCAACAAAAACAATTTACTCATCTTATTGCATTCACATTATAATTCGTTGATAACTTATTGTTATTAGTCACATTACGTAATCCAGTAACGTAACTTTTCGAATGCATCATCACATTTATTCCTTGTTCATATGTCCTCACGGAACTAGTACTTAAACATTTTAAAAATTTCATATGTGTATACTATTGTACAGCATGATAATAAATTCATTGAAACGAGATCCCTTCTCTGAACTTTTTAAATGTTCAAATGGGAATTATAGGTCATCATATACAATCGTAATACGGACAGTCTTTTAAATCCTTTACTGTGTTTGAATAAGCGAAACAATAAATGTATCATGTCATCTTGATAAATCATTACCAAATTAGGTCACTGTATTAAGTAAAACTTCTTTTTTTGTGTGTAAAAAATAAATTTTAAGTTAATTCAACTAATGTAAATGACCTGATGATTTATTAAAAGATAAACAGATTAAGAAACATTCTGTGATCATTCGAATAGATTATGTGTAAGTCACTGAATTAAACATCATGCTTTTTAAACCACATCTGTGAGGGTATTTGTTCCCTTTGTTTCAGATAGTCGTACTATGATGAATGAATTGTCCCCTTTAAGAAAAAAGTTCTTCATGTGTAATACTGTTCTAAAGGTTTTAGTATTCATAGAAGTTATGTATGAAATATTTAAAGGCAAATCATGTCATGTTTCACCTAATTGTTAAACTGGTTTCACCTTAAATAATCTTATTTTTGTGAAATCTGTATGGAATTTATAATCTTTTCTTAGAATATATAATTAATACCTTTGAGGTTAACAAACCTTTCATTGTAATGTATTGAACTAAGGACAGAAAAATACATTGTTATTATTATTTTGAAACATCTGGTTTGTTTCCTTTTTGAATTCTTTCGTTAATTTGATATATCTTCCCGAACAATGAGTGGGCTGTAATATGTTAACTAGAAAGAAATTATTTTATTTTGTGAAATCCTTGTATTTATTTACAATGAAAATCTACCATCAAATCAAATGAAGTATTTGCATAATACAGTGATTGTAGCAAGAAATATTTGAATAAACCAAATATTCCAAGTTAAATGTATGGAGTGAAATTACTTATAATAACATGATGATAGAAGTTATTTTGTGTAGTAATTGAACATTTTTCAATAAGCTGCCATTAACGTTAATCTAAAGGTGAATGATTCATTGTCGAAGTATCTAAGGTTAATAATACTTACCGCAGCAAGAACTAAACGAGGGTTTAAATCTCCGCCTGATTGTCTACAAATTCCACTTACTGTTCGAGATCCTTTTGATTATGAAACTTGACGGTGGTAGAGTTTGACCAATGATTAGCCCTGAAATGGAATGTATTCGAAATACCGAAATATCAAATCTATTGACACCGTTCTAGTTTTTTTATGTTAAACAGAGTGATAATGGACAATAGATCACGAAAAATATCTACATAACCGTATGATTCAAATAAACGTCTCCTGGGTTAGTTTATTCGTACTTTATACCCAGGAGTATTAGCCTTGCATAATAGTGTATCTGACTTGTCTTTGATTATTTAGGTTAGTGCCAATAAACGTTTTACCATATATTCCTCACATTTCCATGATTAATAATAATGTGGAAACTTAAACTATCCTATATCATATAAAGGAGATTTTTAGAGAAGTGAATATGAAGTTTACCCCAAATGTTTTTCTCAAAATATGTTTAGCATAGTAGGATTTAATTTCTTTCCCTTCGATTCTCATTTTACTTACAAATCAGTAGATGATTGAATTTGTGATACAGCAGTTTTTATATCATCGTGGAGTCCCAGTGTAGTGAACGAGCACACCGGTGGGAAAGATCGCTTTGATAACATGTGAAAACCATACATTAAATACTTCATTTGCACATCTTCCATCAGTTGTCTCTTACAAACTTCATTGTTCCTTCATTTCTGTTGTTATTAAAATTGCTCTCTTTTTACATTCTTGTCTACCTTAATTAGATATTCTTGACGTTCTGCTGCCAGGCATTCTACTTCTTATTAGTGTTACATACTACTTATACCGACAGACATAAGTAGCATACACCACACTTGTACTTTTAGGAGAAAAACAAATAAATAAGTTATGTAACAAACGAAGACAAAATCGTAAATTATATATATTTCCTGACTACATAATACCATTACGCTGTGTGTTATTCAAAATATGCTGGATTCATCAGTTAAACTTTTTAAAATCCGTTTTTATGTATCCACTATTTAGCAGTAAAATATTTACCAAATCGATTATGTCTATTTTATAGATCCATGTTCTAAATGTCGTCGTAATGAGATTTGTGAAAATGGTATATGTATAGCAAGTGGTGTTGATCTATGCGAAGGGATTCAGTGTGGAGAACAAGCGTTCTGTCAAGATGGTGCTTGCGTTTGTACACCAGGTTATACTGGCGACCCAGTTGTCAAATGTTATGAAGAAAGAGGTGAGTTTACAACATTAAATGTAAAACAATTAATCCCTTTGATAAATTTGGGTAATTTAATAAGAAAACGAAGATTTTCAGAACTATGATATATATTGTGTCAATATATCATATAGTTCTGATAATTTTGTCTTCTGATTACACTATCCGTAATTAAATATATCTGTCTTATTTGCAGAATCAAGACTTGTTTCTTCATTTGGGAATTCTAATTACTTTTTTTGATCATATTCGATTTAAATCCTTTCTACAATACACAATATAGTCAATATCTGCGATTAGTAGTCACGAAGATCTGTCTAATATTTGTTTCTTGGGATGATATATATATATATATATATATATATATATATATATATGAGAGATAGATTATTTTTGCCAGAATACATAACATCTCTCATTTTATTAGATCGATGTTTTCAAGTACGTTGTCATCCAAATGCACAATGTTATAATAACGAATGTCACTGTGTAGAAGGTTTTCAAGGTGATGGGTATTATGATTGTAAGCCTGAATTTTACGGTAAGCTAGCTTCCCTTAATTATCCTATTTTTTCATTCCTCTACTGTGATTACATTCTTCACACAGCTTGTTATTGTGTTTTGAAACAGTGCATTTACGTAAACTCCGCCTATGCCCTTTCCCATTATGTTTTTGTAAAAAAAAATACTACTATTTCAAATGCTAAATTCTTAAGTTTATTTATTATTTGACGTAGAAACATTTTATTTTTTGCATTACCACGGTACGTCTGCATGCCTTCCTAAATTAAATTACTATTTAACACAATAATTCATGTCGAGATTTTCTAAATGTTCTATTCAATCCATTTTTATTGAATACCTGTCTTTAAGATACTGAACACAGTAGACGTGTATATTATTCTTCTACACTCAATTTTTGACATCTTATGTTTGTACTCAGTACAATGATATACTTTATGGCATACTAACATCATGAATATTATAAACTCTGCATTAAAGATTTCTTTGATCATATACCTTATAATGAATAAATATCCTAAATACTTATTTATCCAGATCGGAAAAAAAGTTTAATACTATTCAACTGTTTACCGTTAACTATGTCTACTTAAATCATACATTTAACAAAAAATCTCTGATCAACATGCTTAACCTACCAGGTTTAAGAAGATTATTTCTTAGAAAGTAGTTCGAAAATGATCCAGAGTTATCAGATGGTGAGTGGCGCTTTGAAGTAATAATCTGCGTTTAGTGAATGGCATCATTTTCATTCTATTATAGGACTCCTTGGCTGTGCGCATCCACGACCACATACGCGTAATTTGAACCGAGGACCTTCAGTTTCGTCCTCCATCCGAGTTACGTGTACGGGGTCATGAATATACACTACTGAGGGGTCCCATATTAGAATTTTATGATAAGTTTTAAATTGATACATTTCTTCTCTACTTCCAGTCGCTTTAGAGATAAGTTTGACCAGATTTTAGTTTGTTTCAATGTTACTCATCTTTATCTATTTGTTGGATACGATAACTTAGAATTTATAATTATGTTTTTCGAGTTTGATTTTGATCAAATTTACTTTCTCAATAATCGCATATAAATCCTTTCCTAGTTTTACCTCAGGGTCACAGTTCACAAAAAGCAATGACTCATTCAATTGACTTTTGTGAAACGTTTTATTCTGAAATACTGCAATCAACATTTCCAATTTGCAAACTGCGATAACTAATAATATTTTTTTAGTGAAACATATTCAAGTGAAACTATGCACTCGCTAAGCTTAAACAGTTGGTAAGCTTATATACCAGAAATACGTTTTTACAGAGGAAGATATTGTGCCTCTAATCTACTCTAGTTTGTAACTGCAACCACACGACATTTAAAGCTCCGCATTATTTAGTCAGTTAAGATTTATCAAAAAATATTACAACTTAGGTTCCATGTTAATAAAAATTCTGACCCTTTAGGGATCATGAGTCTTTTAAACAAAAAAGCGATAATGTACTGAGGCCATAGATTGTTTTGATCTGAGGTTGTTTTCAAGTATCACTTAGAAATGATGTAAGGAATCATAGTCATCGTCCTTTAAAATAGTCTCAACCCTAGCGCATAACCTATTGTTAATAGGCTCGCCGTATTCTCAGATAAAAACATTTAAAATCAGCTCACAATACAATCTATATTTTGTTCAAATTTAATTTTTGTTTTCATAAACATTATTATACAAGATCCATGCTCTGAGGTTAGGTGTCATCCATATGCTAAATGCAGAAATGGTAACTGTGAATGCCTACCTGACTATTATGGTGATGGTTATCATGTTTGTAAACCACGTAATTATGGTAAGTTGAAAGAAAATGATGAAGCACTAACACGCATGGATTCATTATTTGTATATACATTCATAGTAGGGTGATTGACTACACATACAGCTACTTTATCAAAAGATATGTGTGCATGTTTATATTCTTGACATCATATAAGATAGAAAATTGCTGTGTTATAAAACCATATGCTATCTCTATACATAATCCATTTTACTTAACTATAAAATATAACTCAATGTACCTTGCTTTAAAAATAAATACCTCAAAGAAACAACATATAAAATATTTTATAGCACGATAACTTATGCTAGAATTTCATTTGAATGCTATGTAACATTGCATTTTGTCATACAACCTTAGTGTCATTTACTCATGAGTTGCACATTTCAAACACCACTCATTCACTCAAGTGTTCGGTTGTAACTTATGATAATCATTCTGATATAGATCCATGTGATTATGTTCAGTGTCATCATTATGGATATTGTATTAATGGTAGCTGTCAGTGTCGTGCTGGATTCGAAGGAAATGGTTACTACGACTGTCGCCGTATTCAAGTAGGTGGGTAAGACTACAAAAAGACCTATATTTTGATTGGCATATCCCAGTAATTTCCGAAAAAAATGTAGGAAGTTTGGAGCGTATTCTGTCAGTGAGTGTTTTCTCGAATAACCTACTAACTAACATCTATTGTTTAGACAGATAAATCTAAATACATCAGTTAGATCGCATACTTCTAATAGATAAGAAAATATGTTTTCAACGTAGTTATTTAGTTCTCGTTTACGATAGTATAGGCAGAATACAGGAACTTTCATATGCATGATAAACATTTATAGAAAATGTTAGGAAATAGGAAATACTGCAAAATAACTGAAAGCCAAATACATCAACAAAAAGAAGCTTTTACTGAATATGTAATTAGTTAAAATTTGAAGCCGTTACTACCTTTTTCAATCATGTTAATACGTTAAAGAGTTAATCCAAAGCTGTCAACAAAGTGGCAGTTCACAGTTCTTCATCCATTATTAGTTCTTCCTAACCCAATTTACATATACACATCCTATTTGGAAGTAAAAACACATTCTCCTTGAAGAAACTTTGTGGTTATAAAGGTATTCCACATATAGTTTATAATTTAAACAAATGTGATTCTGCCTTGTACATAAGCGATAACGGGTCTTTCATTGAGCATGAGTCTTTTTGTTTTCTCAAGGGTGGTAACTCAATAAAACACATGTCAGAACGACTGATCGCATTTTAGCACAAAATCACAAATTTCTTTCATCAAATGTGAAAACTATATTGTTCAATACTTCATTTGAGAATCCTCCATCAATTGTCTCAAACTTCATCGTTCCTTCTCTTCGATTCGTTGTTCCTAATCTTCTGCTGCCAGGCATTCCACTTCTGAGCGGAGTTACATACTACTTATGTCGACATAAGTAGCATATGTCAGTAGTACAATAGTTTTTTAAGTTTCTTTTTAAGATTTCTTATTGCTTTTTGAATTCCTCAATTTATTGTGTTCATCAAATCGAAAACCGAAGATGATTATACTTTAAACATATATCATCGAAATTATTTCGTTCAAATAGTTCATATGTACTTTTCGCTTTATTAATGAAATGATAATGCAACTATACTCTTACTCATACAGTACTTAATACATAATTCTGTGCTTATTAATTGTTAAGATTCTATTAATGACTGAATACTAACATTCATACACTAATTGCCACACAACAATCGCTAATGTAAATTTGTAAATTGTAGAGAAGATTTGTAGCTCAGGTGGTTGATTTAGTTATGAAGCATTCAGTGTTTATCTGAATAACATCATCAACAAAAATTCCAGACAGAAATGAAATGTTCTAACCATTCAAAAAATCAAGAATAAATACAAAACCAATAATCAGATCAAAGGTCGATACAATCAAAATAAGGAGGTAGATAATGACAGGTTAAAGCTCAATAATAACCAATTATAATAGAGGTCAACAGGATAAGATGTATCATATGAGGAGAAATTCGAACACTTCACTTCTACGTGAAGTTGTTCAGAAGAACAATGGAAACTCAACGATCAAACCATCCGACTGAGAGAACAAAACTTCATTCAAATTGGTATATATCAGTATAGAGTTGTGGAGATTATTAAGTTTTCGATTGAGATAATGAACCGATTGATGTTAGACCACCATTGAGGTTAAGCGTTCGCGTGCGATGCTGGAATCCCTGGGTTCGAATCCCACGGACGGAATCGTGGATGCGCAATGCTGAGGAGTCCCACAATGGGGCGAAACAGCCATCCAGTGCTTCCAGGTTTTCAATGGTGGTCTAACATCAATCGGTTCATGATCCCAATCGTAAATTGATAAATATTTATCATTGGGAATGAATAGAAACAATACAGTTTTATTTTAAATTATTTTTGATGATCGACTCTGAAATTAATAATACTTTTATATAAATAGAATAAATATGTACTAAATGTTTTAAATATGCATCACTAACAAACCATTTTTTTAAATTATTTTAATACCACCCTAACAATAGATCCTTGTTCTCTTGTACAATGTCATTATGATGCCACATGTCACAATGGTGTTTGTGCATGTAAAAATGGTTATATTGGTGATGGTTATAGAGAGTGTAGACCAAGAGAAACCGGTGAGTAGGTTGACAGAGTAAATAAAAATTGACAAATATACTAAAAATCATTAGCATGTTGGTTTATAATGTTTGCTCAGCAAAGAAAACAGTAAAAATCGGAATGCTATTTTTAGCATGTGAGTAGAAAATATGTAGCATTTCAGTTATTTCACCCCTACTCTACCCCGGTAATACTGATTTATTATCTAGCGTAGTTTTCACTTTATTTTTATGTGGTTTTTATTATTTTTGTTCCCCTTACCTGTTAAATTATCTAGTTGACCTTTTATTTTTCATATATAATGTCTTAACAAGTTTATGTATGATCAGATTGCTTAAAATGCATTACCCAAATATATCACATGATTCTGATAATTTTCATCCTATCATCGTACTATCGAAACAATCTAAACCTGTAAATGTTTTCCCAGAGATTGTAGTTGCTAACGCGTAACCTAAGGTCAAAATAACATTTTAATTGTCTATTTATTGTTTTCTCATATCCAACTGAATATTTTTCATTTATTCGTAAAATGTTTCTAGACTATGATCATAATGACTGAAACATGATGGTAACTCTTACAAAAATGTTTATAACCCAATGAATCTGATTGTTTAAAGTAACTTTGTCATTGAATAATTTGAATTTATGATTTGTACACATTATATCGATATTTCTACTATCTTCTCTCAACACCAAACTAAAAATTATTATAGTTGAATTTATGAGTCAATTAAGTTAGACCACCATGGAAAACCTGGGAGCACTGGACGGCCGTTTCACCCTAGTAGGAGACTCTTCAGCAGTGCTCATCCATGATACCGCCCCCCGAGATTCGAACCCAGGACCTATCAGTCTCGCGCGAGAACGTTTAACTTCTATGCCACTGAGCGGGCCGGCCTCCAACGATGGTAATGTCCCATACTAGGATGAGACGGCCGTCTGGTGCTTCTAAGTTTTCTATGATGGTCTAACTTCAATTGACTCAAGAATTCAACTATAAAATTACTAAAAACTCCACAAAACCCCATTCTGATAATAAAGATTGTTACTAATTCCATTGTTTTCTAAGTATAAATAATGTTTTTTAATTAATGGAAATGGATGGAGTTAGAGACTAAGAGATAACAAAAGGTGTTAATTTAATAAAATTATATTTGCTTCCCATTCATTTTAATCTGTATATTGAGCACTACAATGATAAACTACATTAAACAGGTTACCAGATCTGTTGTATTTTGCCACAATTTATTTCTCGAAAAACGAATTGTTTCTTTTTTATTTTAACTCAAAGGTAAGTTTTAAGTGTAATAAAATTTTCCATTTAACATATTGACTATTTATGAATAGTATCAATGATTAAAATATACAATAAGCACATTAAAAAAGTAGAAATCTATCATTTTTGAGTATCAGATTTGAAATTAATGGACTATTATTATTATTATTATTATTATTATTATTAATAGCGTTATTTAGTATTATATTTTTGGTACAATATAGAATAATTCTCAGCACAAAGTATTTCAACAAGTTCCCGTTTCTTACTTAATGGTTAATCCTGATAATAAATATTGAGTGATCGCCAGTTAGAAGTTAGCAGTTTAATCAATCGACATCTAAATAATGTACATTCTTTTCGTTGCATATTGCCATCAACCACGATATCTCTGATTGAGCTTTTTGTAACTTGTACAACGAAAGGTTGTACACTTTTCAGAAACGCACCTGAATAGGTTATGCGATTAATAACCATAATGTTGTATTAAAACAAACAAAATTAGATAACTTGTTGAAATAGCTAGATGTCAGAAATAGATAGCCCAGATGTTCATGCAAACTGCCATTAGAAATATATTGTGTTAAATCTTTGGTTTCGTTTACAAATCAATCTAATAGTAATACTACTTTACATAACTAAAAATCTTTAAATTTATCTAATTAGACAGTCATCATAAAATATTATAAAACTGTCAGTATAAAAAAATGGTTCTATGTAAAATTTATGATGTCAATATTCATTTTCATGTTTGGTTGCTGAGTATTAGAATAGAATAATCAAATAACAATGAAAGCATGTGTATTATAAGTTAAGTGATCCATTAAAAAGAAAAGGTATATTGAAGTTATGTTAAATGTTACTAAACTGATGGGTTATGAGTTAAAACGTAGAAAAAAATGATATGGGCAAATAAACAATTATTTATGAATTCATTGTAGTTAATGTTGTCACAATACACTAATCAATAGGATTAGCCATTTAAAATCTTTAAAAACCTGCTAATCATTTTAGCTTTATACAATATACAGTAAGAGTATTTACCATTACTATTCGGTATATATAGTACTTAACAATAGCATTTAAAACTGATAGATTACAAATAAATGTACATACACCTAGCTTGTTTCCTATTACGTATTGATCGACTATTAAACCCCAGCATTTCTGATTCATTTCATCTCTAAAACCTGTTTTACTGAGTATGGTTTTGATCATAATTTTGCTTGCAAAATTTGTATGAATGGTATTTTTTTCTAATAATTTAATATCCATTACTAAACTTTAATTATACAATCAGATTTATAAAGTCAATTAAACATAATTCCTATGATGTATGCATATCTTAAATTAATCTCAAGCATGCGGTATGTCATCCAGTGATTTAAAAAAACGCCTAGTAGTATTGTTCATTTTAACAAAAGGTTACAGCAAAGTATTTGTTTACAGATTTATGTCATCACATTCAATGTCATCCATATGCACAGTGTGAAAATGGACAGTGTCATTGTATTGAAGGTTATATTGGTGATGGATATTACGATTGTCATGTAAGAGGTAAGGTTTATGTTTATTAACATAAACATTGTTGAATTAAACTGTGGTATGAGTAGAAACTAATAATAATAACTCCTAACATTTATTTGAAAGAAATGACCGTTAGGATGATTAGGTAAAAGTTAAACCTAACATTCATATACGTATTATTTCATATATATCCTAGTTATTCAACAGTCACATGCCTGTCAGTGATGATTATTTTCGACTAGAAAACAAATATCAATATATGTCTTACCGATTATTTGTACATAGAAGCTGATCTTTTAGCTGAATGCCTATGTGGTATTTAATAGTTAATTCTTCTATTCGTTGTATTAAATAAAATTAACACAATTATTCATTGGTAAATATTAGTGTACCATAAACCAGCATATCTATTTTATTATAATTAAACTCGCATAATATTTTTTTTAAAATACATTCATTAGTTGCTAGGCTTTTTTAGAAAGTACAGTTTTTAGATTATCAGTAACTAAAGAATATACTTGATTTTTTTTAGATTACTTTAGATGAATGACTGAAATTCTAACCGAGTTAATACATTAAATTTCTATGAAACTTCACTTTTATAATTAAAAAAAGATAAATCACTAGTTAGTTGATTTTTACAGTATATCATTTGTAACATTTTAAATATTAAAAAGAAATTCAACCATCGGGGTCTTTTGTATGCATGGCAACATCCTCCACATAGTCATTTTATTTCTATCACAGAATTTTAAAGAATGTGTTTACAATACAAAGAAAATACTGATAATTATATTTGAATTATCTTGATTCGATTTTTCATTTAATGGTGTTACAAATATTTAATCTTAGTAGAAACTAGCTGCCTGTAGAAGTGACCTACACTGAGTAACGAAACATCAGTATATCCTATTTTTCTACTCATTGGGATATTACGAATATACTAATTTATTTATAACAATCTACCTAATGCTTAATTTATTCGAAATTATCAAGTCAAACCTTGGTAATGATACCTATAATGTCGGAAATGTTAATATCCATTTGTGGTGAATACTGATAGAACAAAAAGTGAAACAATGACTACTTGAAAGTTACACTTAAATGATACACAGAATGATAAGTAATTTCGTAACTTAATAGCTTGTAATCATGGATTAACAATAGTAATAATATACGAAAAAAACTAAACAACCTTTCTTTTAAACTTTGTTCTCCATTCCTTTAATGTTTTATCTGCATATTAACTAAATTTAGATTTTTATATAAATCACGTACCCATGAAGTAAATATCTTAATAAATATGTCTTTAGGCAACAATATGACTAAGCATAATGTAGAAATCCGTTAATCAAATATCAACCTTTGAGTGTAAATTATGTAAATTATCAAATAGAAGTTTTTGTGTTAAAATGAAGCTATTTGTTGTATGTAATTTTAAATTGTTAAAGTATGGATCCAATTACTTTTCTACGTATGAAGTAGACCCGGTAAATATAAAGTGAATCAAAATTCATGGGAGTAAACCGATTTATGGTACCAGGTTTATGTTACTTTTGTGACTGTTAGTTTACACAGCGTTCACTTATTGTTTGAGGACTATTTACTGAATTTCATGAAATAAAAACAAAGGTACTTTCAACTTGATGCTTCAAAAACCAGTTTTAAAGCAAAGAATCAAATATTTCTACATTCTAAATCTCTAGATCCTTGCACTGGTGTAAAATGTCATCAATATGGAGAGTGCATCAGTGGACGATGTCATTGTCTTAGAGGATACGAAGGTGATGGGTATTATAATTGTAGACAAACAGTCACTGGTAAGAATTTTCTGCATGCGAGTTATATAAAAATATCTATGAACTCGTAAACTCAGAAAATGTCAAACGGTAATGTTCAGTTGCATGCGGTTCCCCTTTTTAGTGTTAAGAAAACATGGATTGTAAAGCATCGATTTTAAGAAAATCACTAACTATCAATATATTATAACACTGATTTTTCTGAAATGATACATAACTTTTATTTAGACAAGAATATGTGTACTTTATACTTTCAAACTAATGTAACTTTAAGCAAACACTATTTTATATGTAAATCAAACTCATTATTTTGATACAGTGTTATTGAAACATCACACAAAAGCGATGCTCTGTGATTGAATTTATAAACACTATAAATTCGAGGATTAGAAATCCAAAAGATGGTCTTTAACTGGTTTAGGAAAACCTTCGTTAAAGAATAAATATGAGAAGTTCAAAGTATTCCTACTAAAAATTGAAATATTCATTTGTGCTTCTAACTTGTCATATTGTAATTCGCTCAAATAGTTAACAGATTGTAGGCAAAGTAAAGAAGAAGGAATAAAACTTAAAACAGTTTCCTACAATCTCTAAAATAAAGTCGGGCTAATCGTTCTAACTACTAAGGCTGCCGCGTAAGATGCTAAAATCATTTTTGAAACGATACAAAATATATCATACATGAATCGGTACTAAGTTTTATTTATAGTTTTGTTAGTAAATGTTGGCCTATGTGTATGCCACTTAATTAGTCTTGCTTGATTGAAACTAGAACAACAGGAACAAAGGAACCAAGTCTTTCTTCAAAGAACTCAAGCGATAAATCAATCATTTTCATCTGGGCATAAAGAAAATATATTAATCAGGAAAAGTCCCTTCGTAATTATTTCAGTCTAACAATATTACAATTGTATTCATATATAACAAGTATATTTATTAAGACCTTACCCCATTGTACAAGCTAGTGGCTATTTGCACTCAGTAACTAAGTGCATAACTTGGTGGCGTTTGAATCTCACGGTACTGGGTTCGAGTGCCAAATAGGACGAGATACGCATCGTCGATTTCACTGCTAGCCACCATCCATCTCTGCTTATAAATCTATTATAAATTAGATTTTTATTAAAAAATTTTGGTCACATTATGAATGTAATGAATATAGATAAATTAATTCGATAAATAAATCATCATTATTCCAAGCCATAAAAGAATTGAGGTCAAAAATAAAATAAAGCAGTAAATAATTGTGGTGTAACGTTTAAAAGCAGATAAGCAAAGGAATTGAAAAGTAATAAAACAGGAATAAAATGGAAAAGATTTTTTTAGTTTTTCTATGACAGTAATACAGGGTACTGAAACAAGAAGGAAATGGGATATATAAAAATGAGACTATGAAATGATACAAGATATATAAACGTAGAATATTCTTTTCAACAAATTCTCATCCTGTTCTATAGTTATAAATCCAAATTCATATTGCAAAGGGGAGAACCTAATTAAAGGTCAATACATCATTTACAATTACAGGTCATAAAATGTAGGATTGTTGATAGAATAAAATATATTACATATTTTTCTTTCAGATGTAATGCCCCGGCTTTTTGATTGGAATAGCTTTTGCTTCAGCCGTTTGAAGTACTCTTAGTTTAATGGGTTTGGATAAACGACTAGTGATCCGCTACACTACTGAAAATGGCTGATCCATGTTGACTGTATGGCACGTTTTCACTAAATAAGCAAGAATTAAATTAAAAACATGAAGTTCAGAAAAGAGATCTCTTGTTAACAAATTTATTAGCAAGCTGTACAGTCATATATATAAACGACTGTACAGCTTGCTAACAAATTTTTTGAAACGAGATTCCTTCGCTATGCATCTTGATTTTAATGATTATTTAGGGATTCTACGTCCATGAAATAATTGAGTTATTGACAGCTTTAGATACACCAGGAGGTGGTCTTTTGACCGAGAACACAAATTCCTGGGTCATTTGTCAAGTTATCTTTCACCCTTAGAGTTATCATCGGACGCGTAGTAAACTTCATCTGTGTTTTTAACATGATGAGGATTTTCTAGCGATTAGAAGTGGTATAAAACTGTCCCTAATAAAAAATAATTAGATAATAGGACACAAAAGTGTAGTCTGAAAATTTCTCAACTTTTGCAGTTTACTGACAATTAAATACCAATGGTCGAATACTGTCAAATAGTTATATTTTCTGAACAATACTATACTATTGTGTTTACTTAATAATGCACTTGAATAGACCATGCAAATCACAAACTAGAGCTGTAAAGTGCTTATAAATAGATAGGGTTTTTACTATAAAACTGTCATCGGTTTCGCAAACATACTTGGACTTTCAACGTTTTTGTACCGGTAGATCCATGTTCAAATGTTCAATGTCATCCTAATGGTTATTGTAAAAATGGACGTTGTTTATGTTTAAACGGTTATGAAGGTGATGGTTATTATGGATGTCGTCCAGTTGATAATGGTAAGCTTATCAGTCCCTAGTATGCATCTCATAACATCATCTATACAAATAAGAGAGCATACTCTTTCTTGGAGAACTTTATTCTGAAACATAAATAAATATCAAGAAAAATGTTGGTTATTTCTCGATGAAAACTACTTTTTGCATGAAATGAACTTGTACTGCATCTATTTGCATTGTTCTCCCGAAAATATTACTGTTTTATTTATTATACGGGAATAGAGACACTAAAACTGAATTCACTCATTTCGAGCAGACATATACTTGCATGTATCACAAACGTCCTATGAAAACATCACATGATGCATGTTACTATTTGGAAAGAAATAGTTTTACATAGTCTCTTTAAGTTTCTAAAATGTTTGTCTACTTTGCAGATCCTTGTACGGGAGTACAGTGTCATTCTAAAGCAGAATGTCAAAATGGTTACTGTCGTTGCCTGAATGGCTACGAGGGGGATGGTTTTAATTATTGTTATGCAATGCGAGATGGTAAGGACCGTAGAAAATAGTTAGAAAAACAAAATTTTCTACTCCCTTAATTCACAATTAATTTACAGTTCTATGTACATTATATAGTATAGCTAAGGCTAATCGGTGATATGGTTGTACAGGAAAAACAAGCGAGACTGAGAGTATACCTACGTTAAGACAAAACTAGAAGTGATAGAATTAGTGCAAATAAAATAAGTACAAATTTCCTTTGAGAAATGAATTTTAGAATGGATTCATAATACACGTTTCATGCAATTACTTCCCTTTATAAATTTTAATAAAGCCAGAATAAATAGAGATGCAGAATTAAATGAATACAATACAATACAAAATTCCCAATATTGAATTGATAGAGACTTTAGAATTGTGTAAAAATTTATATACATATGTTATCTATCGGATATTTCCTTAGAATTTCTCTGAATGGTACTACGCGAACAGAGATTTTACTAAAGTTCATTATTGAGAAGATCAAATTGTGAGACGCTAATCTCAATTATATCACACTAAGTAGATAAGACCATTTTGAAAAAATGTGCTTAACATAAATGATTCTGAGATTGAGTGTACATTCTAATGAATCATAATTATTTAATTGTAGATCCGTGTTCTAGTATGAGATGTCATATAAACGCTAAATGCTTTGATGGTGAATGCCGATGTTTGGACGGCTATCAGGGAGATGGAAAACATTATTGTGATCCTATTCAGCAGGGTAGGAGTATGCAAATAATTCATTCTCACGTTTTATTGCATGCTGAATGGTGGAAAATTAAGTATAGTTCTGATATGAAAACGAGTTATTTTGAAACCACAGTTCTTTCTTTTCACTTCTAAACAATCGAATTTCTAATCTCAGACTATTACTTCAATCAGTAAGATACAAACCAGTGGCCTAATCTTTTGGAATCACTCTTAATGATCTGATAGGATTATCCACTTACATATTCGGAATGCCTTTACTCACTTTTAGTGCAACTCAATTTTAGATATAAATGTTTACTGACGGATCTAAATATATATTTTTAGAAACCTTCATATATTTTCATCCTCAACTGAAATTATATTAAATTATTGAACGTTACTAAAATATGTTTCATTATTATGACTCGTAGTCACTGAAATCATAGACGAATGATTGTGATTATTTTCCCGTTTCTAACGTGTTTCGGAGTGTTAGCACCCATATTTCATCTGAACAGTGCTTAATAGGCATTTCACTGTGGTATCGAACACATCACATGTGACCACACAATAACCTGAATAGGATTAAATCACTAACACTCCGATCATGGGTTGAGCACTGAGTGATAATCTAATAACTCACTTCTGTCAGCATACCTAACCGGTGAAGATGGGTATGTATAGATCAACTGAGGTATAGGTAGTGGTTTTTTGCTACCACAATGAATATTTTTGAGCTTTAATAAAATGAGATATAGAATAACACTTTAGTGCTCCTCCAACACGTAGAATTATTTCTCACTCCGATTCATACTCAACTGAGTATCGCTGTGAATGTGGTATTGTAGGTTATATCAAATTTATATATAGTGCTTTTTAATATTTGAGATCATGAATCAACTGTAGCTAGACCACCATGGGAAGTCTGGAAGCACTGGACGGCGTTTTCTTCCTACTGTGGGATTCCTCAGCTGTGCGCATCCACAATCCTGCTTCGCGTGCCCGAACCCACGACCTATCGTTCTCACGCGCGAACACTTAACCTCTGAATGTATGAAAATAGGTACAGATACGTGACAAATCCGATTACTTTACATTAATTATAATTGGTATTTCAAATCCATAATCTTCCATTCAATATATATATGTCGCATTTTTGTACGTAACAAAGCAAGTGACATTCACCTTCAATTGATTTTTTTACGAGATTGGAAACCATTGCTTACTTATGAGAAGCTCAACTGGTGGTGCATGATATCCATTTTATTAATGAAAAGTGGATCATCACATTAATATGAGTATTATAGTGAATGTATTAAGGGAAGAAAGCTTTTTGTTTATAAAACTATTTCCTTTTAATTATTACTTCACTACAGATAAAATGCCATTTATATAGAAGTGAAATATCCAAAGAGTGTGAAAATCTTGACGGTATATCAAAGGCTATTCTCGTTTTTATATATAACTGCGTGTGGTAGGTAACTTACTCACTCCTGACACTGATGACTAAATGACTGACGCAAACTTCAGGAAATCCATCTAGAAGGTGATTTTTGAAAACTACACGATTGTTACTAATTAAGCAGTTTGTAGAGATTTGTTTTATGCAAATATGGTTAGTCTTTATGTGTTTACATTCAGTGGTGTGTAAGGATCATGCTAGCCACAAAACCTACAGCTCCGTGCTATAACTCCATGTACAATGTTGAGTCCATAATCTTGAAACAGTCCCAAACTATCCTCAAATACACGATCCTTGCATTCTCCCTTATCATGTTTCTTTAAATAATCTACGTCTTCTGTTTAAGTTTGTGTACATTAAAATGTTCATAGAACTATTTAAATATAAAACGTAGATGCGACAAATTCATGTAGGTGATAAATCTATCAATTGAATAATGGCATGCAACCTAACACCTCTTAAAACTACTATATTTTACACAGACCAGTGTCAAAATATTCGTTGTCATGAGTTTGCAAATTGTCAAAATGGTAGATGTCAATGTAATGCAGGTTATGAAGGAGATGGTTACTGGGAATGTAAATCCATAAAAAGTGGTAAGATACAAAGATAATTTACTGTAGTAGGAGCTTAAAATATTATTAAAACCCCTGCATCATGTTTTCGCATGAGTATTTGTGCATAACTTTTGAATAACTTTTATTTATTAAGGAATAAGTGAAATGTTTGTAATCAAAATTTATCCGATGTTTGTAGCAAATTCTAGTTGAGATAGTGACATTATAAATGCTTATCTCTTCAATTTCTGTGTGTTAACTGAATAAAAATTCCTAATTTTGAATTGATAGAGACTTTAGAATTGTGTAAAAATTTATATACATATGTTATCTATCGGATATTTCCTTAGAATTTCTCTGAATGGTACTACGCGAACAGAGATTTTACTAAAGTTCATTATTGAGAAGATCAAATTGTGAGACGCTAATCTCAATTATATCACACTAAGTAGATAAGACCATTTTGAAAAATGTGCTTAACATAAATGATTCTGAGATTGAGTGTACATTCTAATGAATCATAATTATTTAATTGTAGATCCGTGTTCTAGTATGAGATGTCATATAAACGCTAAATGCTTTGATGGTGAATGCCGATGTTTGGACGGCTATCAGGGAGATGGAAAACATTATTGTGATCCTATTCAGCAGGGTAGGAGTATGCAAATAATTCATTCTCACGTTTTATTGCATGCTGAATGGTGGAAAATTAAGTATAGTTCTGATATGAAAACGAGTTATTTTGAAACCACAGTTCTTTCTTTTCACTTCTAAACAATCGAATTTCTAATCTCAGACTATTACTTCAATCAGTAAGATACAAACCAGTGGCCTAATCTTTTTGAATCACTCTTAATGATCTGATAGGATTATCCACTTACATATTCGGAATGCCTTTACTCACTTTTAGTGCAACTCAATTTTAGATATAAATGTTTACTGACGGATCTAAATATATATTTTTAGAAACCTTCATATATTTTCATCCTCAACTGAAATTATATTAAATTATTGAACGTTACTAAAATATGTTTCATTATTATGACTCGTAGTCACTGAAATCATAGACGAATGATTGTGATTATTTTCCCGTTTCTAACGTGTTTCGGAGTGTTAGCACCCATATTTCATCTGAACAGTGCTTAATAGGCATTTCACTGTGGTATCGAACACATCACATGTGACCACACAATAACCTGAATAGGATTAAATCACTAACACTCCGATCATGGGTTGAGCACTGAGTGATAATCTAATAACTCACTTCTGTCAGCATACCTAACCGGTGAAGATGGGTATGTATAGATCAACTGAGGTATAGGTAGTGGTTTTTTGCTACCACAATGAATATTTTTGAGCTTTAATAAAATGAGATATAGAATAACACTTTAGTGCTCCTCCAACACGTAGAATTATTTCTCACTCCGATTCATACTCAACTGAGTATCGCTGTGAATGTGGTATTGTAGGTTATATCAAATTTATATATAGTGCTTTTTAATATTTGAGATCATGAATCAACTGTAGCTAGACCACCATGGGAAGTCTGGAAGCACTGGACGGCGTTTTCTTCCTACTGTGGGATTCCTCAGCTGTGCGCATCCACAATCCTGCTTCGCGTGCCCGAACCCACGACCTATCGTTCTCACGCGCGAACACTTAACCTCTGAATGTATGAAAATAGGTACAGATACGTGACAAATCCGATTACTTTACATTAATTATAATTGGTATTTCAAATCCATAATCTTCCATTCAATATATATGTCGCATTTTTGTACGTAACAAAGCAAGTGACATTCACCTTCAATTGATTTTTTACGAGATTGGAAACCATTGCTTACTTATGAGAAGCTCAACTGGTGGTGCATAATATCCATTTTATTAATGAAAAGTGGATCATCACATTAATATGAGTATTATAGTGAATGTATTAAGGGAAGAAAGCTTTTTGTTTATAAAACTATTTCCTTTTAATTATTACTTCACCACAGATAAAATGCCATTTATATAGAAGTGAAATATCCAAAGAGTGTGAAAATCTTGACGGTATATCAAAGGCTATTCTCGTTTTTATATATAACTGCGTGTGGTAGGTAACTTACTCACTCCTGACACTGATGACTAAATGACTGACGCAAACTTCAGGAAATCCATCTAGAAGGTGATTTTTGAAAACTACACGATTGTTACTAATTAAGCAGTTTGTAGAGATTTGTTTTATGCAAATATGGTTAGTCTTTATGTGTTTACATTCAGTGGTGTGTAAGGATCATGCTAGCCACAAAACCTACAGCTCCGTGCTATAACTCCATGTACAATGTTGAGTCCATAATCTTGAAACAGTCCCAAACTATCCTCAAATACACGATCCTTGCATTCTCCCTTATCATGTTTCTTTAAATAATCTACGTCTTCTGTTTAAGTTTGTGTACATTAAAATGTTCATAGAACTATTTAAATATAAAACGTAGATGCGACAAATTCATGTAGGTGATAAATCTATCAATTGAATAATGGCATGCAACCTAACACCTCTTAAAACTACTATATTTTACACAGACCAGTGTCAAAATATTCGTTGTCATGAGTTTGCAAACTGTCAAAATGGTAGATGTCAATGTAATGCAGGTTATGAAGGAGATGGTTACTGGGAATGTAAATCCATAAAAAGTGGTAAGATACAAAGATAATTTACTGTAGTAGGAGCTTAAAATATTATTAAAACCCCTGCATCATGTTTTCGCATGAGTATTTGTGCATAACTTTTGAATAACTTTTATTTATTAAGGAATAAGTGAAATGTTTGTAATCAAAATTTATCCGATGTTTGTAGCAAATTCTAGTTGAGATAGTGACATTATAAATGCTTATCTCTTCAATTTCTGTGTGTTAACTGAATAAAAATTCCTAATTTTGAATTGATAGAGACTTTAGAATTGTGTAAAAATTTATATACATATGTTATCTATCGGATATTTCCTTAGAATTTCTCTGAATGGTACTACGCGAACAGAGATTTTACTAAAGTTCATTATTGAGAAGATCAAATTGTGAGACGCTAATCTCAATTATATCACACTAAGTAGATAAGACCATTTTGAAAAATGTGCTTAACATAAATGATTCTGAGATTGAGTGTACATTCTAATGAATCATAATTATTTAATTGTAGATCCGTGTTCTAGTATGAGATGTCATATAAACGCTAAATGCTTTGATGGTGAATGCCGATGTTTGGACGGCTATCAGGGAGATGGAAAACATTATTGTGATCCTATTCAGCAGGGTAGGAGTATGCAAATAATTCATTCTCACGTTTTATTGCATGCTGAATGGTGGAAAATTAAGTATAGTTCTGATATGAAAACGAGTTATTTTGAAACCACAGTTCTTTCTTTTCACTTCTAAACAATCGAATTTCTAATCTCAGACTATTACTTCAATCAGTAAGATACAAACCAGTGGCCTAATCTTTTTGAATCACTCTTAATGATCTGATAGGATTATCCACTTACATATTCGGAATGCCTTTACTCACTTTTAGTGCAACTCAATTTTAGATATAAATGTTTACTGACGGATCTAAATATATATTTTTAGAAACCTTCATATATTTTCATCCTCAACTGAAATTATATTAAATTATTGAACGTTACTAAAATATGTTTCATTATTATGACTCGTAGTCACTGAAATCATAGACGAATGATTGTGATTATTTTCCCGTTTCTAACGTGTTTCGGAGTGTTAGCACCCATATTTCATCTGAACAGTGCTTAATAGGCATTTCACTGTGGTATCGAACACATCACATGTGACCACACAATAACCTGAATAGGATTAAATCACTAACACTCCGATCATGGGTTGAGCACTGAGTGATAATCTAATAACTCACTTCTGTCAGCATACCTAACCGGTGAAGATGGGTATGTATAGATCAACTGAGGTATAGGTAGTGGTTTTTTGCTACCACAATGAATATTTTTGAGCTTTAATAAAATGAGATATAGAATAACACTTTAGTGCTCCTCCAACACGTAGAATTATTTCTCACTCCGATTCATACTCAACTGAGTATCGCTGTGAATGTGGTATTGTAGGTTATATCAAATTTATATATAGTGCTTTTTAATATTTGAGATCATGAATCAACTGTAGCTAGACCACCATGGGAAGTCTGGAAGCACTGGACGGCGTTTTCTTCCTACTGTGGGATTCCTCAGCTGTGCGCATCCACAATCCTGCTTCGCGTGCCCGAACCCACGACCTATCGTTCTCACGCGCGAACACTTAACCTCTGAATGTATGAAAATAGGTACAGATACGTGACAAATCCGATTACTTTACATTAATTATAATTGGTATTTCAAATCCATAATCTTCCATTCAATATATATGTCGCATTTTTGTACGTAACAAAGCAAGTGACATTCACCTTCAATTGATTTTTTACGAGATTGGAAACCATTGCTTACTTATGAGAAGCTCAACTGGTGGTGCATAATATCCATTTTATTAATGAAAAGTGGATCATCACATTAATATGAGTATTATAGTGAATGTATTAAGGGAAGAAAGCTTTTTGTTTATAAAACTATTTCCTTTTAATTATTACTTCACCACAGATAAAATGCCATTTATATAGAAGTGAAATATCCAAAGAGTGTGAAAATCTTGACGGTATATCAAAGGCTATTCTCGTTTTTATATATAACTGCGTGTGGTAGGTAACTTACTCACTCCTGACACTGATGACTAAATGACTGACGCAAACTTCAGGAAATCCATCTAGAAGGTGATTTTTGAAAACTACACGATTGTTACTAATTAAGCAGTTTGTAGAGATTTGTTTTATGCAAATATGGTTAGTCTTTATGTGTTTACATTCAGTGGTGTGTAAGGATCATGCTAGCCACAAAACCTACAGCTCCGTGCTATAACTCCATGTACAATGTTGAGTCCATAATCTTGAAACAGTCCCAAACTATCCTCAAATACACGATCCTTGCATTCTCCCTTATCATGTTTCTTTAAATAATCTACGTCTTCTGTTTAAGTTTGTGTACATTAAAATGTTCATAGAACTATTTAAATATAAAACGTAGATGCGACAAATTCATGTAGGTGATAAATCTATCAATTGAATAATGGCATGCAACCTAACACCTCTTAAAACTACTATATTTTACACAGACCAGTGTCAAAATATTCGTTGTCATGAGTTTGCAAACTGTCAAAATGGTAGATGTCAATGTAATGCAGGTTATGAAGGAGATGGTTACTGGGAATGTAAATCCATAAAAAGTGGTAAGATACAAAGATAATTTACTGTAGTAGGAGCTTAAAATATTATTAAAACCCCTGCATCATGTTTTCGCATGAGTATTTGTGCATAACTTTTGAATAACTTTTATTTATTAAGGAATAAGTGAAATGTTTGTAATCAAAATTTATCCGATGTTTGTAGCAAATTCTAGTTGAGATAGTGACATTATAAATGCCTATCTCTTCAATTTCTGTGTGTTAACTGAATAAAAATTCCTAATTTTGAATTGATAGAGACTTTAGAATTGTGTAAAAATTTATATACATATGTTATCTATCGGATATTTCCTTAGAATTTCTCTGAATGGTACTTCGCTAACAAAGATTTTACTTATGTTTATTTCACTGTGGTTTTTGATTTAATTTTGTCGTTTATTCTTTTTTTTGTTTTAATATTCTTGATGACTTTTTTTATTTGCCTCTTTTCTGTTCTGTGATCTTTCGATTTTCTTTGTGCGTTTATGTGCCAGTATAATTTTATTTAATATTTCTGACTGTTGTGATCCTCAATGTTTGTTGGTTGTTTTGTTTATCAAGTACTAAATTGTATTAAAGCCTCTAGTGTACATTTAGCATGATTAACTAAAAATTCTGAAACAATATGTAGTTTGATGCATAGATCCATGTATATATATATATATATATATATATATATATATATATATATATATATATATATATATTCCTGGCATGCAAGTAACTTACTTAGATTTTGAAATACTCATCCAATTAAATTATCTTCTTAAAGACCTTTGCAAATATGTTCGATGTCATGAAAATGCAAAATGCAATGAAAACGGTAAATGTCAGTGTCTTGATGGTTTTTCGGGAGATGGATACTATGAATGCCAGAAAAGTTCACAAGGTGAGTTAACATTTTACTGTCACCGAACAAGAAGATGATATTGTATAATGGATACATAATAGTGTTCACGATGTACACAGATATAATGAAATATTTGCGTTTGATTTTTCATTCGATTGTAATCATTGAAGAAAAACTAACATGTTTAAGCACGCGTCTACAAAATCTGGTCAGTGATGAGTACTGAGGTTTCCACAAATACTTTCAAAGCCGGTGACTAAATTTCTCACTGTCACGTTATATAAATTTACATACTTTAGTAAATTTCGTATACTCTCATATCTCAGACTCAGATCAATAATTTATGGTTTGATTAATACAATCTTGCTGGGTATTGTTTTAAGTTATAAAGCCTATCCATTATGTTTGTATATTTTGATATTATATATATAATCCATTTTATTTGAAAATTCATAACATTTAAGTACTCTTATCTATTCTTGCTTCTAACTTCTACTTTAAACCTTTATATTCTTTGTCTATGATCACTTAAGTAACATATAATTGTTTCGATTGTATGTTACTATCCGATTATTATTTACATTATTCTATGGTTTTTTATATTGATAGATAACCCAATGAGAATAATCAGCTGAAACTGAAAAGTTGATTGACAAAGTATCTAACAGTAAGCTTCTGACAGCTTTGAGTCCTATAGAAAACAAAGGCTTCCTTACGTCACAGATGCACCGTACTGATGCATGACTGATATCATAAAACCATCTAACATAAATTACTAACTAAATATATATAGTTTTAAATTCTTAGACTGTTAACGAATAAAGAGATTACTTTTGTAACCTATCGATTTTATACCATTACCTGAGGAAATTAATACGAAAAATGCATCGCATTATTTTCTAACCGATTACGTCTCGTTAAATTCTTTACCGACTTTTTCATTCCATGATATGCCTACTTATGATACTAATCCTCCTGAGCTAAGTAGTTTGTGATATATAAATAGATATGTCTGTAATATGATTAAACTAGATTGTTTTATAATTTCGTCCATTTATCTTATCTTGGTTACTCTTTATAATTGTCACATTTTGCCAGTTCCGTTAAGATTGTATTTTCGATAAAATAGTATGACGCTCGGACGACGTGAATGTTTTTTTATGTTACTGCAGATTGTTTTGTAGATCACTGTAAAAGTAACCATTGCATAATGTAAAAGACATAGAAGGAATATATTTATACTTTCATCTTGTCATTAATTATTAAAGGATAAAAACCGTTACTTCCCAAACATTCGTAACTAGGCCTTGTATTTTCGACGGTAGCTATATTTGTCCCGCTTATTCTGTCCCAGATTTTTTGTTTTATTTTGAAGTGCTGAAACACATTGATTTAAATGCTTAATAGAAAGTGTTTGGTCTAACAATACTAATACTCTATTAATAACTTGAAAGTATTAGTTTTGATTAATTCTACGTTTTTCTTGAAGACTTTAGTACAATTGTTTGAACACTGTAATTGTATCATATCGAAGAAACGATGTACCAAAGCTGAAGTTTAGTTGTCAGTTAATTTCTTTGCTATTTTTTGACTATATTACAATAAGCTACAATCTGATACACTTTATTTTAGATTTCTTAAGTTTCAGAATAGACAACGAAAATATTCATAGAACACCTAACTAAAATAGAACAATTTATCTCTTACATAACAGACTATCATTTTGTAAAATATTTCATTCAAGCCATTACCTTATTGTTAATACTCAATATTTGAGCCAAAAATCTATACAATCACGAGATCTTAAAACATTTCTAAGTAATTTAATTGGTTCAACTAACTTCATATTGGTCTAGATCACTTTAAAGCAAATGAACAAAAAAAAGAATCATAAAACAGAAGCAAATCATCTTTCGATAACTCAAAGGGCGTATCATCTATATCACTCAATATCACATGTAACACTGCAAGAAAACAAAATGCCTAATTTACTCTATTTTTGGAAAAAAAAAACAATTTTTATTTCAATAGTTGAAATCATGAGTCAATTGAAGCTAGACCACCATGTAAAACCTGGAAGCACTGAACGGCCGTTTCGTCCTAGTATGGGACTATTGAAATTACTAAAAATCTCCACAAAACCCCTTCTGATAATAATCATCTACTCACTATTGATTGACTTCAAGAGACACTCCTAGAGTTCTATTGAGAAGCCGTGACCAGTGAAGTTCAACCAGGTCTATTGTGAGATATCAGCTCACTGAAGACAATGGTGACGGTGGCGCGATTTCGTGGATTGGTTGAAGTTAGACATTAACACCGTCGGATACCAGCCGGATCAGTGGTCTAGTGGTTAAGCGCTCGCGCGCGAGACTGATAGGTCCTGGGTTCGAATCTCACTGGGCGGGATCGTGGATGCGCAATGCTGAGTAGTTCCACAATAGAACGAAACGGCCGTCCAGTGCTTCCAGGTTTTTCATGGTGGTCTAACTTAAATTGACTCATGATTTCAAGTATTGAAATTGCTGAAAATCTCCCCAAAACCCTTCTAATTTTTTTATTGTTTTATTCATCTAGACAGTTTTTGTTTATTGTATGCGATGAATAGTTTTTATAAAGAAAATAATACTAGAGATAAAATAGTATAAAAACCAATTCAAAGTTATCGTTTAAAGATCCCCATCATATTAAACGAAGAATATTTGAACGATAAATTCTCTTCAGATTTTACATTTTTTATCCAAATTAATAATCCGAATAATGGTCAGGTTAATGGTAAAACGCATCATTTACAGTTAAAGCATGTGAATTTAGGATTGGTAAATAAAATAGAATAAAATCGTTAATGTTGATATGAATCACATGGAATGTTAACTTGAATCAGCTCATATGGAAATGTTAAAATCCATGATTAGAACAAATATGGGTCAGATGAGGTGAAAGAAATAATAGTGCAATTACAATTCGATCAATTGTTTAGCGGAAGACTATATTGTGTGAAAAATTATTAGTAAGACATAAAAGGTGGGATGAATGAGAAGGAAATGAATCATGTATTGGGGAGATTAATAATGATGTTAACCAATAGTAATAATGATAATAATAGTACAAAGATTTGTGAATAACGATAACAGAGACAATTCCATGCGACTACGAAAGGTCGTAAGTACAAGTTAACATTCTAAATGAGTCATATATACATTAATTTTCAGCATAGGGTTGTGGAGAATATTAAGTTTTTGATTAAGATCGTGAACCGATTGATGTTAGACCACCATTGAAAACCTGGAAACCTTGGACGGCCGTTTCGTCCTATTGTGGGACTCTTCAAACACTAACACCGTTGGATGCTGGCTCAGTAGTCTAGAGGTTGCGCGTCCTAAAGGCGGGATCATAGATGAGTACTGCTGAGGTTTTCAATGGTGGTATTACATCAATCGGTTCATGATCTCAATCATTAACCATTTTATACTATTTTGTTTGACAATCCTAAATTCACATGCTTTAACTTTTTAAACGATTCAATTTACCCTTAACCTGGCCAGTTTTCGGATTATCGATTTGGATATATCATTGTAGAACCTAAAGAGAATTAATCTAAAGGAATATTCTTTGTTCAAATATTAATTTTTCAAAAGTTGTCATTAATCTTCTATTTTAAAACTTGTTATTATTTTAAATATTTTCAACTTGAGTTTTGTTAATTTGAAACATGATAAACACGTTTTATTTCAATGGAATTTTGTTCGCTGAGCTGGATGGTTTGGTCGTGGAGTTTTCGTCGTTCTTCTGAGCGACATCATCAGCACCTGAAGTTTATGAAAGTTCCACGACCAAACCATCCAGCTCAGAGAACAAAACATCATCAAAATCATCCACCTGAGCTACAAATTTTCTCCGTTTTATTTTTAATTTGATGGTTTATTTCAAAAATTTTTTTCTGTTTTTTATCATACATTTGATGTTGATTTGTTGAACTTGATTTCATTTATCAACATTTTATAGGTTTACTCGTTGAACAACGAATGAAATTAGTACATTCCAGTGTCACAAGAAAATATATTCTCCTAGATGAATTACACATTACATTTCTCAATTACTTGTACTTGGTTAATAGTGAAGACACATTCGTTTTTATGAATGCTCATCAATTAGTGACTCATTTTACGTAAAAAATCAAATTATTAAATAATATCAAAAGAGAGTTTTTGTGGAGATTTTAGTAATTTTAATAGATAAGTTCATGAGTCAGTTGAAGCTAGACCACCATGAAGAACCTGAAAGCACTGGACGGCCGTCTCATCCTAGTATGGGACTCCTCAGCGGTGTGCATCTATGATCCTAAACCACGAGATTCGAACTTAGGACCTATCAGTATCATGCGTGAACGCTTAGACCTCTAGACCCCCTTCTGATAATAATTATCATATACTCACTAGTGACTGGCTACAAGAGGTATATCTTGGAGTTCTAGTGAGAAGCAGTGACTAGTGGAGTTCAACCAGGTCTGTTGTAAGATAATAACTCACTGATGACAATGATGGACAGTGATGAAATTTCGTGGATTTACTCAGTGGTCTGTAGATTAAGTGTCCGCGCGCAAGACTGACAGGTCCTGGGTTCGTAGCTCACTTAGCGGCATCGTCGATGCGCACCGCTGAGGAGTCCCACAATGGGACGAAACAGCCATCCAGAACTTCCAGGTTTTGTATGGTGGCCTAGCTTCAGTTGACTCATGATCTCAACTATTAAAATTGTTAAATAATAAATATTGGATTTATTATTTTTTGCATAATAAAAGCCCTGATGTCTATAAAAAATTGGTCTCATAACATTTAGGATTGAATTATAAACAAAACGATCTCACTTAAAAGTAAGATACTCTTTTAACTAAGTTGCTTTACTAATGTTAAAAAAGTACTTTTTAATACAATGGAAATCCCTTAAGCTTAATTCTTATAGCACTTGGATTTAATATTTAGATAAGGGAATTCATAAATAATGTACAGTTTTCTTGTAGATTTAAATTTATTCTAGATTTACTTTAGGTTTCTTTATTTGTTTACAAATGATAAACATTGTCCATGCTTTCAACTTTAACTTCTACATTCATTTCGTATTAATTGAAGCATATTAATGACGATTTAAATACACGATTATATAATTCATGTAGATCTTTATGTTTGGTTCTCCTGAAGAAAAACACACTATTCACCTAGGTATTTATACCACATTACTTATATTTTTACTTGAGAATTTTTCTAACTTATCGTTTGTCATAATTCCAAAAAAACTTATTGAATTTCTAAAAAAACAAATAATTGTTTTGAATGCCAATCTTAAATATTACAGAGTTATGTGCTGGCGTTCAATGTCATCGTTTTGGTCAATGTTATGAAAATCGATGCTACTGCAGTCATGGATACGTTGGGGATGGGGTTAACTTTTGTGATGCACGTGTAGACGGTAGGTTTTAATTTGATTTGGTATACTTTTTTATGATAGAATATTTGTACGTTTTAAATAATTTGATACATTGGTGGATAGTATTTAGATATCATTTATAAATAAGCTCAAGTTTAGTTAACCCTGGTGTAATTTAAGCTGGCAATTCATATGAAATGTATTTTGTACTTTCAAGCTGAAAATTCTCAAAATACTGCAAGTAGAGCTGTTAAATTTTGCGTTTCATAACTATGACTAAATGTTTATGTTATAACGAAGAATAAGTTGAAACTTCAACCAGAAATCGTGAACAGTTTGACTCAAGTAAGATTACGAAAATGGTGAACAAGGATTTATTTGACATCCAAAACAAACCAAATTATTATCAGAATGCACTCATTTTAAATATAATTGATTAAAAGTAACTTAATCAGATTTGTATAAACTAAACTGTGCAATTGTCACTTGAACACTAATTTACAATGAATTAGTTAATAAAATGAGAATAGATTGAAAGTTAGAAAACAGAATTCACAATCAACTGACAAACAAACCAAGTGTCTATAAATAACGTCAAAAAAATCAATTCAGAATTCAACGATCTTCTACTATCCTAACAACCAGTGACACAAAATATTTAACGTAGTTAATGATCAACGAAATTTTAGAATAACTCAAATGTGATAGTTGTTTTAATAATTTTATCAGCTATTCAATTCTTATTATTATCAAGCGAATTTCTCAACTGTAGGGAAGTTTATTTGATCACCAAAATTGACCACTTGAGAGGTGCATAATCAGAAAACATTAAAGCCTTTCCTTAGATATTTAAAAAATATTTATGAAGTTAATTAGCTCTAACAAGTGTTTAATTTCCGTTGATTCTGTTGGGACGACTTCCAAGAACTACGACAGAGCATCCATAGGCCCTAGAAAAGCCGAAGAGTTTCATCCAACTCGAACGCAATGAGGCTTTCTAGAATATCAACGTTGCATGCTATTATTGGTCATTAGCATGACATGCCTTCTTGTAGATCGATTGAATTATAATGTTGATTTAACAAACGCTAATATCTATAAAAACCGATGATTTTCTGTACATTTTGATCCTTGCCTAACAAGCACTTTCTCCAGTCTTCTCTCTTCTTATTCGTGGCTTGGAGGGTTTCAGCGTTCGAGTGCTCAAGTCATACGCAATATATTAAGAATCCAAGCTTTAGATATAACAGATTCCATTTTTATGCTTTACCTAAAATTACTATCAGTATTCAAAGTGATTTTGGTACACTTTTTCGTTACTATTAAAACTCAGGAAACATTCAGGATTTCTATTTTTCTTTCTCTGTTACTTCACACGAGAAATTTGATCATTCTACTTTGATCTTTTAATAGCTTAACATAACATTCATTGCATCTTTTCAGTATTTGAACTTATCATTAAAGTTGTCAATAAATTTTAATAACATAAAACTACAAATCTGAAATATTCATAACTAAATCATCAAGTATCGATTACTGTTTACAAATGTACAAAGTTAATAACAGAACAAAAGAAGTCATTATTTAGCATAAACTTAGGTTTCTGTTTTGTAATTATCAAACAACAGATTTTACCAATAAGGACATTGATATTTTTAACATAAATAACACTAAAACAAGTTTCTTTCACTTCTACTACTCTAGTTATGAAAATCTCTTAGATATACACATTTGAAAATGATCAGTTTATGTTTAATTCTTTTTAAAATATAAACTTTCATCGATTCCGAAAATAAGCTGAAAGGTTTAGTAGCTATAAGAATCAATAAGATGTTAACTTCATCATATCTGTAAAGATGTCATTTAGTTTAACATTTAAGGAAAAGAATATACTTTCGTAAATTAAATTACTTTTTATTATTGATTGAAAATAATATAAACATTTGGATATTAAAGATCTTATAATGACCAGGAAATCTCAACTGCTCAGTTCCTTTACAGCCGTTCATCTGATCAATATTTTTAATTACAGTATTTTTGCTTGCATATAAATATGATATTTATGATATTCATGAAGTATTTACTAGAATACGCTTGTGAATATACATACAACTCAATCTATCTCTCAAATATCTATTCTAGATCCATGTGATGGCGTTCGTTGTGCTGCTAATGGACGTTGCCAGGATGGTCGATGCGTATGTGATCCTGGTTATACAGGAGATGGTTACAATGAATGTCGAGAAGCCGAGGGTGGTAAGTAAATTCTAATCAACTAAATGTACAACTTTATAGAAGATTTCATGGTTAATTACAATATTTAATTGTTTAAAAAAATTATTACTGCTTATTTTTGCCGATTTCTTATTCTACTTAAAACATAAACATTTTACCAGATAATTAATAATGACTCAATCAATTTATATATATGTATTCATATCTATAGTGTATTTGTGTTTGTCGAATATCCTTAAGGTGAAAACTTGTCGCGGATTAATTAATAATTTTGCTATCTCTTCTTGAATTGTATATATAAATCTTAATACATTGATCAGTGTATATGATCGTTCATAACAAGAACGTGTTATATTTCGAATACATTTCACATCGGGTAATTCATATTCTTACTGTACAGAAAAGAAATCATTTTGAACATGACTGATCAGTTGTTTAATAAATTCTTATTTTTAACATTATGTATCTCTAGAGATTTTAATTTCGATTATTTCCTAGAAGTTTCAACTGGCTTGCAGGGTGTAACTGCAAAATCATTTAAATTTCAGTCACTGTAATTATTTCAAGTATAATTCTTCCTTTTATTGACCATCAGATACTCATGATAAATTATAAAGGTTATTCAAATTTACTAAACTGAAATTTATTGTGATTCTTCAGTGTTCTTTAAATTCACAGTTATATCATTTAATTGGTCCCCGTCATGAATATGAATAAATCTAAACCAACAATTGATGCAGAATAATATGAATTCACCATATTTTGTGGTTTCTCATCAGCTGCTTATTATCATATATATAATAAAGTTTAACAATGAGATATGATGCAATACTAAGTAATCGATATTAATGACAGAAAGAGGTTATTTGGAGATCAACTTCAAAGACATAAAGGCAATGATTAACTAAATACCGTAAACTGATAAGATGATAATTATAGAAGGAGTATACAAAAGTTTCATACGCCTTGAAAATAGATACAGAAGATTGAGAGCAATCGGATGATAATTATCTAGAATTTGAAACTGATTGATGACACATTAGTTATACGAAATTTGAAGAGATTATCTAAGTTTAAAGAATTGAGTGAATGAAAAAGCGGATGAATGAAAGAATGGTTTCGGCGTATCTGAAATAACGACTAGTTTATAAAAGATTAAATAATAAAATAAACACTGATAAAATCACAAAAACCAGTTAAAAAAAAGAATTTTTTTTCTTGATATTAGTCAAAGCTATGAATATGTTTAAGGCATTAACAAATTGACTATTGTCTTTTCTTGGATATGTAAACCATGTCCAAGTTTTTCGTTTGCTACTGTTTCGAGAAAACGAAGTGACATCGAGTTCTCTTCTCTACTGATAGTTATGAAGGATTAGAAAATGTCAATGATATGCTCAGTAATAATTGAATGCAATTGTACACTACGTACACAAAACCATTTGCATGTAGCATATTCCTTCATTTTGTGGTTGTAAAAAAAATTAATTAATTCGCCTACTTGATAAACTTTGGTTTTCATTTTAAACAAATCTAGATGGCTTTTGTGTGTGATCAATTAAAATCCATTATTTCTTATGAATGGATATGATGGATCATTTTTATAATGATGGAAATCATACATTTTCTGGCTTGGGAGATTTAGATCTAAAGCTTGAAATTAAAATAATATCATCAATATTTTATCATTCTTAATTTTCATTTACTGATATTTACTTCATATTGTTTCATCCTCATTGGTCATCAACCATAAATCCCTAATCTCTGATAACATATTTCCCCACACTTAATATACTATTGAAGTTCTTATATTTCCAAACTTTCAGTCAGGAAAGAAAACAATAACTATTGGTCACTATTACATCATAATATTGATTTATTATTCATGTTAGTGTACAAGTATATTATAAACCTATCATTCACAATAATGTATAAATACAAATCATCGCTTAGCTAAGACATTTTGTATTTTAAAAATTGAGTAGTCTATTGATTACTAACTGTTGCTTTTAAACAATCATCAAAGCTTTTAGATTAATTAGATTTTGTTCTTTTGAAAAAAAAGTAATACTTTAAAGGAGACCATCAATTTTCTTTAAAACATATAAGAATACCAGAGGGGGTTTTTGTGCATATTATAATAATTTCAATAGTTGAGATTATGAGTTAATTGAACCTAGACCACCATGCAAAACCTGGAAGCACTGGACGGCCGTTTCGTTCTATTGTGGAACAACTCAGCATTGCGCATCCACGATCCCGCCCCGCGAGATTCGAACCCAGGACCTATCAGTCTCGCGCGCGAGCGCTTAACCACTAGACCACTGAACCGGCTGGCATCCAACGGTGTTATTGTCTAACTCCAACTAATCCACGAAATTAAGCAACACATCCATCATTGTCTATCTATCTGGCAACAGACCTGGTTGAACTCCACTGGTCACTGCTTCTCACTAGAACTCCAAGATATGCATCTTGAAGCCAGTCATTAGTGAACGTATGTTGATTAATATCAGAAGGGGCTTTTGTGGATATTATAGTAATTTCAGTAGTTCAGATCATGAGTCAATAAGAATATCTCAAGTCTGAATGATTAAACCAGGTGATGAGTAAAATGAAGAAAAAAACCTTTGAGAAGAATTACTGACAACCAATTTATATTTCAATAGATTTTTATTTACATTCAGTATGATTTATGTTGAATACAGAGAGTCAAATGATTATCTACTTTTTTAATTCAGTTATTGTAAGTTTTGAAATTATATTGGTTTTATAGTGAAATTGTGTGGTAATGTACAATGTCATCAATATGCTACATGTGATAGAGGACAATGTCGTTGTGTTACTGGTTATGATGGTGATGGCTATTCAGATTGTCGACCAGTTACAGAAGGTAGGATTCATTTTTCTATTCTAAAAATAATTTCGTTATTATTTTCGATTTTTTGAATTATTTTCTATCCAGTTAATTGTAATGCTATTCCTTTTATTTTCAGGTTAGAAACAATGAAAGTATAAGACAGAATATTGTTATTGACACATTAACATTATACTTTGGATATCTTTAGTAGCTAAAATTTCTATTGGTTATTAAGCCCAGAACCTGTAACCTGGTAATTGAAGGTTGATTACTTAAATCACTAAGTCATTGTTTTACTCTTTTTTCAAACATTTGTCACTTTGTATTTCATTTTGTCAGTAAGTAATAAGTGAACTGGACTTTCATTTGATCTCAAAGATAATTTGAAGAATAACTAGTATTTCATTTCTTTAGTTCAAGTTAAATCGTTGATTTGAAAGATGTTGTTGGTAAGCGGTAACAATCTTATTTTTCGAAATATTTCTAGTTTATTGTGTGTGTTTATTATGTTTCCAACAAGAATAAGGATTATTAATAAGATAATTAAATACTTGTTAATTAACTCAAAGTTAATAAGCAAAGATGGATGGTGACTAGCACTGGCGTTTGAAGCGAACGGTACTGGGTTAGAGTCCCAGAGTGAACATCAACTCTGAGATGCAGGCACATCCAGCTGACGAGTCCCAAATAAGACGAAACGCGCGTCCTGGATTCCACTGCTGATCACTATCCATCTTTGCTTATAAAGCTTGTGACCTAAGGCAATATTAAGGCAGTTCTCATAGGATGCACATATTCTAGCAAGAGATTGGTCAATTGCAGTGTTAAATAACAATGGGAAGATACAAGTAAACAACAACAAAAACAACAACTCTAAGTTAATAAGTTAAAAACTATTTAATATCTCGTAAGTAAAGTTACTTAGGGTTGATTAAATAATTTTAGACTCATTAAAGTTTGGATAGATAGTTCCTAATATTAAAAGTAAATATGTATTTATAACACCTACTAGGAAACTAAATTCTTGACTCTTTGTAGAATAATGTATGTCGCTTATTAGGAGGATAAATAAAAACATACTGAAATGCAGTAATTTCTCAATGAATGAAAAACGAAATTAAAATCATTAATCGTCCATTATTCTATCCTACCGTCAAATTACGACAGAAGAACTATAAAAAATTGTAAAGTAACATGGAGCTTAGGGATTCAATATAAAAAACACTCATATTTACATCGACACAAAATTATTTATAGACTAGGCTATGTAGAGGCCGTTACATTTCCTTTCAAAGAATCTTCTCGTGAAGTGTTAACCTATTTAAGAGTATAATAAAGTTACTTTAAATAACTAAATAATCCTATTGATAATAAAAATCTACAAATCAATTATACATTAGCAGTACATGTCACATTAAGTAACCATTTTGATGATATTTAACATACTCAAGTGGTCCAAAAAGTTTTCGATAACTATAAAACAAGGTAAGTAACTCAATCAGTTCGTGTTATCCATAATATTACCAACTAAAATGGACTAAGTATCCAACCATTTAGACAATCTATTCATACAGTTTTATTTAACGTGTCCGAAGTTACTAATCAAATTACTTGGTCATTTCTATTGATCAGATATGTATGCATGTACTCAATATTTGATTTAAATAGTTCATTTTATTATTTTAACTTGCATCAACATAAAATAGTTTTTTTACTCTTTAATGAAGCGTTTTACCATAAGTCGAGAAATGATTAAACTTTAATATTCTGTCCACTGCGATGTTAAAGATAAGTCAACACTTTTATCATTACACTTAATATTTAATTACAAATTGTTCAAATCATTACTGGCAGATAAGTGCTCACGAGTGAGATGTCATCCAGATGCTCAGTGTACTGATGGTTACTGTTTCTGTCCTACTGGTTTCGAGGGAGACGGATATTACGAGTGTAAACGAATTACTCAAGGTAGAATAATGCATGTCTTGAAGTAACCATATAAGTTTGTCTTGACTATAACACTTCCGTTGCATCTTTATTATTTTTTATTTAAAAACTTCATATAAATACTATTATGGTGTGTGCTACTGATGTTGACAGATATAAGTAGCATGTATCGCCAATCGAGAGAGGAATGCCTGGTGGCAGAATGTTGAGAAGATAGAAGAGAAGAGAACAAGAACAAAGAGCGATTGGTGTGGAAATGAAAGAACAATCAAGTTTGCGACAATTTATAGATGTTTTGCAAATGAAGTACTTGCTGTATGGTTTTTAGGTTTTACTAATGGATTCTCTAATTTATTAGGTTGTCCACACTATTTTCTCGTTCACTACACTACACATGATCTCAGACTTACTACCATGTCATGTAAATCATGTGCACCATCGAAACTTTGCTTGTGTACAAGATATTTTAAAGTATTGCATCAAATCATCGTAATTTGCCTTTCTTATGTAAATTACGGTATCATCTATGTACGATCTGTGTAAAATACTTTAGGATAGAGCGTGAAAATTATCGTTCTGTTCAATAAAGTAGAATAAAATTTTGAAGTCACTATGCAAGTACTGTAGTCACAGTCAGTTGCAGATTTCGAAAGCTTGAAATATTCTAACAAAGTTGTCGTTCCACAATTCGCTGAATTGCCAATCGAAAGATTAACGTAAACTTAACCACATCGATATTTGGATAATAAAGGAAAATAGCTAAAGAATTTTTGAGGTGCTTGGATCCTTTAGGAACATTTTTTAAACCACTGTGAATATGTTGACTAAACCACCCAAAAGAAATACAAGAAAGGAGTTTCTGTTCAACAAAGGTATTTTTGATCGTGTTTTTAAGCCGCTATTATATGTTTAGGAAAAAAATGTTATTGTTGACGTGATTTCGAGGAACTTCTCATATATTCATCTCATTCTATACAATCACTTTATTGACTATCTACTTATCATTTTTCATTTCACTTATAATTTTTACTCATTATTTTTCTACCTATCAGATGTATACCTTGTAAATCTATTCATTTTACCTTATAACTTTAACCACAAACCAAGAAATATATGTATAGTTCACTAGAAGTCTAAGCTTTTCCCACTGCAACGTATTCCTTTCAATTTTCATTGTGATTTTTACTGTTTTCCAGATAATGTTTTCTATAATTTTGTAAACTTCCAATGAGATCATTTCTTTAAACTACACACTATACTCTTTGATATGAATGTTTGCATGTGCAAATATTGAAATAAAATTATTCACATCTGCTTCTATAGTTAAATAATGCATGAAGAAAATTCTGGAAAATAAAAGCCATCATACTCTATGTCTTCCGTCTTTAAAAATAATTTGAATGTACTAGCTCATATAAAATGAAGAAAACACATCCTGTATTAACTTTCAAAGTAACTTAGGTGTTGTATTAAGCTTAAACTAGTAGTAATCATAATGAAACGTTGAAATAAATTCAGTAATAAGTGACAGATTTCTAGTTAACTGCTATGACCAAATTTATAAATACAACATGAATTAATTCGTGGAATTATTTCAATATGCATGCGGTGTATGATATGCAGTATGCTTCTCTACTGTGCAACAAGTACAGTACTACTTTAAAATATTCAAGACAGAAATGTTAATATTTTCAGATCGCTGTGCGAATGTTCAGTGTCATGAAAATGCTAAATGTGACGACGGGTATTGTCGTTGTAAAGAAGGTTTTGAGGGTGATGGATACAGTGAGTGTAGACGTAAAAGTGAAGGTGAGTAAATGTGGCAAGGCATTCACGTAATTAGCAAGTTAGCATGAGGAATTGATTATGTCAGTGTATGTTTATGTGTGCACGCTTTCTTTGGAAGTAGTTAAATAAATAGATTTTGTCCGTGTTGTGCTCAATATTTAATAAATGTACTATCAGAAATGTATTTTACTTTATGTTCTTTTGCTCTAATTAGTCGCTTTGTCGCTTGTCCTTAAGTAAATGTGTAGATGTTTTTGTTAACTAACAAGTGCTACTTGCTTACAGCACATGCTTTTTGTTAAATGTTTAGCATCCGTTTATCCATGATTTTATGTGTTAATAGCTAATTAATTGTAATGTTATCGAAATATCTAACTAAATCTATGATTTTTCTTTGTCATTTTTACATTCCATGATGGGCTTTTTAACCACCACGTTAGGAGACTCCATCAATATTAACCTCGTTAATAAGTGATGTATTTTCAAATTCTTTTCTTTTCAAACTATTTGCCGACCAAGTCATCTAACTGAATGATTGAACATCAACGGCTGGTTAATATTACTATGAGGATGCTATATAGTTTCTATCTTCTTGGGCTATAAGTCATTTCTAGAGTTTCAGCGACTCCGTGTGTATGTCAATCAAATTTATTCAACAAGCTAAATGTAACGAGGTTCTTATTATCCATGACAAGAACATTATCAGAATCATCAAATACTTTACCATAGTTACTGAAATTCCGTTTGATGAAATTCATATTCGCCACTTATAAGTGGAGAATTTTTTCAATAAGTTCTTGTGTTATAAATTAGAGGAATAGCAAAGTTAAAAAAGTTCCCTGCCACTAATTTAAGAACCTGATGAGGATTTCTTTAGAAGAATTTTTTATCTGTTAATCTATAAACGACTTCTCAGTGCTTCTAGGTTTTCACTAGTGATCTAGCTCAGATCAATTCATGATTTCTATAGTGAAAATACTACAGTCTCCGCAAATCCCCTGCACTAATTATTCTGTATATTCTGAATTCTGATTTATAATCACCAGAGAACGTCCGAACAAAGGTTTTAGATTCAAAACAATTAGGCCCTTTGGTAAGTTTAGATAAGGCAAGAAAAAGGTGAAATTTACCAGACTTGCGTGATATTTTGTCAGTAGTTATTGCCCAGTTCAATAAAAATGAGATGTAATGAAGGGCATATTCAATAGCATCGTCCGTGTCTATACATTAATACTATCGAGGATGCAGTCAAGCTGTTAAGTGATGTGATGTACAATGGATACCCAATAGAAAGCAAGAACCTATGAGTATGCTGAAAACTACAATACTTTTGGGACCGAAAAATAAGTCTGTTTCATCTTATCGCTCAGAGGTGCGTTAAATAGCCTCGTGTCATAACGACGTTTTAAAGTGGTTATCAGTAGAAGGCACTATGCATCAAAGATCATTATAATTAAAAAAGAAATGTTCATACTTTACCAAGAGTAATGATGATTTCCATCTCAAAATGGCTGAAGAGGTACCAAAATTACCCTAAAAACAAATAAAGCTTAATATCCCAATAAAAGCAGATAACAAACACCACTCTCATTCCTTCGCCGAATGTACAGTTCAAACAAGTCTTAAGGTTGATCTTAACCCAGAATTTATGTACTCAAATAAAACTTATCTACAGCAAATGTTTCGATTTAATGAAGCTTTAGCCGTTTGAAAGTTTAGGCCCCTTATATTGTTACTTAAATTGAACCTAGCCTGGTAATATTGATTTAATATCCAAAATGATAGAACTTATTGTGTATTTCCTTATTTTATTTTTCTTACCTTCAAATTTTTCGATATTGATCCTTACTTCCCACATATAAATAACCCAACAAGTTAAGGTTTGCTCAGATTTTTTATATTGGTTTGAGATAATATACAAAATAGTTCTAATAAACTTCGTGTACTCATTGCATCATTGGAGTTCTTAACTTTGTTCTAACAATACATATTATCGACCAAATAATCATACAAGTCGTTAACAAAACTAAATGGTGTTACAATAGCTTGATTTTAGGTACAAAAATATAGTTGCAAAAAGATGTAATGATAAGTGCCATTATGTTGCAAATGTTAAAAGAAGTTTTGAGGCTAAAACTGTAGCATGTCACTCGAATCCACAAACTAACATGGCAATATCATTTCAGGTGATTGAGATTTTTATTATTCGAAGAAGTGCTACAGACACCATCAAATAAGTACATATACTATATATTATATTTTGTAGAATATCCAAAAATCTTAATATAACTTATCTTTTAATATTTCTCATCAAGAATGTATGTGAAACACTGATAGATATGCCTCTAAAAAATTTATAACTTAATTTCGAGCATCGAGTAATCGGGTTGCACGTATTGAACTAGAGATTTATATATACATATATGAAGCGTTTTTAAAAGCGTTTTTTACATGTTTTATACCAGTCAATTCTATAAAACCTTAATGTAGATAGAGATCCATGTGCACGTGTTCGCTGTCATCCCCAAGCTCAGTGTGAGTATGGGTTTTGCCGCTGTAAAAATGGTTATAAAGGTGATGGCTATTGGAATTGTCAACCTATACAAAGTGGTAAGCTCTGTTCCCATCCCAATAATACCGACAAACTCCAAATACTTGAATTAAAGCATGTTTATTTTTATTTAGACAGTGATCTTGCAACCTTTATTGGCATTATAACACGTATAATAACATCATAAAAACAAACAGACATAACATACAGAACATATTCAGACATATTTTGGAATGAGTTACCAATAAAAGAAAAAACTTTAATTTGAAACCATTTTATATTCATATGGGAAATCAACTGCCTTGTATAATAAAATGTTTTCCATATACTTTCCAAAGCATTTGTACGTTTTATGCTCAGAACTTTTTGAAAAATAGCATGATATGCTTACCCGTAGATGAGGTCAAATATATCTCCATCTATACTCAGTATAATTGCTTTTGTAAATATTAACTTTAGATCTCTGTCGGGCAGAACAATGCCATCAGTTCGCTAGATGTGTTGAAGGTCGATGCCGCTGTTTGGACGGATATGAAGGAGATGGCTATCAGATGTGTAATATAATACCTGGAGGTAAATATAATCTTGTATATTTATTTGACAAACCACTCGTAATAACACACTAACAGTTATAAATGTTTGCTTATCTGAAAAAAGATAATCCATCATGATATTTCAAATAAAGGTACAAAAACAGTTGAAGTTGAAACTGCTGTGATTGATCTAAACCAATATTACAACCTATTGAGGCTGTCACAGAAATAATTAACTGCTAGAACCTTTCATACCTCAATAATATTGTGCCACCCAGTTGATATCGATTTTTACTGATTATGTTGCAAAATTATAAATATTCTATGTTTGTATCCATTTGGTTACCATTTCTCAAAAAAATATAAAGTCCTTTACAAACTCTCTTCTGTGGAATAAGGTTTTTTAGCGGTTGGCCTATCCAACCATGTTAGATCCAATACCATATCAAAAATATCTCCTAGAGTTTGTATTTTAGGATGTGAAACTTCTCGAAAGTTGCAATAGTTCTTCAACTGTCAGACAAATGATCGGATGACTATCTTTTTCAATCCACTTAATATTAGCGCCTATTTTGATCATACTTAGACAAGCATGATCAAAATATTATGATTGATAATATTCTATTAACACTAATTGGCGAAAACATTTTTGAAGTGCAAGTTTGAGTTCAACTTCAGAAAGCCGTCAACATTTCGCTTTAATTATAAATACGTTTGGTTGGTTTAAAAGAGTATAAACAACTAGGACTGGGACTTGTGAGATATACGTTATCTCATCTTGTCAAATAAAAACGTAACTGTGAATCCTTGTGCAACAAAAAAATAATTTGCGCCATCTTGTACGGAAGTAGCTTGTAAACCTACCCAGATGAAAGAAGTAATAAGGTAAGTTCATTGCTGTTTAACTTAGGGAGTAACGAAAAACAAATATTATACTCACGACGTACAAATTAAGCGATTGATGTACGAGTTCAACAACGAAAGTAGTTTTAATAACACTTATTTCCTTTTTCGAGGGAGTTTATCATTATTAACTTAATCTATATACGGAACGGTATCTTAGCGGCTAGGAAGCTCGAATTCTTTCTATTCAGTACCAGGTTCAGACTACTCCTCACCTACTTCAATTTAGGAAACCGGATAGTATCATTAGCCCTCATACTTAAAGCGTGGCTCATATGCAAGCATCTGAAGGATGACTATGATATATTCTACTCATAGAACTTGATAAAATTCCTCCACTAAGTTAGATGATAGAACTTATAAGTTATTTGTACTTCATAACCCTTTTGAGACATTAAAAGTCCTAAACACTGTGACACCATATTTCGATGATATTCTTTAACTAAGTACGTCCCAATTTCAAGGAGATTTTTTGATAGTTTACAATGCGTTGTTTGTCAGCTTTGCTGTCAATAATACTTTAAGGATAACTGGAATTATCTATCACATGTTTGAAGATGTACATATATGTGTTTCTTTATATCTCTATTTGAATATAGCAACTTCAGCAGATTGTGGTAATTGCAATGGTATACCTTTCAAAGAACTAGCTCAGTGTGTTGGTGGACGATGTGTTTGCGCTCGTGGATTTATTGAAGTTCAGACAGGTGTCTGTATGGAATGTGTGCAAGACAATTGTCATCAGGATGCTGTCTGTCGACCGGATGACAGATTTAATGGCGCTTATTCATGTCATTGTAAAGCTGGTTTTACTGGAGATGGAGTATCTGTTTGCAAACCTGAAAGTGTAGGTAGACAAAATGCCACATCATCACACTCCTTTGATCCTACGTGCGGTGGAGGCTGTAGGATACGAAATGCGGAATGTGATCGATATACTGGAACATGTAAATGTCGATCAGGTTATGATGGCGATGGAGAAAGGGGTTGCTACTGGAACTGTAAGCTGTGTCATCCGAGTGCTATTTGTGATCGTGAAAACGAAAGATGTATTTGTCCATCTGGTTATCGTGGAGATGGACAAACATTTTGTGAACAAATTCCAGTTAGGCAAGGTAAGTTCGATCATCAATGTATTAATTTTTTCAAGAAATATCTTTCTTGACCCCTTTATTTATAAATGATAGTTTTGTGAAGATACCTAGGCACATTTAGTGTAGGTGACTTTTTATTAGAAAGTTGTCCAACTTCAGAATCATTTACATATGTTACCTAATGTACAGCAAAGTGTATGTTTTATTACCTACTATTTTTTTGTATGAAATTATTAGTGACAGTCATCTTGAAAAAATGATGTTGCTATTGAATATGATAAAGTTATATATGTTTCTTCCAGATTCTATAAAAGTTCGAATAATGGGAGAAGGAGAAGTAATGCATATTACAGATATATCTCATCCGCTTGAATTAAGATGTTTCGTAACTGGAAACGATCAGTCATATTCCGGCCAGTGGATTCAACCACATTCTGCTCAAGAACCAATAGTGACTAAAACTAGACAACAAGACGGCTATGAAATTTCCCTCCGTATAAATCAACCTACAATAACTGATAGTGGAAGGTATGAGTGCCGTGCAGGGAATGTTGCTGCTTTCATAGATGTAAATGTGGAAGAATCTGCAAGTATGTGTGTAAATTTAACTCTGAACTAATTTAGTATTTATGATTAAATGAATTCAGTTTTAAAAATACTGGGAAGTGTTTAAGTAATTTGATCCAAGCTTTTTCAAGAAAATGTAATCAAACTTAAGTATTTTGTTCAAAGGTTAGCTGTACGCTAAACAAGTCGTCCAACTATGGTAACAACGTATGAGACATTCGGTGTGGTAAGTGAAGAAAATCGTGTTATGATAATTTTGTGTATATTCATGCACATCAAATGTGCGAAAAATCCATTTGATGAAAATAAACAATTGGCTAAATGATATGAATCAAACGTGTCACAGAATGCATAAAATGAGGATAAATAAACAAACATGTTGATCAAGCCGATTGTTCAGATAAACGCACTGATTGGAACAAGTAAAAATAATCATTGCTGTCCACAGAATAAAAGATCGATTTAAGTTAGTAAACAGTAAAATGGAGTTCAGGTTTACTTATCAATTATTAGTTGCCATGGGACAGTTAATAATATTCCATCTCTCCCATTAATATTGTTGTGTAAAGTTTCAACTGTTAATCTCATTTTGCATGAAGTAAAACTATTTGGCGGATTCTTGTACCATTGAAATCAAATGTATGGCTATGGTTTTTACGAATATAATTTTCCTCCCCAGTGACGCGGCTTAACTACTATGAAACTTTTCGATCAAAATTATACGAAAGTCTTTATAATTTGTTTTGTAACAGGGAAAATAAAGGCTTATATAATCAAATTTATAGGATCTGGGATTCCATTTCATCATGAGTTTTCTTGCTTTAAGTCACTGCTCTCTGTCTGAAATGAATTGTCTTTCTTAAGATGCCAGTTTTACAATGAAAAATTCAAGATGTTCCAGTTTGCATTCATCACATCAAATAATCTTATTAAAGTCATGCCTATCAATCATTTCATTTCATCAAAACATGGTCATTTAAATGAACAGAAACCTGGTTAAAATTGACTGGAAGATCTAAATAATTCCTATATAACAGAATATTCCATTGAAATCTGTTGACGATTATAAAACAAATATGTGATAGAAATGGTAAGTATTAGCATGAAAATTTTTCTTAAGTAGTAATTCATCTTTAGTGCTTTAACAATCTTTCAAAATGTTATACTGAAGGAAAATATAATCTTAAAACTTTTGATCAATTTGATTTTTAAGTTCCATTCACTGTGCTACTTACAAGTGATGATGGAATTTTAATGACACAATCTACCGATTCAAATGTAACCAAAGCTACTCTATGGAATATCGGTAAGTAAAATAGTGAGAAACATGCTATATTATTATTTTTATTTTATCTGTATGAGATTGATTATGTGATATACTCATTGGTATATTTGATCATTTTAAAGTATTACTTGATCTGACCAATACGATATTCATCTTGGATTGGATTCCTGAAGTTCTAGAATTAAACGGCGATCGTTGCAGTTTGACTACGTTACCAACAGCACTGAAATACTGTCATAAAATATGGAAGTTCAACCGAAGTTTGAGATTAGACTACCGGAATCCGAACTAAAAATTTATATTTATCGTCCTCAGATAGATAACTGAAGTTACCAGATTTGATCCCGGATGTGTAATACTAAACAGTTCAAAATTAAGGTGTAAAAATCGTCAGGTACTAACCCATGGTTTTAAATGATTAATCATTTTATGTTAATCTGTGGTGAAAATTTACTTCAAAATGATCCCTTTCCACAAACCTCTGATCTCAGCTTCCTGCATTAATCAGGTGATGCAAAAGAGAGTTAGTATTAAGTAGTTTAAATCTAATTTATCACAATATTTTAAAACTGGAGTATTTAAATATCAATTCCATGACATGTAATTTATTATAAAATAATTACCGATACCATAATTTATCATCATAGGAGCTTGCATATGCATCATGCTCAGTTTGCATATACTTTTCAGCAGATTTTCTTTCAAGTTAAATTTGGCCTTTAACCGTAATTCGTAACTTCTGTTTGTCCTATCCAGCTGAAAATAACAAATATGGACGTGTCTCCATGGTTGGTGATTGTAATAGTCAACGAATTATATATACATCTGATTATGGTCATACTATCCGATGGGGTAATTCAAACTCTGGACAAAATAAATTGGTGACAAAAGAAATATACACTTCTCAATTTAACCGATTTCGTAATTTGGCGGTAGATTCATTGTCTGGAAATGTATTTGCCTGGGAAGAGGCCTTTGGAAAAATTATGGTATTCAATCCAAATAAACCAAATATTCATTATACACTTGAAAGTTTACATAGCCTAACTTCTTCTGAACAACAAAATTTCGCTGGGCTAGCTTTGCACTCCACATTAGGGTAAGTAAATAGAATATCGATAGATGAATACATAGTAATATTGTTAGATCTGTAAGTATTATACATATTTACATACGTTCCGTTTTCTAAAAGATTGGATAAGGTGGTAGCTGTTGTAAGTACTTTAATGGTGTCGAACTTTCTATTCCGAACGTTTTAATTATAAACTTTTAATTTTCTAGTGTCTATAGTTTCTGTTAATGGCTCTAAATATGATTGGTTATATTCAACGCTCAATGCATTCCATTACTTGCTATGTTATCTTTAAGTTTATTGTAACTAACTTCAGGCTACCAAATTTCTAAACGAAATGACTATGAGTTCAAACACTAATCTTGAATGTAAGAATATTATTATTAATATAAGATTACTCCAGTGTTAGCATACTCTCACTTAAAATTAAATCTACCTTACCTTCCAAATACACGATTACACATATTAATTGTGTGATAAATTATAATCCTACCTGCCTATACAACTATTGGTAGGGATCATACTCTGCGCTTACGTAAGAATACTACAGTTAAGTAAAATAAATAAACATTCCTCATATGTTTAAATTTCGATACATTTTAGACACTAAATTTCCAAATTATTCGTCTTTTTGAGATATACATGTATTTACTTGCTTATTTATTTTTACTACTATAATCAGTCTAATGTACTGGGCAATATACACAGACGGTTGGAGACCGAATGGTACAATTCAAGTGGCTTCAATGTCTGGTGAAAATGAGGAGCAATTATTACAACTCACTGGTGAACCATTGGCAATTAGTATATCACCAGCAACGCCAGTTAATGGTAATTCTGCTGGAAAATTATGCTGGATGCAAAGATCTTCTAAAGGAATGTTTGGATTAGTCACTGAACTACATTGTGCACGATTAGGTCAAACAGGAAGAGAGATATTAACCAATGAAAAGATAAGAGAATTTAGTCCTTCTGAAGAACCATCTTTTGGTATGACACAATATAAAGGGACATTATTGTGGACAGATGCTTCAAAGTAATCAACTTTTGAAATAATCTTTTATAATAAGTGAAGTGAAGTAAATTGCTTTTAAGAATACTATTTATCAATTAAGGAATTTCACAAAATTTCATTCCATAGGCTAAATTTAATTAGTTTCAGCATTACCTACAAATTTCCATAAAGGCTATTTTTTAATAAGACTATTTCATTCTAATATCGTTAACTTTTTAACACTGGACGTTTCAGTTTATAGGTTCTTAGAAGTTCACTCTAATATGCGATAAGAAATGAACAATTAACAAATAAGTAATCATTTTGAAATAGATGACAGAATTAGTTCAATTTAAATGACACTTCATGAAATATAACTTCTTTCTAATGCTAGTTAAATAAAATTTTAAAAAAGGCTAGTACGGGTAATCCTAATTTCCTTAATAATTCACACCAGAATGCGTATTGTGGTGTGTGCTACTTATGTAGGCATAAGTAGTATATGATGTTAGTCGTGAACAGAATGTCTGGCAGCAGAGGGACAAGAAGATCGAACAGTAAAGAATGAAAACAGAACGCAATGAAAATGCAAGAACAAAGGAAGTCTGAATCATTTTGAGACAATTGATGGACACTTTGCAAATTGAGCATTTAGTATATGGTTGTTAGATTTTACTAAACAGTTCTGTAATTTGTTGTTAAATACATTCGATTGTTCCCCACTCGTGTTCGTGCTCAATTCCTTGACGTTTTGGAAAACATTCTAGGTTGTATTTTCAGGTCAAATAAAGCTTTAATTAAATACCACCATTTCTATTTGTTTCTAGATTGCAAGGCTCTTCCTCCTCCATCCGTACAATATTACCACTTCTTTTATGCAATAAATAGTTTCGGCCCTATTTTACCAAACACTTTGTATTACTTACAATGAATGAATTCTCATAATCTTGTTGAAGACAGACATAGGCGCTCTAGGATGATATCCAATTACGTTGTAGTTTGAGACATCAGGAAAAATTGAAAATAATAGTATTGACAAAAGCTAAAATGAACCAATAGTATGAAAAGGGACAGAAAGAATATATGAAACCAGAGAATTTCTGATACACAAGAGAAAATATAGAATATGTACAAAAACAGATGTGATGTTGGGTCTCTTAGCTAAATAATTGGTCCCCTTATCTTCTTTGATCAATATCCTTCAAACTGATATTAAGATAATGAAAAATAAACGGTTTATTTATAGACTGACATTTCTACACGTGTTGTTTTTTTATCCTTGTTTCAATAATTCTAACGTTATAAACGTATGATCGATTTCATTTAAAAAAGAAATTTACGATCAAAATATTTAACAGTTCAAGTATTAGGTCTGTTGTGGGATAGTAACTCACTGAAGACAATGGTGAATGTGTCGCTCAATTTCGTGGATTAGTTGAAGTTAGACATTAACACCATTGGATGCCGGCTGAGTGGTCTAGTGGTTAAGTGCTCGCGCGCGAAACCAGTAGGTCCTGGGTTCGAATCTCGCAGGGGGCGAGGTCGTGGATGCGCACTGCTGAGGAGTCCCATAATAGGACGAAATGGCCGTCCAGTGCTTCTAGGTTTTCCATGGTGGTCTAGCTTCAACTGACTCATGATCTTAATCATTGAAATTATTACAATAAAGTATTTGATATATTACTAAAATTATTCTAATTATTTACATTTCTCCTTAAATTTAGGACAGTCTATTACTCTATCAATCCTGATCGCCGAATACGTGTCCGTTATGTCTGTTGTTCTAATCGTTTCCAAGCCTTATCAGTATTAGGTGATTGTCCACAAGGTAATTTCAGATCTTTTGAATTTATTCTATATAATTCAATAGTAAATTATTAATAAATAAACTTTGATTAAGATCATTGTTTTAAAACAAATTTGACCATGCTATTGATAACTGATTTTATTTTACTTTTTGCGTAATACATGTAATTTTAGTAAAATGAATAAGCAGTTTTCTGTACCCAGATTATCGTTAATTGTTTATGTTAGGACTCATTTATTGACAGCTTTTTTGTGAGCAATAGGTTACAGGAGTAGGATCATCCTGATCGAATTCACCCTTATTTAGAATAGAATGAGAGAACCTGTTTGGACAACTAGTCTGAAAAAGGGAATTTAGCTGCATACCTTTTATCCACATAACAGTTAAGCGCAACACTTGGTGAATAAATTGAACTTGAAATCTTATCAGAAGCTGAATCTCATAGTTTAATATTTAGAGCAATACATTAGTTACCTGGAGACATATAGTTTATTTTTCTATTGACAAATCACATTTTATTTCAACTTACATCATCCTTCTCGTGAATAAGGTGGTAGTTTACTACTGTCGTTGTGGAATATCCATAGTCTCCTCTAAAATATTTTACGCAGATCTAATTTAGATACCAAATAGTATAAAATTTTTTATCAGAAATCAGTGATTATTTTGAAAATTCACTTTTTTATTTACAGCTAGAATTAACTTAGTTCAAATTTTCCATAAAAGTCCATTTACCATTGAGAATATCCATCAAAAATCACATTTCAATGCAGTTTAGTGCTTAATGATCTTAAGACAAAACAGGAAAGTATCGGAACTTGAATGCGGATGAAGATAATGGGTAGATGGATCTATGCGGCTGTGATTGATTTTGAAGCATGTTACCTAACGTATCCAACCATTGATCGTGGTTATCGAGCGGACCTTAACCGAGTAGTTAACATTTAACAATTCCTAACACCATCAGTCACTCAATTGATAGACTGACACCACCTTTTGTTTTGAACACTTCTAACATTTTTTCAACCTACATCTGTACTTGCAAGCATCACTCATTTAAATCGGCTATGGTTGGGGATATATAACAAATTGCAAAACCACATTAGTCTGTGAAAATTTTATTATCTCATCAACGGACTTGTTACATCTACCAATTACCTTATGTCTAAGCTCACAACTGCCCACTCGGTTATTTCACGAAATTCAAGCGCTGGTTTGAAGGCAAATATGATCAAAAGCCTTGAGCCTACGAATATCTTCTACTTTGATAGACTATTGTTCACGGATATAAAGTAGTATAAAGCGGATTGCTGTAAAGTATGCACGTCTCTTGGTTGGCAGGCGAACATTTCGTCCCAGCCACAAGCGACACACGTTGTCAAGAGCCAACCGAGGTTTCGTCAGACACCAAACCACCAGGGTCGATGAGGCTTCCAAGATAAATGAGGTGGTCAAAATAATAAAACTACTTCACTCCATATCATCAGTTCAGGCGTTAATACAAACCAGCCCTGGAGCATCACTTCGCATACGAAACATACTAACATTTTTGCTGAAAAAGATTAAGGGATTCTGCAGTTTTTCATTGTTTTCACTCATTAAGAATATGTAATCTAATCATTCTAAATTGACAGGCGGACTTCCATGTAGGGGGTTGACCCCTGAGAAGTTTTTCGAAGAAAAATTTTATTTCTAAAAGGATATTGATGATAAAATTGAATAAAAATGAGAATAGTGAGCAGCCCTGATTAACAATACTTGAGGTTAACTATTTTGCTCACGGTTCCTCATACGTTCTGACTCAACCAATAGTCCCTAATTAGAGAGCCATCAGAGGGTTTATTTACTCATTTGGTAAGTCATTCAAGAGCTAGCTGCCACAGAATCTCCTGATCAACAACTTCAATCACTTCTCTGTAAAATATTTTCTCCGAAAGTAAGTGGGATTTTTGTTAAACGAAAATACAAAGTATATTTTCTATTATGGCATTGTTGTATTTTATCAATTCGACTAATGAATGAAACTAATGTTAGTGTGGTCAATGATTATGGTTCCAGTTGTACAACAATTGATCAGATATTTTCGAAGTGAATGTATGAGGAACCAAGAGAATATGTGTGTAATAATATGCATATTATGTGCAGACTTATTGATATCTTGATTGAGGAATGCATCATCACTATGATCACGATAAATACTTTCATTTTCATACCCCAACCATAAGTAATATCTTCTAAGATTTAAACTAATCAAAACAATTAATTATAATATTTTTAACAGTTGAGATCATGAGTCAATTGAAGTTAGACCACCATGGAAAACCTAGAAGCACTGGACGGCCGTTTCGTCCTATTATGGGACTCCTCAGCAGTGCGCATCCACGACACCTCATCCGCGGGATTCGAACCCAGAACCTATCAGTCTCGCCCCAGGTGCTTAACCAACTAGACCACTGAGCCGGCATCCAATGGTGTTAATGTCTAACTTCAACTAATCCACGAAATTGAGCGACACATTCGCCACTGTCATCAGTAAGTTATTATCTCACGACTGACCCGGTTGAACTCCACTGGTCACTACTTCTCACTAGAACTCCAGGATATACTAGGACGAAACGGCCGTCCAGTGCTTCTAGGTTTTCCATGGTGGTCTAACTTCAATTGACTCATGATCTCAACTGTTGAAATTACAACAATCTCCACAAAACCCCTTCTGATATAATATTTTTATCGATATTAATTACTTATTTAGCTTCAACTAATCCATGCACTTATTCTAATGGACGATGTCGTTATATATGTTTACCAAATGATGGTGGTAGATCACGTACATGTGTATGTCCTGATAATGAACCTGGATGTCATAAAGAAATGTAAAATGTATCAGTTATAATTCAATGAAACGATAAATTCATTTTATCCCAGTTCATATTTTTCAACTTTACATTAACTTAATATTTATATTACTGATTTATTTTAAAAAATATTAAAATTGAATTTTCGAATTTTCCTTTAAAAAAAAAGTTGTTTTTACTTATAATTAAAATATTATTAGGAAAGGTTTATTCTTGAAATGTCAATCTTTTTTTTGTATTACATTTAATTATATTTGCATGTTGTATTTTATTTTACTTATCAATGTGAATTTGAAGAGTTACAATTGAAATAGGTTATGTATTATCTAATTAATCTCATTCGTCAACTTAAAACTGATACACATAAACTGAATACTTTTCTTAGAATTAGTTTGTTTGTGTGTGTGTGTGTGTAATATTTAAACTTGGATGTTACTATATCCCAATAAATTATATTCAATACTGAAACATAATTTATTTTTGTAATGTATACATAATTTGTGGTTTATATAAACAGTTCAGTAAATTCATAGTATAATCATTAACTAATCTTTCCTAGACCATTATTAGTTACCTGAGCAATCAGCATACAGGGTTCTCGCCAGTGTCATTGAACGACATTGATTGTTAAATTAGTCATAAGGTATTTTTCATTACCGGTGCTGATTCAGAAAATGACTCTCCCTTCCGATTGATTACAGTTGCTATTTGAGCGACAGTTGGAGTTCTTAGTCAAATTACGCACACAGCTGCTGAATCACTCATGCCTTAGAGATGCGACGGAAGTGGATGGATTAATTTCTAAATTGCACACAGAGCTGGAAAATGATTGCAGCCTCCATGAATTCTCGACAAACCGCAATTTAAAGGAAACAACAGTCATTCAAGATCCTTCCAGTCGTAGTGGTCCAGTACTGTCCATTCCAGAAACATGCCCTGTAATGGATTCAAACCCCATTATCCTTGAAACAGCATGTGCAAACAGTGACTTATCTAGCTCTCAAAAAGCCGATGCCTTGTTAAATGGTCATGAAAGTGTCGCAGCAACCGCCCTCGAAGAAACAGAAAACAAATCGAGCAGTACACTGAATGCAGCTGCACTAGATGGAGCTCATCTTTCTGCGATAGAATTTTCTGACGAATCTAATTATCGAGATTCTCTTGTTTTACCAGAAAATATGTCACATGAATCAAATGGCAGTCGAGAACCTAGTGTATTTTCGATAAATGCTGCTTACCCTAATGATCCATCATCTACTAATGAGGTTTTCAATAAATTTGATGCAAATGTTTCAGAAGAACCAAACTCTGACCTCATATCAAGTGTTTTTGATCCTCACCATCCAGCCAGTTCTAGCAGATTCTCTATTGAACGCGGGAAGTATGTTATAAATAGAGCCACATTAAATGTAACTTAGGAATATGAGGATCCAACATTATTTCGCGGGGGAGGATAAACTCGGAAAATTTAAAATCCGGATCTTCAAAGAAGGGGAGGTGTTATATCCCGATAAGCATAATGAATGGTAATTTTTAGGATCCATTTATGGACCAATACTATGCGTATATATATATATATATATATATATATATATATATATATATATATATATATCGCATAATATATGATCTTCTGTCATTCACTTGACAAGTTATAGCAGGAGCTTCAATGTTTCTACGTACATTTTGAGTACTAGTACTTCATCATTTTAGAACTACTTGTAATCAATATGATATATAAGTTGCTTTATCATATTTTTGTGGTTTATCTATTAGAGGAGTAAGTCATTGTTCATATCTGTAGCAACTATCATTAAACCACATAGACTCATTAAAAAAAAGAGAAATATTATTTATAAACAATAAGAAATCGGTACAATTTGGGGACTAAACGCTGCTGTACACAAAATGTTTGCATTATTATGGTAAAAATACTGTGTATGACACTTGAAATGTTATTCGACTAAACCTGCTGATGTGGTTTAGTCCAATGGTGACTACATAAAAATCCATATTTCTTACTTCGAATATTAAGAGTAGAAAACCGTGTCGATAATTTTTCGATGAATAAACTACTTACTGTCTGAATATATAACAGAAACGGTATATCCAAAGAAAAACAGGAAAATAATAAGTTAGGAATCAGGCAAATATTTTGAGCAAATAACTGGGTATTTGACTGATGGTGTTCATTCATTACTCAATAATAATAATAATAATGAGTTAGTAATCAGGCAAATATTTTGAGCAAATAACTGGGTATTTGACTGATGGTGTTCATTCATTACTCAATAATAATAATAATGAGTTAGCAATCAGGCAAATATTTTGAGCAAATAACTGGGTATTTGACTGATGGAGTTCAGTCAGTCAGTCAGTCAGCTGCAATGTAGGACCAGGCACGTATATGCATCGGTCCAAGTTGCCATACCGCATTAGCACAACAAGATGAACACCGGATTCATAGGAGTAGTTAATTCAGTGGTGGTAATATATAGAAGAAAGATTGTGTATAAGGAGATAGTAAAGGAAGAAAGAATTAGTTCCTAGACAGATATGAAGCGATTTTAATCTCTTAATTTAAGGAAGACAGAGAGTGTATACACCGACGCCATTGTGATCGATTCTGAGCCATGTCACCAAGAGTCTCCAACCATTGGTTACGATAGTCACGCGGACCCCAACCAGGCAGTCTGAATCTACCAACATGGCTCAGACCAGAAGTTAGTGACTTCAAGCACTGAAGCCACGTTTTGGTTTGGCCGCCCCTAACTTTCTTCCAATCATCCCTAACACCGGTTAGCATTGCGCGTCGTGGTAATCGGTGTTCAGGCATACGTAACACGTGGCCCAACCATCTCAGTCGATGAAGATTCATAACCTCATCAACTGACTTACCATCATTCCCTAATACCCTGCGTCTAACCTCACTATTACTTACCTGGTGATCCCAGCAGATCCCAGAAATATTTCTAAGGCACCTGTGGTCAAATACTAGTAACTTACGAATATCTTCCACTCTTAAAGGCCATGTTTCGCAGCCGTATAGAAGGACGGAACGTACTGCCGCGCAGTATACTCATCCCTTAATTGATAGACGGATATCTCGCCTTCGCCATAGATGACGTAAGTTGGCAAAGGCCAAGCGAGCTTTTCGAATCCGTGCTGAGATTTCGTCAGACACCAACCCATTAGGGCTGATCAGACTTCCAAGATAAGTGAAGTTGTCAACGCGTTCGACTACTTCACCCCCTATCCTTAGTTCAGGTGTTGATGCAGACCAGTCCTGAAGCAACAACTTGCATTTAGAGGGAGAAAAGCGCATCCCAAACATTCTAGCATTGTTGCTCAGTGCTTCCAAAAGACTCTGCATTTCATCAGCGTCTTCACCAAACAGGACTATGTCATCTGCGTATTCTAAGTCAATAAGTGGACCTCCTGGTAGGAGATCAATACCCGAGAAGTCAGTCGATGAGAGCGTTATTTCCATCAGGATGTCTATGATAAAGTTAAACAAAAAAGGAGAAAGTGGACAGCCTTGACGGACGCCACTTGAGGTTGCAAAAGCAGATGACAGTTCGCCATAGGCTCTGACCCGACTAGTAGTGTTCGAGTAAAGAGCCTTCACAAGGTTTATGTACTTCTGAGGTACGCCTTTCAATGACAGACACTGCCACAGAACCTCTCGGTCAACAGAGTCAAACGCTGCTTTTAAGTCAAGGAATACCACCATTGTCGGACGCCGATAAGTATGCCTGTGTTCTAAAACCTGACGAATGGTGAATATGTGGTCGATGCAGCCACGACCAGGTCTGAAGCCAGACTGATTTTCACGTGTTTGCAGTTCACGAGTCTTAGTTAGGCGTCCGAAAATTATCGAAGCTAGTATTTTAGATACTATATTAGTCAAACTAATCCCTCTGTGGTTGTCACAGGATGATTTTGACCCTTTCTTAAATATTGGGACGATAAGTGATTGTGACCAGTTAGATGGAATAACGTCTAACTCCCAGATTTTAGCTAAAATATTAATCAACCTAATCGCTAAGACTAGACCACCATCCTTAAAGACCTCTGGGGCCAATCCATCTGGACCAGCTGCCCTTCCTCGTTTCAGATTAGCTATAGCCTTTTGAACTTTATCTAGAGATGGAGGACCTACTTTAATGTTCCATTCACACTGTCTGGGAATAGAGGGTAGTTGTAGAGTAGCTGAAGGCCAGCTAAACTGCTCCTTAAAGTGTTCCGCCCATCGTTCTAAGCGTCTGGACTGGGAGCAGATGAGAGTGTCGTCTTTTTCCGAAATAGTCTGACTTACACTTGATTTATTAATTCCAGTTTCTTTTATTAGTCTGTAGAGTTGTCTTGTGTTCCCTATAGCCGCCGCCTTTTCCATCTCTTTTGCTTTCGTTGCCCACCACTGCTCACGATCATTCCTTAGACTTTTGCTTAATCTAGATTTGATTTCTTTACGCTCTTCATCGTATTCAAGACCTGATGGGATGAGTTTGCGAGAATCTATCAGTGCAATAGACCTTGACGAAATCCATTGGTTTTTTGTAACCATTTGGTTTAAATCACTGGTAGATGTCACTGCTATTTCCACAGCTGCTTGTATAACTTTCCAAGCAACATCTGGGTCAGTCTCGTTCTCAGAACTACCTAAGTGTGACCTCAGTTGTTCCTGGAACCTACTTTTGGTTTTCTCATTACTCGATTCGGTTCTAATGAGCCTTTTTTGTGTGGCTCTTTTGCGTCCAGTGAGGCGCAAGCAGATGCGTGCTCGTACTAGGGCATGATCAGAGTCCAAGCAGGTACCCCAGAATGAGCGACAATCTTCTATTGACCCTCTCCAACGATGACTGATGGCAATATGGTCTATTTGAGTCCATCGTTGGTTTGGTGCAGGGGGTCGCCATGTTAGACGATGTCTCTCCTTATGCTTAAAATTTGTGTTTGCTAAAAATAAACGATTGTCTGAGCACAGTTGCAGCAGACGATCACCATTATCTGTTCGCTGTGCCGGAATAATAAAATACCCACCTAAATGTCTTTCTGTTTTGTTTAAGCTACCTACCTGGGCATTAAAGTCACCTCCTACGAGTACTATGTCTGAACGTTTAGCTTTCTGAAGAAGTTCAGACAGCTTTCTGTAAAATTCATCTTTCACGTCATCCGAACTGCAGTCAGTGGGAGCGTAGGCAGAAACGACGAAAAGGCAACGACGTGTGTCCCTATCCTTCCGAGTTCTTACCGAGCCGTTTAGCCGAACAGCGCATAGACGACTGTTAACGGGGATCCACTCTAATAGCGCTTGTTCCGCCCTCATGCTAAGTGCTATGCCTACACCTGCCAGTCCACAAGAACTAGCCATCGGGTCGCCAGATACACGGAGGGTGTATCTCGTTGGCTCTCCGTTTTGCCGAGGTGAGGTCAAGTGAATGACCACACTAGGATCCTGTATGCGTGTTTCGGAGACACAGCATACATCAATGGTACGAGATTCTAAGGTTTTAGCCAAGGAAGCCTGCTGACCGATTTGGCATAGTGTGCGTACGTTGAAGGCTCCAATGTATAGTTTGGAGCGAGGTTTCAGTAGACCTGGGACAGTGTTTTGAGCACTAGAATCGTTGGCTGTGGTGACACTTGAGGAGGAAGCTAAAAGAGGAAGTTTAGTGTATAAAGTCGATGTAGGAGGAATAATAGGAATTGAAGAGGGAGGTTGACTATGAATACAGTGGTCTTGAGTGCTGTTAGAGGTATGAGGGCGGTTATCACTTCCCGGTTGCCCACACCGTGGAAGGGTTCTTCTGGAGGCACCTGAAAAGGAAATTGGATTAGAGGTGGTCATAGTGACCTGAGAGCGTGACCGCAGTGCCCAAGGGACAGCTGCTTGAGGTCGGTCACACACGACCTTTCTATGAGTGATTTTTGTGTTAGCTCCGTACTTATTGAGTCCTTACCGCCGGAGACGGATATCCGTGGGATAAGGCGAGGTGTGCATTTTTAGGGTCGACCTTTTCTAACCCCACCCCTCCTTGTGGGAAGGCAGCATCGCTGTCATGCTGGTTGTCTGAAGGAGACACCTTACTGCTGTCACACCTCTGTACAGTCAGCAGTACGACTTCGCCTTCGGACCTTGGTTTTGTTGCTTTTAGTCTTACCGCTCTTCAACCGACCTGTCTGGCATGGTAGGACCTTGAGGAACGGTTGTTCCAGCCAGTATAGCTCAGTTGCTTCATCACGATAGGCAAGCCCGACCACCACGTCAAGGTAGCAACAACGGTCAGTTCATTCATTACTCAATAATAATAATAATAATAATAATAATAATAATAATAATAATAATAATAATAATAATAATAATAATAATGGGTAGAGTAGCATTTCAACTATGAACTACCCAGCTAACAGTCAACTGGAAAATCCACTTAGACTGACTCCAGAGAGTTATTTTATTAGTTCATATTTATCTCCCATTACTTACATCTAATTAATCAGACATGGGAGATTATTGTTAGAAATAAAGGAAACTACCAACTGTACTGTGCTTCAGTAGTGATAAAATGTTTAGCACGGTATCTTCATAGATTGTACCTTTCCACAATTTTAAGCGATCAAAAAAGAGAAAGCAGAGATACACCATTTGTATAAAGGATTTCTGGTACCAATTAGAGAAGACTGGAGCTAGCGTAACGAGAACTACTCATACAGAAGTCCCTTGAGTTGACAATACTAATCCATTTTCTTCGTCATATCCCTCAGGAATAAATGTTTTCTCACCTCATGAGGTCTGATAGGTTCAACTGCCTGCACAACTCAAGTAGCACCCTAGTCTATCTTGTTCCCGATAACAGCCCCATCCTAATATTTCTTCTATTCCTGCTATGAGCCCTTCTTCTGTAGATTTCTTCCACCGAATATGGTACCGAAACTAACAATCTAAGTTTACCAAGTGCTGCCTTAAATATGAAACTGCGCTTTAAACAATAAACGAACTTTCATTTTCGGAACGCCGTGTCAAACCATACAATAGGACTTACGACGTAAAAGTGTAACACTTCGATCAATTGATGCATTCTGTTAAATTGTAACCAAGTAGTCGAAATTACACCTGTTTTCGCGCTTAACTCATATATATATATATATATATATATATATATATATATATATATATATATATATAGTGATGTAGACTTGGTTCGAAATTATGATTATTGTAAAAACGCAAGGTTCAACATTGAGAATAGGTGTCATTTGAAAATCACGAACCTTCGAGTTTGCTACGTGCATTGATGCTATCAATAATAATCTTCAAATAGATTACCGTTAGTAATACAGAAGGCCTAAACCATTCACCCGAATATATTATTCTTAATGAGTTTGACTGCTCATATAATCAAAAACTGTGAATACTAAATGGCAGAATAAATAGACCTATGTGCTTACTATTTCATGAATAGAGATTATATACTGAAATTTATAAACCCACAACTATTGTTGATCAAACTTACTTCTATTTATTTAATTACGAAAAAAAAATACACATGTATGACGAAACCATCAGTATAATTAGTGTTCTAAAACAAAACGGAATACACCCATTAAGACATTAAATAAAAAAGATTGGTTCAGTGAAGAGTTATCTTTTCGGCGAATTCGTTTTCAAAGATGTACAATCGCAAATATATCTACTTATTTATCAGGATGATAATAATCGTTTGGTTGTTAATGGCTTAAATAATAAAATCATCCTTTAAAACATGAAATGTTCAAGTTGATATTGGTAGCAAACAATTTTTGCGCACCAAAAGGATGTTTTCAAACGAAATATATTGAAATACATTCACGCAAAGATCCTTGATAAGTGAAGGAATCCAGTTTTAGTTATACCCTATAAACGGACCACTATTTAAATAATTCTTCATAATTCCAATTAGTATTGAAGTAAAAGATTTAATGACGATTAACAAGATTATTAGTTAATTAAGTTTAGTGACTAATACTTGATAGTATTAATTGCATAAATCAAGAAAATCACGTATAAATAAGCATTTATATATTTAAATGTAAAAATATAGTATAAAAAATAATATCACAGAATAATCTATGTACAATGTCGAAGGGCTGAATATTCATTCCAGTTAAGTACCTTTTGTTCTTTAGGAAGAGATGTCTGTGAAATAAAATCAGCAATCTGTGCTGCATAGTCTAATTGGGTTAAATCGTCAAGCTTTTCTGAAACATCATCAACTAGTGCTGTACAGTTTTGAGTAGGAGAATCAATGAGTAAAATGGACTCATCAATGGACTTATCAATTATACACCCACTTTGATCCTTCCTTGGTCTTGGTTTCGGCAATATAATCGATAAGTAGGTACCAACATTAATAATACTCTCGCTTCCTATCAAAGGAGTTAACTTCACTTTTGAATTTAAAGAGCTTAGATCTTCTGAGATAGGAGGATGAAACTCGTTTTTTGTAATGTCTAGGGAATTATTAACTTCCAAAAGATTGCCTGGAATGCCACACACTACAGGATGCTTTATTTCACGATCACAAATAGCATAAGCTATTATATCTGTAGATTTATTAAAAACATGACCTCCATGTTTACGACGGCCTTTGACATTTTTTTTCGAACGATTTAATCCATTGGAAACCTAAAATAATTAAGTAATAATGAAATTATGGAGTATATTCAATGTATCAGGTTCCGTTGGAGAGTGTCATTCACAAGAATATATAAGGTAACTGAGTTGTAGGATAATTATAGTATCGTATTTGCATCAATAATTAACCATTCACTGCGTCATTATTTTGATTGTTACTTGATGGATTTTAAGCAAATATTAATCAAATACTAAAACCGACATTGTGATCCATTAAAACCTGTTGAAAGACTCTTTGAACAGCGAATATTAGTTCACATAACAGTGAACACCTATTTCTCAACCTTGCAGTCACGATACGGGAAGATATAATCACATGTCTTAGGTATACATACAGGTAATCAGAACCAGAACATAAAGAAACGTCAATTTCTAAATCTTAAAACTACATATTACATGAGCTTAAAAGTGCATTCGATCTACCAATTAATATACTTAAATATGCTGATACAGATAATTAAAAAACACCTATATCAAACTTAATCCGCCTGTAGCTCTTTTAGGGTTACTGCCGGCCATTAACGCGGATAAAGGAGGACGGTTGAGGGAGGGGTCAGCAACCACGCAGAAGAAAATGCTCCACATACTCAACGAGTTTCTCGGATGCTGCCCAAAGAAACACATATAGGATGAGAACCTCATGGATCCAGGATCATCAAAGCATTCTTCAAAATAAAGGAGTCACAATGAATGTTATCCGATGCCATGCACCCATCAATGATAGCAATGACGACGATAAAGATCAGTTCTGTGGGAAGTTGCAGTCGGTCGTAGAGAAGTACTCAGAAAACAACCTGACCATGATGATGGAAGACTTAAACACATAAGTCGGATTATACAACAACGGGTAGGAAGATATCATGGGACGACATGGACTGGGAAAAAGGAACGAGAATGGCAAGGCAATCGCAAATTTATGTGCGTTCAACAAAACGGTTATATGTAGCACTATATTCCCGCACAAACGCATACACAAAGCCACAAGGGTCTCACCGGACCACACTAGAGAAAACCAGATAGATCATATTTGCATCAGTAAGAAATTCATTAAGTCAATAGATGTGAGAACCAGGAGGAGCTGACAGCTTCAGATCACCGTCTACATGGTGGTTGACAAGATGAAACTAAGGCTAAAAAAGGCAATGGACAACTGAGGAAACAGCATTACAAAGGTTCAATACAGAATTTCTTCGAGATACTGACAAACTCAACGAACTCAGGATAACTCTCAACAACAGGTTCCAATCCTTACGGGATATACTAAAAGAAGAAACTACTATGAAGGACAATCGGAAAGGGATCAAAGAAGCATTAACTTCAATGTGTCAGGAGGTTCTGGGCCACAAGAAGCATCATCATAAGGAATGGATATCTATGGAAACCCTGGTCCAGATTCAAGATAGCAAGCACAAGACAGTAATGAACAATAGACGAACAAGAACATAGAAAGTCAAGGCACACCGAATGCACAGAAGCAAACAAGCAAGTGAAGAGGAGCATTAGAGACGACAAGCAGAAATACGTGGAAGGGCTCCATTGAATCCACTGGACATTGGAACAGCATACACAGACCATTCTATAGATGTCACTGCACCGACGATCGAGAAAACCAGGAAGGCCATTAGACAAATCAAGTGTAGGAAAGCAACAGCACCAGACAATATACCAGCTGAAGCACTGGTGTCACATAGAGAGGTAACTGCAAAAATGCTCCATATTCTATTCAGAAAGATTTAGAGGGATGATCACGTGCCAATACACTGGAAAGGATACCTCATCAAGATACCAGAGAAAGGAGATCAACAGGCTGGATTCCGTAAGAATCTGTTGTGCACAGACCAAATCGCGACACTACTGTTCATTGTTGAACAATCAATTGCATGGAATTCGTCACTATACATCAACTTCCTTGACTATACAAAAGCGTTTGCAGCATGGATAAGACAACCTTGTAGAACGTTCTTCGATACTATGGTGTACACGAGACGATAGTCAACAACACACCGACCTCACAGGACCGACTATACTGAAGAGTTATGCACGAAGGACAGCTGACAGACGCATTCCACGTGAGGATCGATGTTAGACAAAGCTGCCTACTCTCCTCCTCTCTCTTTCTTCTGGTGGTTGACTGAGTTATGAAGACCATATTTCATGAGAAGCACGGTATACAATGTACAACCTTGCATGCAACTAGAATATTTGGACTTCGCAGATCACCTACCTAGTTCTTCTAGCCCACACACACGAACGGATGCAGGTGTAGACAACCAGTGTAGCAGCAGCTTATGCATCAGTAAGTTTCAACAAGCAAAATCCTCAAATACAACACGGAGAACACCAACCCAATCACAGTTGATGGAGAAATTCTGGAAGATGTGAAAACTTTCACTTACTTGTGCAGCGTCATCGAGGAACGCGGAGGATCTGATGCAGACGTAAAGGCGAGGATTGTTAAAGCAGCAACAGCATTCCTATACTTGAAGAACATATGGAACTCGAAATAACTGTCTGTCAACAAATGTCAAAGTCAGAATTTTCGATACTATCGTCAAGACAGTTCTACTGTATGGAGCTGAGACGTGGATAACTACCACAGGCATCATCAGAACAGTACAAGTATATTTATAAACGATTGTCTACTATGGATACCCAATCTCTGTTGACAGGATATTATTAACAACAACCTACTGTGGGAGAGAACAAAGCAGGTTCCAGCTGAAGAAATTACGAAAAGTTGTTGGAAGTCGATAGGACACACATTGAGGAAATCACCAAACTGTATCACAAGGTAAGTGACAACTTGAAATTCTGAAGGGAAAAGGAAAAGACCAAGAAGCACATTGAGTTGGGAATCGGAAACAGACATCAAAAGAATAGGCAACAACTGGAAAGGATCGCTGACGACAGTGTTCGATGGAGAATTCTGGTGGAGCGCTTATACTCTCCTATGAGAGGTAACAGGAGTAAGTACTATCAAACTTACATTCACTGTAGAAAAAAAGCTATTTCAATAGTCATGTTCATACTAAAACTATGATGAAATGCATGTCATAAAAATTCAAACTTCAATATAAAAACAAAGGAACATCATACAAATTCGCTCAACATGAATGATTTAAAATCAATATAAAATTTATGAGAAAAGGTAACAAATATTTACCTGATAATCTAATCCTAAAATTTCGTGAGTTACGGAAGAACAGTCACTAAAGGAATTCTTGCTACACCTTTTAAAAACATGGTGCCCACTAGCAAGACCAACAACACACAAAGTATTGCTATGTCTTAATATACAAATATCATTTTCCAACTCCCCACCAACATCAACTAAATAGAACGCATTGAAGTAACGCTCTACAAAACGTTGTGTTCTGTTGTCAATCAAGAATCCGCTATTTGAGACGAACAGATCTGGTTGAAGTTCAGAGACAGATGTTTGTGTTTGTATATTTAAAAACCAATCACATGCTTCATATCCCCTCTCATTGTATTTTAGTGAAGTCATTAAGGACCTGAAAGTAAAACATTTCACTTTAAGATAAAAAAAAGCAAGTTATTTACTGCGTGTAAAAAATACAAAACAACGAAAAATATCTTTCGCAAATAACATTACAATAATCTATGCATATGTATGCAAGTAGAATCACCACAAACAATTAGTGACTTTAAAAATTAAGTGAAACAAACAAGATTTGGTTGAAGCTTTGTTCTAAAATACAGAATAGTTATTTGGCTGCATAAAACGTATGATAATAGAATCATTTTGTTGAAAACCAGACAAAGATTATCAAGGAATTAAAACGCTCTCTGCAGTTATCAACCTTACTCAAAATGACCTTCAAAAATAACGAGTAATGTCAAGTAATCCACAACTTACAGGTTAGGAAAAAAGACTACATGGTATTAGCTTTCAAATTTAAGATACATATGATTTACGTAACTCAACGACCCAGAAATTTACTTACGAGACCAGTATTTGGAAGGTCGTTTGTTCAACACTAATTTAGGGTGGATAAATTCCTATAATATAGTGTGATCTCACATACAGTTCACCATAACTGTGGAAACTATACATGTATCACTTAACTTTACCATACACTCATTTTATCATAAAACTGAAACTAGCAAGTCCCTTACAATACTAGCCTTTTCATGTTTCAAAACTTGTTATCTTTGGTGATCAAAACTTTGAAACGGACATTAAATAAAACCAATAGAAAATGTGTGCCAATTGAAGTTTCTGTACTGCATATCAGCATAATAAAGGAAAGTAAGCATAGAAATGGGATAAATACTGTGAAACGCATAATCGAAAAAAGATGCAATTAATCAAAGTGGCGATCTAATGCATATAGCTTAGCTTTTCAATCACTTTCAATAATATTACTTTGCTATGTTAGAGTTCAAGACAGCCATAGTGATTACGAATTTGATTAAAATCTATAAAAAGGATCAATCACATTGGAAAATCTTGTCAATTTCATATGGTGCGTTTGTAGCGAGGCAACCTGGGCTACCAACAATGAAACTGTCTAACCCGCGCTCCAATGACCTTGTTACTGCAAACGTTTGACCGCATTAGTTAGTTCAAACGATTCGAAAACGTTCAAACATTCGTGTACCGAATAAAGGATAAACCTTCATATTGAAAAGAGGATGTAAAAGAAAGTGGAAGTGTGAGATGAAAATCTCCTCAGGTCGAAACATGATTGATCAGTTTCAGTTTCAGTTTGGAAAGGACAGGAGTCTTGATGGCCTGTGTTAGTCCTGGCAATGGTGTTCTCTCAGTTGATCCAACTTTATTTTGAAAGAATCTACGGATGGAGCTTCAACCACGTGTTGAGGTAATGAATTTCACTCGTTGATGATTCGGTGGGAAAGTCGATAATCAGCTGACAAGTAATTTGTTCTGGGCTTGTGAACTTTTTTGGAGTGTCCTCGTAAATTATCTGTTTTGGAAGACAGGAAAAATGAGGGCATATCAGGTGCAAATTTATCACTAAGCAATTTGAAAACTGTAATCAAGTCGCCTCTAGATCTACGATATGACAAAGGGAATAGGTTTAGCTTGGCCAGTGGAGCATCATACGGAATCTTCGCTATTACGGGAGTCAGCTTAGTTGCTGTTCTCTGAACCTTTTCAAAAGCTCACTGTCTTTTTTTCGGCAGGGGCTATCCGCTTGTATGCAGTACTCAAGTTTAGGACGTACGAACACTGTATACAAAGTTATAAACGTCTGAGCGTCGACATGAGTAAAAGCCCTACGTATTGACCATAAAGTTCTAAAAGCTTTGGCGGCTATTGCACGGCAGTGTGCAGTAGTCTTCAGATCTTGGCTAACGATGACTCCTAAGTCATTATGTGTCTGGACAACAGGTAGCTCAGTGTTATTCATCGTGTATGTATCTGAGCCTTGATGACCGATATGCATCACAACACACTTGGAAGTATTTATCGGCAGCTGCCATGTATGAGACCATTCGGGTAATTTCTTCAGGTCATTTTGGAGTTCTAAGCTATCACCCTTACATCGTATCGTTCTCCATATCTTGACATCGTCAGCATATAGCAAGACCGATGATGATAGTAAGCGAGGAAGGTCATTTACATACAAGAGGAATAGCACTGGCCCCAAAACTGTACCCTGGGGCACTCCACTAAGCACAGTTTCCCAGCTAGATAATTTTGAGTTTACCCGTACTCTTTGTTGGCGCCGAACAAGGAAGTCTTCTATCCACGTCAATAGATTGCCTCCAATTCCGACATTTTTTAGCTTATATAACAGCCGGTTGTGCGGAACCTTGTCAAAAGCTTTGTTGAAATCAATGTAAGACACGTCTACAGGTAAATTTTGGTCCTTAAAAGCGCACCAGCTTTCTCGAGTGACTAATAAGTTAGTGAGATAAGAATAACTCATTCTGAAACCGTGCTGTTTCTCCGAGAGGATTCGGTTTACATCGAGGTATTTAAACAGCTCTTTCGGAATAATCTTTTCTAAGATTTTAACAACCATACTAGTTAGGCTAACGGGTCGGTAATTCTCAGGTTTATGTTTCGTACCTGTTTTGAAGACAGAACTTACTATGGCGTTCTTCCAGTCTTTTGGTAAACGACCCTGCGTTACGGATAGCTTAAAGCATATACTTAAAGGGTTCGCAACGAAGTGAGATAATTCCTTTAGTAGCCTAGGATGCAATTCATCGGGCCCCATGGATTTACCTATGTCAAGCTTATTTAGCAGATCAAAGACATCGAGTTCATTTATGGTCACGCTATCCAGTGTATGTGTGGGGGGGTTTGTATGCGCTGACGGGAAGGGTTCTTCTATGGTATGTACATTGCTAAAGTAGTTTGAGAACACTTGAGCCATACCAAAGTCATCTTCCACTAATGATGCGGCAGTACTGTCTCCACATAGTGCAGAAATAATTCCTCTTCCTTTTGTCCTTTGGTTTATATAGGAATACAGGCGTTTAGGACATTCTATGGATTCCTCAACAATTGTTTCTTCTTACAGCTTTCTAGACTTACGGAGGGTCGAGGCACAGGTATTCCTAGCTTTTCGGTACTGAGATATTGTCTCATCAATCCCCAGTAATCTAAATCTATCCCAGATTTTTCTTCTCTTACGGCGAAGGATGCGGACCTCCCTAATGAACCATGGTGGGGAGTTTCTCGGCCCCCTTGATATAGTCCAAGGAACGTGGGGTGCGGTAACTTGTAAGTATAAATGTAGGAATGCATCCCAAGCCGTTTCAATTAAGGATTCTGGGTCTATTGTCCAATCTACTAATGATGCCGAGTGCATGATATCTGGTATGCTTGCTTTCCAGACGTTAGGTCTGGATTGGGTTGACGCTTGCTCGTGATTGACAGTTATATGGAAGTCAAAAGTTAAAACTGAATGATCACGGTTACCTAGGGGTGGCATGTAAAGGAGGTTCGCAACGTCATCCTCATAGTGAGTTAATATAAGATCTAGTAAGGATGATTCAGTGTCCGGGTCGTACCTAGTCGCTTCTTTCACATGTTGCACTAGGGCACATGTTATAACCGCATCAACTAGTTCCTGCTCGAAGGAATTATCTGATGATTCGTTTCGCAGATTTCCCCAGTCTACCATAGGTGCATTAAAGTCCCCTAGAATTAGATATCGACCACTTCACGACCAATTTTTGAGCCTGTTTAACAGGACATCATATACCTTACAGCTTGAACTGAGATAGACCAAACCAATTAGCAGCTCTTGCCCCTTGAATTGCAAGCGGCAACTAACCAATTCACACGTCCCACTTTCATGGGATACACTATCAATTATGACAAACGGGATAGCATTCCTAATGAATAGAGCTACTCTCCCTCCTTTACGCTTATGTATTCTGTCGGTCCTTACTAAAGTGAAACCCTCAAAATCCAGTTCCATATTATCTATAAACTGTGTCAGCCAGGTTTCTGTGACTGCGATTATGTCTGGCTCTGTAGAGCCAATCTGTTCACCTAGTTCCCATAGCTTATTGAGCAAGCTTCGGGCATTAGTGTAACAGATCCGTAGCTTATTTAATTGGCTTCGTGCGCCACCCAGAGTGGCTTCGCCATCATTCTCTGACGAAGCCTCACAACCCGAAAATTTACAATGTTCAGGTCCATTTCGCCAGCGTCTAACCACATTTGTAGTTTTTTTCGGCTTCCCGTCTTTTTACACGGTCTGCCAACGGCAAGTCCTTTCGGATAAAAATTCCCGAACACTTTAATTTATGTCCATTCTGTAAAATTGTGTCCCTTTCATTCGAAGATTTGAAAACTACTTTAAGCAGTCTAGATTGATTAGGCTTCAAGTTCGCTAAACTACCTAGTCTATACATCTTTTGCAAGGTGACTCCGAAAATATTTTGAGGCATGAGTTGATCAATTAGCTCAAAACGAGTTTTTGGTTCGGAGCTTTCGCTCTCCTTGATCCAATGAAAAATGACTGATCTGTTACTGTGATCAGCCTTCGATATTTCGACTACTTTTGTAGGGGCAGGGTTCCCTTTATTATCGTTTTGCTGTCTCTTCCTCACAACCTGTACCCATTCATCAACGTTGCTTGGAGAAGCAACCACAGTCGCGTCAAACATACTGTGGGATTCCGGAGGGTTTTCGATGACTTGGGAGTTCAGGTTTGGTGTCCCTTTAGAAACTGATCGAGCCTTGAGGTTGCGGCTTCTATGTGTTTCTTTCTGGATACCATTTTGAGGACGTAAGACAGAAAACTTTTTCCTTGAGTTTTTTGTGCGGAGAGAACTCTTTGGGGACTGTTCTCCCTCCTTTGGTCGGTGCGAGTCATCTGTTTTTGAACTCACTTTAGTTTGCCTCACGCCAATTTGCGTGTCAACGGAGCGAGTACTTGATGATGTGTCGCGACCACTTTTGCCAAAACATTTTTTAGCAGCACTAACTAATGAGATGGCCTCGGTTAGCAAGCTGTTAGCATCCGAACAGCACTGTTGACAGAGCCATACGCAACCATTCCTACTGAACGGTTTGAAAGCTGCAGGCGTTAAATTTGTGCAAATTTCGTGGTACCGTCCTTTGCACTCATCGCACTGCATGCCGCTTTCAACAGGATAACGACAGCCCAGGCGTTGGCAATTACTTTTTTTGCACTGTCCAGTCATTTAAACACGGGTTGTTTTAGAAAGAACTAGATGCAAAAATACTCAGGGACAAAAAATAATCTATGACCAAAAAAAGTGGAAAACTGTGGATCGTTAGAACCAAAAGTACTAACAGATACTATAAAAAAACAGAGTACTCAAAAGTACTGACAACAAAACTACTTTAGAAACCACAACGATAATGTAATCGAATACTTTAACTGAAAGAAACTCAATTAAAGAGAAAAACAGTAGTTTTTATACGTATAAACGATCAAAACAATAGAATTTACTCAGCAAGGAAAAATACCACTGTCCTTTTTTAATAGCGTGCTGATCGATGAGAAGACAGATAATAACAAGAGTAAACTCGGGTGTTTAAGTAATGAAAATCCCAAGGAATAGTTTATGTAGTTTAAAACGCAAAGTACATTTAAGATGAAAATTCGTGGACAAACAAGGGAGAAGATGAGAGTTGTGACGAGCGACGAATTCAGATTTGGGCAAAATATACTTGTATGTCTGACTTTCATACAACGGAAGGCTTGTGATGCCGAACCTGTCATCATGTGGTTATCTTACTTTAGAAAATTCATCCGCCTATTATTATCTGCTGAAATCGATGGCATAATTATCAAAAATGTCACAAGAATTGGGAGTTTGAAAGCACCTCATCCAGTAGCACTTTTATAATAGAAGTGTATCAACCCAATCATATCAGAAGACAGGGATAAAAAAGTTCGAAGATATGTTTGGAAGGTTGTTCGATATGTTGAAGTAACATTCGGTCTAAGCCGGCTGGTAGCTGAATAGAGATACGTAGCCCAACGTGCCCACATGTGATCTGGTGTGGATGCGGGACAGAGAGCTTTCAGCTACGTGTTACCAGTAAAATTAATGCGGTCAGTACCAAATATCA